ACTTGACTGATCTAACGACAAACGACCCCTACAACCTGACTTGACTGATCTAACGACAAACGACCCCTACAACCTGACTTGACTGATCTAACGACAAACGACCCCTACAATCTGACTTGACTGATCTAACGACAAACGACCCCTACAATCTGACTTGACTGATCTAACGACAAACGACCCCCACAACCTGACTTGACTGATCTAACGACAAACGACCCCCACAACCTGACTTGACTGATCTAACGACAAACGACCCCCACAACCTGACTTGACTGATCTAACGACAAACGACCCCCACAACCTGACTTGACTGATCTAACGACAAACGACCCCTACAACCTGACTTGACTGATCTAACGACAAACGACCCCTACAACCTGACTTGACTGATCTAACGACAAACGACCCCTACAACCTGACTTGACTGATCTAACGACAAACGACCCCCACAACCTGACTTGACTGATCTAAAGACAAACGACCCCTACAACCTGACTTGACTGATCTAACGACAAACGACCCCCACAACCTGACTTGACTGATCTAAAGACAAACGACCCCTACAACCTGACTTGACTGATCTAACGACAAACGACCCCCACAACCTGACTTGACTGATCTAAAGACAAACGACCCCTACAACCTGACTTGACTGATCTAACGACAAACGACCCCTACAATCTGACTTGACTGATCTAACAACAAACGACCCCTTAAACCTGACTTGACTGATCTAACGACAAACGACCCCTTAAACCTGACTTGACTGATCTAACGACAAACGACCCCTACAACCTGACTTGACTGATCTAACGACAAACGACCCCCACAACCTGACTTGACTGATCTAACGACAAACGACCCCCACAACCTGACTTGACTGATCTAAAGACAAACGACCCCTACAACCTGACTTGACTGATCTAACGACAAACGACCCCCACAACCTGACTTGACTGATCTAAAGACAAACGACCCCTACAACCTGACTTGACTGATCTAACGACAAACGACCCCTACAATCTGACTTGACTGATCTAACGACAAACGACCCCTACAATCTGACTTGACTGATCTAACGACAAACGACCCCTACAACCTGACTTGACTGATCTAACGACAAACGACCCCTACAATCTGACTTGACTGATCTAAAGACAAACGACCCCTACAATCTGACTTGACTGATCTAAAGACAAACGACCCCTACAATCTGACTTGACTGATCTAACGACAAACGACCCCTACAATCTGACTTGACTGATCTAACGACAAACGACCCCTACAATCTGACTTGACTGATCTAACGACAAACGACCCCTACAATCTGACTTGACTGATCTAACGACAAACGACCCCTACAATCTGACTTGACTGATCTAACGACAAACGACCCCTACAATCTGACTTGACTGATCTAACGACAAACAACCCCTACAATCTGACTTGACTGATCTAACGACAAACGACCCCTACAATCTGACTTGACTGATCTAACGACAAACGACCCCTACAATCTGACTTGACTGATCTAACGACAAACGACCCCTACAATCTGACTTGACTGATCTAACGACAAACGACCCCTACAATCTGACTTGACTGATCTAACGACAAACGACCCCTACAACCTGACTTGACTGATCTAACGACAAACGACCCCTACAATCTGACTTGACTGATCTAACGACAAACGACCCCTACAATCTGACTTGACTGATCTAACGACAAACGACCCCTACAATCTGACTTGACTGATCTAAAGACAAACGACCCCTACAATCTGACTTGACTGATCTAACGACAAACGACCCCTACAATCTGACTTGACTGATCTAACGACAAACGACCCCTACAATCTGACTTGACTGATCTAACGACAAACGACCCCTACAATCTGACTTGACTGATCTAACGACAAACGACCCCTACAATCTGATTTGACTGATCTAACGACAAACGACCCCTACAATCTGACTTGACTGATCTAACGACAAACGACCCCTACAATCTGACTTGACTGATCTAACGACAAACGACCCCTACAATCTGACTTGACTGATCTAACGACAAACGGCCCCTACAATCTGACTTGACTGATCTAACGACAAACGACCCCTACAACCTGACTTGACTGATCTAACGACAAACGACCCCTACAATCTGACTTGACTGATCTAAAGACAAACGACCCCTACAATCTGACTTGACTGATCTAAAGACAAACGACCCCTACAATCTGACTTGACTGATCTAACGACAAACGACCCCTACAATCTGACTTGACTGATCTAACGACAAACGACCCCTACAATCTGACTTGACTGATCTAACGACAAACGACCCCTACAATCTGACTTGACTGATCTAACGACAAACGACCCCTACAATCTGACTTGACTGATCTAACGACAAACGACCCCTACAATCTGACTTGACTGATCTAACGACAAACGACCCCTACAATCTGACTTGACTGATCTAACGACAAACGACCCCTACAATCTGACTTGACTGATCTAACGACAAACGACCCCTACAATCTGACTTGACTGATCTAACGACAAACGACCCCTACAATCTGACTTGACTGATCTAACGACAAACGACCCCTACAACCTGACTTGACTGATCTAACGACAAACGACCCCTACAATCTGACTTGACTGATCTAACGACAAACGACCACTACAATCTGACTTGACTGATCTAACGACAAACGACCCCTACAATCTGACTTGACTGATCTAAAGACAAACGACCCCTACAATCTGACTTGACTGATCTAACGACAAACGACCCCTACAATCTGACTTGACTGATCTAACGACAAACGACCCCTACAATCTGACTTGACTGATCTAACGACAAACGACCCCTACAATCTGACTTGACTGATCTAACGACAAACGACCCCTACAATCTGACTTGACTGATCTAACGACAAACGACCCCTACAATCTGACTTGACTGATCTAACGACAAACGACCCCTACAACCTGACTTGACTGATCTAACGACAAACGACCCCTACAATCTGACTTGACTGATCTAACGACAAACGACCCCTACAACCTGACTTGACTGATCTAAAGACAAACGACCCCTACAACCTGACTTGACTGATCTAACGACAAACGACCCCCACAACCTGACTTGACTGATCTAACGACAAACGACCCCCACAACCTGACTTGACTGATCTAAAGACAAACGACCCCCACAACCTGACTTGACTGATCTAACGACAAACGACCCCTACAACCTGACTTGACTGATCTAACGACAAACGACCCCCACAACCTGACTTGACTGATCTAACGACAAACGACCCCCACAACCTGACTTGACTGATCTAACGACAAACGACCCCCACAACCTGACTTGACTGATCTAACGACAAACGACCCCCACAACCTGACTTGACTGATCTAAAGACAAACGACCCCTACAACCTGACTTGACTGATCTAACGACAAACGACCCCTACAATCTGACTTGACTGATCTAACGACAAACGACCCCTACAATCTGACTTGACTGATCTAACGACAAACGACCCCTACAATCTGACTTGACTGATCTAACGACAAACGACCCCTACAACCTGACTTGACTGATCTAACGACAAACGACCCCTACAACCTGTCTTGACTGATCTAACGACAAACGACCCCTACAACCTGACTTGACTGATCTAACGACAAACGACCCCTACAATCTGACTTGACTGATCTAACGACAAACGACCCCTACAATCTGACTTGACTGATCTAACGACAAACGACCCCCACAACCTGACTTGAATGATCTAACGACCAACGACCCCCACAACCTGACTTGACTGATCTAACGACAAACGACCCCTACAACCTGACTTGACTGATCTAACGACAAACGACCCCTACAACCTGACTTGACTGATCTAACGACAAACGACCCCTAAAACCTGACTTGACTGATCTAACGACAAACGACCCCTACAACCTGACTTGACTGATCTAACGACAAACGACCCCTACAATCTGACTTGACTGATCTAACGACAAACGACCCCTACAACCTGACTTGACTGATCTAACGACAAACGACCCCTACAATCTGACTTGACTGATCTAACGACAAACGACCCCTACAATCTGACTTGACTGATCTAACGACAAACGACCCCCACAACCTGACTTGACTGATCTAACGATAAACGACCCCCACAACCTGACTTGACTGATCTAACGACAAACGACCCCTACAACCTGACTTGACTGATCTAACGACAAACGACCCCTACAACCTGACTTGACTGATCTAACGACAAACGACCCCTACAACCTGACTTGACTGATCTAACGACAAACGACCCCCACAACCTGACTTGACTGATCTAAAGACAAACGACCCCTACAACCTGACTTGACTGATCTAACGACAAACGACCCCCACAACCTGACTTGACTGATCTAAAGACAAACGACCCCTACAACCTGACTTGACTGATCTAACGACAAACGACCCCCACAACCTGACTTGACTGATCTAAAGACAAACGACCCCTACAACCTGACTTGACTGATCTAACGACAAACGACCCCTACAATCTGACTTGACTGATCTAACAACAAACGACCCCTTAAACCTGACTTGACTGATCTAACGACAAACGACCCCTTAAACCTGACTTGACTGATCTAACGACAAACGACCCCTACAACCTGACTTGACTGATCTAACGACAAACGACCCCCACAACCTGACTTGACTGATCTAACGACAAACGACCCCCACAACCTGACTTGACTGATCTAAAGACAAACGACCCCTACAACCTGACTTGACTGATCTAACGACAAACGACCCCTACAATCTGACTTGACTGATCTAACAACAAACGACCCCTTAAACCTGACTTGACTGATCTAACGACAAACGACCCCTTAAACCTGACTTGACTGATCTAACGACAAACGACCCCTTAAACCTGACTTGAGTTTGTTTTGTTTCAGCTGGGACAGGCTTTTGTGGCAGGAATTTTGTGGGATGACGTCATGAACAAGTTCCCCGACACGTTTGGTCCGGTCAACCCCAACAACGATTTGATTGACAGGTTGTTTGGTGACCAGGGCGGGTACTGACCCCGTGGGTCTCGGGCTAATTAATTCATTAGTCACTCATTAGTCACTCATTAGTCACTTCAGTCGTGACAGGAACCGTTGCTTCTGATGAAACAGAACTCTTTTTGTGGTGCAATTTTAATGACGTCTGTCAATTTTGTGACTAATAATTAATTAATTAACTAAATTGACAGTTCAAATACCGTGACTTAAACATGTGATGGTATATTAATTTATGTATAGCTTATGTAATCGATTATATTAAAATAAACAAATAACATACAAGCAAAAGTGATAACTTATTTTACTGACTGCAGAATTCAATCCATAATATGTGCGATAGATATACAGGTTACACAATTGGTCACAAATTACGGTTGGCCCACTAGGTACATAGTTTGCCATAGGTACGTAGACTGGCCTACAAAGTACGTAGTTGGCCAACAAAGTACGTAGTTGGCCATCGAGGTACGTAGACTGGCCCACAAAGGTACTTAGACTGGCTAACAAGGTACACAACTGATCACAAGTTACAGTTGGCCCACAAGGTACATAGTTGGCCAGCTAGTTACACAACTGGCCACAAAGTACGAAGTTGGCCAACAAGTTCTACAATTAGCCTAAAACGGTTGACATTTTAATGCAATAGGTTGATGTAGCAGTTTAGTCGAACTCTGCTCCAATGGTGATGCTGACGTCATCGCCGACGACTTTGGTCGAATGGAACCACTTGTTGGTGTCTAGAACAACTGAAACACAAGCCAGATTGTTAGCGTCATATTTATACGTGTGTTTGTGTGTTAGGGATGTGTAGTTCCCGTGTAAAGTTGATTTTTCTGATCGTTAAAACCTCTTTAATTGTGTGGGCAGTGACCTACTTAGATGGACCTATTTATGTCATCAGGATGAATTGTGACCTACTTAGTTGGCGAGAGTTTTAGTGTGACCTAATTATTTTTCTAGGGGCGAGATGAGGCATTTGGTGATGGACTTTTATAAGGTTATTATAAATGTACGGTGACCTACTTATAGTTATATCGCAGTGTGGAGTTAACCTATGTATCTATCTGAATGGTGGATTGTGACCTATTTATTTCTTCAAATTGTCTTCGACCCACATAAATAGCCGGAGTGGACCGTGACCTACTTATCCCACCGAAGGTCATGGCCTACTTATATCTCCGAGTTGTGTAATGACCTATTTATCTCCCCAACCCCCACCCCCGTGGCCGTGACCTACATATCTAATAGTTGTGTTGTGACCTACTTATCTCTCGAGGTTGTGCTGTGACCTACTTATCTCACGGGGTTGTGCTGTGACCTACTTATCTCGCCGGGGTGGACCGTGACGGACATCTGGCGCGTGCAGGTGAAGTAGCACTCAACAGGTGGCTCCAGCACCCAGAGCTTGTGGCCGGCTATTTGGGCTTGCCAGGAGGGCAGGTTGACCTTGTCTACCTGGGGTGAGGCAGGGAGAAGTGGTGGAGGTGGTGGTAGTGGTGGTGGTAAATGTGGTAAATGTGGTGATGGTGGTGGTGGTGGTGATGGTAGTGGTAAATGTGGTGGTGGTGGTAAATGTGGTGGTGGTGATGGTGGTGATAGTGATGGTGGAGGTTGTGGTGGTTGTAGTGACGGTGGTGGTGGTGCGAATGGTGGTGGTACTGGTGGTGGGAATGATGGTGGTAGTGGTAATGGTAGTAACGATTCTGGTGTACTGATGTTGGAAGTGTTAGTAGTTTTGGTATCCTACGTTTCTTGTAGTGGTGGTAGCAGTGTTACAGTGTTGGCAGCAGTGATACCATTAACGTGAGCATGAATTTAAGTCACTCAAGGGTGAGCAGTGTACACGCACGTGCATCTTGGCGCCGTAGCCGGGGCTCCCCATGAAGATCCAGTCGGTGACCTCTGACTCGGAGTCTTCAGGCAGAAAGTAAGGTTTGTGGTAGTGATGACGTAGTATCTCCGTCACGGCGGGGTCACAGTTGCTCCTGTCAAACAATGTCAAGGTCATCTTGATACACACACAACAAAAGAGATTCAATGGAGACCTATTGCTGGGAATGAGCGAGTCTACACAACAGTCTCTGTGTCAGCAGACGTCTAATTTGGTCCCTGCTGAATTCAACCACACGGCCATCAGTCGGTGACGTCACGAGCCCTATCGAATTCCATCATTTTCCCTAGAGATTCCATCTTCATCGAAGTATTTTCAGGGTCCAGTTATCGGATGATGTCCCTTTGATTTTCTCAATGTTTACATGTCTTTGGGTTACACGCAGTAACATCACAAGGCTGGGGGGGGGGGGGGTTGACGCCATCTAAGGGAGTACCATCAACACGAAAAAGGTCTTAACAAACTTAACAACTACTAAACATAATCTGTTCCATGAACGTATTCTTAAACCGCTGTAGACATTGAAAAACACATCTAATTTATAGTTAAACCATTTGAACACGGGGTCCCACTTACCATCCCACATACCACGGCAGAGAGCCGTCCTTTTGTCCCACTTACCATCCCACATACCACGGCAGGGAGCCGTCCTTTTGATAAATCCGGTCATCGTCCATCTCAAAAACTTGGCTGAGCCGTCTGAACTCTGTATCATAGCCGAAAAACTGGCAGGCGTCCTTGCCCTTGTGTGTGTCGTAACTTTTGTTGTAGATTTCTGTGGAAACAAAAAAAATGTTGACTATAAGCAGATGTGTGGACTGGAATAATCAATCCAAATAAAATAAAGTTTAAAGGATAAAAATGTCAAGAAACACAATTAACAGCAGAAAATGTGTATGTGACGCTGTATCGATACTCGACTGAACTAAATGTTTGAATGAGTACTTTGTCAAATACTACATCTAGGTTTTTTACTAATGAACGAAATCGCAAATCTCATATTTTAAATAAATTTATTCATTTGTTTTCCATAAAAGTTACAAATATTATTTATTTTTTGTTAATGGAAGCTGAAAACTTCGATTTAATTATTTTAACGAAGCTAGAACTCAGGCCCCTAACAAAGGATTTACCTTTGAAGAAGTGGAAGCTAAAAACATGAATGGCCGACCAGTTGTTCATGGCGTCGGTGACAACCAATGGCCGGCCGCTGTAAACTGCCTCGAACTGGCTCGCGGACACGTTGGCCACCCGCATGACGTCATCCACATCCTGGCAGAAGCGGCAGGTTCGAGGCGCCTCCATGACCTTGAACTTCTCCAGCAGACATTTCTCCTGGGTGGCCGCCCGCCCAGACACGCCCCGGAACTGGAGCACCAGCCGAGCCAGCCGGTCACGTGATAGGGGAAAGTCGGCCAGCCACGAGAGGGTGAGCACAATCAGGACGTACATGCAGCTGGTGAGTACCTTCTGGCACAGTTTCCTCACGGCGCTGGGCTGGTTCCTTCTCGTCTGCTTCACGAACTCCAGCCTGGTCAGGTCGTCTGCGGTCATCCCCATGGCAACAGCTCGCTGGTGCAGCTCAGAAAACATTGACTAGAAGGAAGTGTTAACCCTATAGTGGCTAGAAGGAAGTGTTAACCCTATAGTGGCTAGAAGGAAGTGTTAACCATTTAGTGACTAGAAGGAAATGTTAACCCTATAGTGACTAGAAGACAGGTTTAACCCTATAGTGACTAGAAGCAAAGTTTAACGCTATAGTGACTAGAAGCAAGGTTTAACCCTATAGTGACTAGACGCAAGGTTTAACCCTATAGTGACTAGAAGCAAGGTTTAACCCTATAGTGACTAGAAGCAAGGTTTAACCCTATAGTGACTAGAAGCAAGGTTTAACCCTATAGTGACTAGAAGCAAGGTTTAACCCTATAGTGGCTAGAAGGAAGTTTTAAACCAAAAGTGACTAGAAGCAAGGTTTAACTCTATAGTGACTAGAAGGAAGTGTTAACCCTATAGTGACTAGAAGCAAGGTTTAACCCTATAGTGACTAGAAGCAAGGTTTAACCCTATAGTGACTAGAAGGAAGTGTTAAATCTATAGTGACTAGAAGGAAATGTTAACCCTATAGTGACCAGAATTATACAGGTTGGAAGTTTTAACTTTTCAAGTATTAAATAGTTCCTACTCTGAAAGTCATTTTTATAACTAGCTGTCTAAGGGTGTCTTTATATTGACTCAAAAATTAGTATATTGTCAGCACTACAACAATAACAACTGTCTTTACATTCCCCAACTGCGTCGCCTGTGAGAGCTGAATCGATTTGGTGAATTTCTTTGGGCGCCACTCCACATTTGTTATGCTGATAATAAAGTTTGCACTCGGCCTCGCCATACAACCTTACATTTCTTATGTTATCTAGTAAAATTTCCTTCAGAACCTGACGGTCCATAGGGCAAATGAAGTAGAGTTCACCTGTTTTTATCTAGTGCTTACCTTTATATCAGCTAGTGCTTACCTTTATATCAGCTAGTGCTTACCTTTATATCAGCTAGTGCTTACCTTTATATCAGCCAATGCTTACCTTTATATCAGCCAATGCTTACCTTTATATCAGCCAGTGCTTACCTTTATATAAGCCAGTGCTTACCTTTATATAAGCCAGTGCTTACCTTTATATCAGCCAATGCTTACCTTTATATCAGCTAGTGCTTACCTTTATATCAGCCAGTGCTTACCTTTATATAAGCCAGTGCTTACCTTTATATCAGCCAATGCTTACCTTTATATCAGCTAGTGCTTACCTTTATATCAGCTAGTGCTTACCTTTATATCAGCCAATGCTTACCTTTATATCAGCTAGTGCTTACCTTTATATCAGCCAATGCTTACCTTTATATCAGCCAGTGCTTACCTTTATATAAGCCAGTGCTTACCTTTATATAAGCCAGTGCTTACCTTTATATCAGCCAATGCTTACCTTTATATCAGCTAGTGCTTACCTTTATATCAGCCAGTGCTTACCTTTATATAAGCCAGTGCTTACCTTTATATCAGCCAATGCTTACCTTTATATCAGCTAGTGCTTACCTTTATATCAGCTAGTGCTTACCTTTATATCAGCCAATGCTTACCTTTATATCAGCTAGTGCTTACCTTTATATCAGCCAGTGCTTACCTTTATATAAGCCAGTGCTTACCTTTATATCAGCCAATGCTTACCTTTATATCAGCTAGTGCTTACCTTTATATCAGCTAGTGCTTACCTTTATATCAGCCAGTGCTTACCTTTATATCAGCCAGTGCTTACCTTTATATAAGCCAGTGCTTACCTTTATATCAGCCAATGGTTACCTTTATATCAGCCAGTGCTTACCTTTATATCAGCCAGTGCTTACCTTTATATCAGCCAGTGCTTACCTTTATATCAGCTAGTGCTTACCTGTATATCAGCTACTGCTTACCTTTATATCAGCCAGTGCTTACCTTTATATCAGCTACTGCTTACCTGTATATCAGCTACTGCTTACCTTTATATCAGCCAGTGCTTACCTTTATATCAGCTAGCGCTTACCTTTATATCAGCTAATGCTTACCTTTATATCAGCCTGTGCTTACCTGTATATCAGCTACTGCTTACCTTTATATCAGCCAGTGCTTACCTTTATATCAGCCAGTGCTTACCTTTATATCAGCTAATGCTTACCTTTGGATCCACCAACCAGCTACTACCACAAGTATCATTGTCCCCAGCAGGATGTGACGTCATCATCTTCTCCATCTGCAAGTATTTGGTTTCCATGTTATTTTTCTTTGAGTGAACGCATCAATGTGTCCAGAGTTTCTTCCAGGCATCCCTTCGGGAAGGCTCCCCTCCCCCCCCCTTCCCCCAGAACGTCTGCCGCCCCCGCGAACGAAAAAGAATTTATATAAAAAATATACTTTTAGCAGTGGTGTTTCAGACTCTTTTGCACCAGGGGGGGGTGCACTAAATTCCAAATTTTTATTTTTGGCTACATGTCAGTGCCAAATTTTTGCTTTTTAAAAGAAAGCTTACCGACACAAAAATGTGTTTATAACTCTATTGGAAGAGAACTATAGAATAGAATACAAATCATAAATATGCCCTAAATATAAAATTTAAAAAAAATAAACCGGGAGTGATCTCCCCGTTTTCGAATATTCTTATCTAACACTACGGGGGATGGCAACTCGGGATATAGATATGATTTTTAATTACTTAAACTTTTTTAAATAGAATAGAATCTCGTAGAAAAAAAGAATTGCGCACCAAGCGAATGCTAAGCAAAATGTGTATAATAGTGCGGAATATTATTAGTACTTTATAAATTCACATGCGTTTTTTCAGAAATCGGAAATAGCGTAAATTACTACTTCCGGTCAACGGAAATTACTCAAAATTTGAGAGAAGGCAAAGAATTAGATCTTTTATTTACATATGAAATTTCAATTATCTATCTGAAATAGTACTCCAGTTATAGGCTTTTGAAAAATTGAAAGTAGAAAAAGTTATACTTCCGGTTATCGGAAATCGCTCAAAAGTTGAAACAGATCTACAAATTTGATATAATACTTATATATGAAATTTCATCAACCTAGCTATAACGGTACTCAAGTTGTCGTGTTTACAGACACGCACACACTCCAAAAAAAAAAGCCGCAGTGTGTTTAGCTTATTCGTAAATCTGGCACTGTGTGCCGCCATAACGAGAAGTTGTCGACTGTTTGGGGCATGTCACGTGCCACCCGTTTCCATCAGTGTAACTGCCCATGTAAGAACAATTGCTGGGCCTTTGACCAACAGCGATATTTGTTCAATGGCGAGGTAACCTTGTAAAACATGGGTATCCCATTTTCTGGAGGGAATTTACACAACATGTATATCCCATTTTCTGGAGGGAATTTACACAACATGTATATCCCGTTTTCTGAAGGGAATTTAGACAACATAATTATCCCATTTGCTGAAGGGAATTTACACAACATGGATATCCCATTTTCTGAAGGGAATTTACACAACATGGGTATACCATTTTCTGAAGAAAATTTACACAACATAATTATCCCATTTTCTGAAGGGAATTTACACAACATAATTATCTTGCACATAAACAGCAAGAAACAAATCTTGCACATAAACAGCAAGAAACAAATCTTGCACATAAACAGCAAGAAATAAAAATCGTGCTCATAAACAGCAAGAAAGAAATCTTGCACATAAACAGCAAGAAAGAAATCTTGCACATAAACAGCAAGAAACAAATCTTGCACGTAAACAGGAAAGAACAAATGAAACAAAACCGTTAAAAACTTACTTGCTTTAACCCAAATCAGAAGAACGTGATCAAACAATAACTCTGCTATAATCATCCAATAGTTTGACAATATCGAAGTGAATGGCAGAGGAGACGCCAAGCCAGTAGCCTACACAGGCCAATCTGGCAGATGTGGACCAAAACGAGGCAGATATTGGCCAACTGGCCAGAGATGAAATTTTCCGACCCGCCGAACATGAGCAGCAGACGTGATTAGTGAAACCAATGGGGTTGTTAAAGGCGGCCTTAGTGACACAAATCGGGTTGTCACACGGCCTTGTGTGGGCTACATCTAGCTAAGTGGTGGGAACATGATCCACTTTCATTTTCACCAGTTCCGTTTCTAAAGGAAGTGGTTGCTAAGGACAACAATTAAACAGCAAAAAGATGGCTGATAAATATAAAAAAATTCAGGTGCAGCATTTCGACAGTTCCCTTGTGGCGTGGTGGGGTAGGGACTGTACAGGGAACACCGTCTAAAGGGGTGACACCAAAATAAAAATTGTACCTTTTTAATCAGACATCTGCTAACTAAAGTCGTTTAAACAGCTCAAATGAGCCGTGACACCAGCTGCCTATGTTTAATAGACATAGAAAAGGTCGCGAGGTGGTGACTATCAGTGTTGCACCACCAGGTGTCACCCCACCTAGTGACGCCGCTGTTCACTGTTTCTCTTGTGGTCATTAGCTCTGTCAGGATTCTCCTCACTCATTGTCATAAAGGTCAGTCATGTATGGTCAGGTCATAAGATTGTAAAAACGTCTTACTTCTTCACCACTGACATTTTCTTTTACATGCCTTGGTGCTATATCTGGATATTTATGCAAGTGTGCTATATTTAGATTAGTTGCAAGTGTGCTATATGTGGATATTTATGCAAGTGTGCTATATATGGACACCACCATGACGCAAACCAGCTATCTAACTCTCCTCCTGCCTCTCCCTCGCTCTCCAGGCATACGCAACAGACCATATCGCTATCACCTCCGCCCCTACCAGTCTGGTGAGCTGTGGTTCACGCCGAATGTTTACAATCGTAGATCCGGGTCAAATTAGTGACGGCTATTAGGGGAGATAATTTAGTTTTTAAACGATTTGAAACTAAAGGGATGTAACAAGTTCTGCTTGACCTTTTCATCGTCTGTAAACTGTCCTCACGGACGTCTACTTTCACGGGGGCGGGGGAAAGGGATGACAGTGTTGAAATGTCGAATTCACAAAGTATGAAATACTGAAAAGTAGAAAAGTAAACAACTAAATTGCGGTGTATGCTACGCTGCGGGTCGGCTAGTGTGCTATATTTAGGTATTGATGCAAGTGTGCTATATCTGGATATTGATGCAGGTGTGCTATATTTAGATTAGTGGCAAGTGTGCTATATCTTGATATTGATGCAAGTGTGCTATATCTTGATATTGATGCAAGTGTGCTATATCTGGATACTGATGCAAGTGTGCTATATCTAAATATGATGCAAGTTTCCTATATCTGAATATGATGCAAGTTTCCTATATCTGAATATGATGCAAGGTTCCTATATCTGGATGTTGATCTGTACAGATATATGGACGTTGTTTCCTAAGATGTGATGACCTTGACTTCTAAGATCTGGTCTGAAAACTTGCCGTAACAGAGCAATTCCACAGGGCCTAGCTATAAGATTTTTGTTTACATTTGACAGGGCCTAGCTATAAGATTTTTGTTAACATTTGACAGGGCCTAGCTACAAGATTTTTGTTTACATTTGACAGGGCCTAGCTACAAGATTTTTGTTTACATTTGACAGGGCCTAGCTACAAGATTTTTGTTTACATTTGACAGGGCCTAGCTACAAGATTTTTGTTTACATTTGACAGGGCCTAGCTACAAGATTTTTGTTTACATTTGACAGGGCCTAGCTATAAGATTTTTGTTTACATTTGACAGGGCCTAGCTACAAGATTTTTGTTTACAGTTTGTTACCTGAATCTGACCACAAAAAACTTCTATCTGACCAACCAATGAACATCAAGTATCAGGAGACAAAAAACTGCAACAACAAAACTATAAAGAGACAACAAAACTACTTTATTCTACTTTTTTTTATTTTGTAACAGTAAAGATCTTGACATAAATTGCTTCTACATGAACTAGGCTTATTTTACTCAGTGACTCACATAAAAAAGTTTTAAGAGGAAACATTTACTTTCAAATATGTTCATGAAAACTTTGACTGAAAGCAATTACTTAAAATTGAATTTAACCTTCACTAAATATTTCATTCTAATCTGCCTGGTGTCATAGACGATAAATTCATTGTAGTTGAGGACAAAATTTTTAGAGCTGGGTGGAGGCATGGACACCCCTTTCCCTATGGGCACAACCACGTCATCGCCTGGCCTGGGGACAAAACACAACGGATGCTTCAAGTTCTTGACTACAATAAAAAAACTACAGCATATTTTCATGCGGAACTAAGCTTATTTTTCTCTTGTCAAGTTAGTTATTGAGAGGTTGTTAAAGACAGTAACCAAGGAGACCGTTTTTATTTAGAAAGCCATCAAACAGACAAAACAATACTAAACAAATCTTTTGAGTAAATGAGTTCCACACCAACTTACAGTTTGACGTGAGCTTTAGGATCAGGGGCGATCATGCCCACCCCCTTGACACTGTGTTTGCCCTTGGGTAAGGACGCTGCGCTGTAATCTGCTGCAAACTTTTCATTGACCTCGCCTAATGACACCTTCAATAACACGCAAGTACAATCAATAAGGGGTTGGGGGGAAGGGGGGGGAACAAGAAAATAAAGTTATCCACTACATAGTAAAGAGTGAATAACTAGAAATCTGTAAACAATAAATTTTGTTCCTTACATCACACAGCAGCAAGAGTCCTGTGTTCTTTTGTTTGGAGGCGAAGCAGTAGTTGGCACTTTTACTTGACATGTCAGCAAAGTAAACACCTTTCCCAAACTGAAGGATGGCATAAGGACACTTAGGCACAGGAAGCATCACACACATACATCACACAAACAGTGTCACGCACATCTCACACAACTAGTGTCACACATGTCTCACACAACTAGTGTCACACATCACACAACTAGTGTCACACACACATCACACAACTAGTCTCACACATCACACAACTAGAGTCACACATCACACATTTCACACAACTAGTGTCACACATCACACAACTAGTCACACACATCTCACACAACTAGTGTCACACATGTCTCACACAATTAGTGTTACACACATCACACAACTAGTGTTACACACATCACACAACTAGTGTCACACACATATCACACAACTAGTGTCACACACATATCACACAACTGGTGTCACACACATCTCACATCTAGCACCAGAAGGGAACCTTGACACCAAGACATGACTCACCATGTAACCTGTCACTGGCGCCTCAGGTGGTGCTATCCGTAGTCCCTGACTTAAAATACCTGCCCAGTTGGTCAGTCTTGACCCATGCCACAACAACATTCTATTAAAAAAAAACAGTGTTTATGTACGTAAGCAGCCAAGTACAAGATGCTATATACCACAATCAAACAACTGTGTGTACTGTGCCTCACCTGTTGCCATAGTCTGTGTACCTGTCACTCTCACCTTCCTTGTCACACCTGTATACGTCCAGCAGCTCCATGCTGTACTGGTTGTGTGTGTTTGCGTGGGTCAGTAGCAGGTAGTCCTTCACCAGCTGGTTCATGGAGGGAATAGACTTATTGCACAGGAGAACTACTGTTACACTTCACTTACAGGAGAACTACTCTTTAACTTAACATACAGAACTACTGTTTAACTTAACATACAGGAGAACTACTGTTAAACTCATCACACACATACTTGTGAATTACTTTAAACTCATCACACACATACTCATGTCTTACCTTAAACTCATCACACACCTACTCATGTCTTACCTTAAACTCATCAGATGTGTGATCCAAGGGGTCTAGAACACAGTGCAGCTGGTGGTAATGTCTGTCCACTGGGTTCTCTGACATGTCCCCACCTTTCAGCATCTTAATGGCGATCTGGATGTCTTCCAGGGCCTGTTGGTTCAAACATGACAACACTTGCCTCGTTTTATCAAACTTTTTTTTGTTGGTTTAACCATGACAAAACTCAACACTTGTCTTGTTTTATCAAACTTTTTTTTGTTGGTTTAACCATGACAAAACTCAACACTTGTCTCAATTTTTGTACTTCAAGTATAGATTCTACATATTCATTTAACAAAATTATTTAACAATAAAATAAAAACTGTCTCTTTCTTTAATAAAAAAAAATGTTTAAACAACTGTTATAGTATTGTATTTGTAAACTGAAATGGGTTGATTGATTGGGGCTTTAACAACAGCAGCACAAGGGCAGGGAGACAACTGAGTGTCTGAAGAGAACTATCATTAGAAAACGTGTATAGGCTTGTGAATGGTATTATAGTTCTAGAACATTTAAAAACTGTTTGATACTAGGGGCAATTATCAAATAAAATTGGTAGCCTAAAGATATATTTTTTAAACAGCCTATTTTAATCAAAGGCTGCTATGCTCCTATACTAACATTACTCATTTGTTATCTGCTGTGTTGATAATTTTCCCAGATAAAACAAATAGTGGGGAGCAGGACATTACCCCCCCCCCATACCAACATTACCCCCAAGTCAATTACCCTTCTCTATATTACATCATCCAAAAACTTGATTAGGACATTACTCCACTGTCAATTTTAAATTAATCCTAAACCTAATCCTAACACTTTACCTAACCCTAGCTGCAAGATAATATTAGGATTACGGTTAATATTAGTTTAAGTTGAGGGTTTGGGCTAAGTTGCCCTAACACTTAGATCTAGCTATTCTAGAGGAGAGGGGGCAATATCCCATTCAATGCTGTAGATGGCCAGTTTCAAGACAAACTAAACAAGGCTCAGTTGGCTGTTGCCTCCTTCAAGTCATTATTTTCAGGAAAATTTCTTCAAGCTCTGGCACTAGTGAACTCAACAGGCTGAAGATATCATTTTTGTATCTCCAAATGAGGAGAACTGAACACAAAAAAAGCAACAAAAGACAACAAACCTCAAGGAGTTCAATTTTCTGCTTCACCATCTGAGGTGTGGAAATTAATGGCAGGGCTTTCATTCTGGGAGACAAAATTTGTGAGTTCAATTATTTTCTAAATTGTACAAAATGTATGACTTTTTAATAGGCTAAGCTGGTTACTTAAGACTGAAGTACAAACTCTCAACCTAACATCAATTTAAATCTCCATACAGCAGAGATTAGTTTATCAAAAACAGCTCAAAAACTTTTAAAATCATTTAAATGTGGACTGAAAACTATTAAACACAGGCCGACTATCATAACTGTACTGACCAGTCCCAAGGGAATGTTAGACTGGAAGGTTGACAATATTTAGATAATGGCTGCTAAACCCATTTATAAATAGTGTGTACCCCTGCACATGAGGAATTTTTGTGTAGAAAACGTTGCAAGCATCTGCCAGGTTTCTGCCCAAGTCTTTCTTCTTTATCAACTCTTCAATATCTTTGAGTGCTGAGTAGCCGGCTTTGATTTGGTCTTTTGTCAACCTGCCTGGAGAGGTTTGTAAACAGACAGATTAAAAACTAACAGATTACATTAAGTGGAGAGAAAGAAAAAAATGTGTAAAGCTGATAAAATGACTGGCTGTTCTGTAAAGCTGGCAACAATACAGATGTTTGAAGTAAAGCTGATGATACCACTTACCTAATGGAGCTTTTTTGGCATCGTAACTCATTTCAATCATAGCATCCTCCATAGATTTAACATCACAGATCAAATTAATCAGGTCCTGTGGAATAAATGGGTGCCTTTATTCACAAATTCTGTCATTTGAATGAGTGGAATAAAATAATCTAAAGGAAAATTCCTTTTTTATTTATATTTGTCAAGTTTTGTAACATCATCTGAATGTTTTGGTCAAGTTTTGTATCATCACCTGAATGTTTTGGTCAAGTTTTGTAACATCATCTGAATGTTTTGGTCAAGTTTTGTAACATCACCTAAATTATTTCATCAAGTTTTGTAACATCATCTGAATGTTTTGGTCGTTTTTGTAACATAATCTGAATGTTTTGGTCAAGTTTTTGTAACATCACCAAAATTATTTCGTCAAGTTTTGTATCATCACCTGTATTTTTGGTCAAGTTTTGTATCATCACCTGTATTTTTGGTCAAGTTTTGTATCATCATCTGTATTTTTTGGTCAAGTTTTTGTATCATCACCTAAATTATTTCGTCAAGTTTTGTAACAACATCTGAATGTTTTTGGTAAAGTTTTTGTAACATCACCTAAATTAATTTCGTCAAGTTTTGAATCATCACCTGTATTTTTTTCTCAAGTTTTGAATCTGGAACTTTTTCTTTCTTGTCTTCAGACTTAACAGGAGCATCCACTTGGTCCTCTTCATCCTCCTGCCAAAAATTTAAGAGATTAATTTTTGCACAAGTTTCATCATTATCTGTCCCTCCCCCCTTTGAGTTCAACAAATCTATTAACAGATTTGACCCGTGTTTAAAGATAGAACCTTGCCCTACCTTCACAGAATAATCCATCATAAGCAACTCATATTTCCCAGGTATCTTGTAAAAGGAATCTTTGTTTGACCAGTCATTGCCTGTTTTATCATAAAACCTACAACAAAGATGTGTGATGGTAGAAATATAGGCCAAGATTAGTGATGGTAGAAATATAGGCCAAGATTAGTGATGGTAGAAATATAGGCCAAGATTAGTGATGGTAGAAATATTGGCCAAGATTAGTGATGGTAAAAATACTCAGCCAAAGATTATGATGGTAGAAATGTTCTTGCCTTTTAAAAAAACAGTATTGAATAAATTTTAATTTACCTACATTATACTTAACTTGTTGAATCTAAAACTGAGAGTTCATGTTGGTGAAATGTTTGGTCTGATGGGTTGGTTTTTTTAGAATGTACCACAGACATTGTAAATAATCCCACCACCACATGCCACTTAACAGAAATAAAACAATTATAGATGTGTATAACATTAAAATAAAAGTAGTGAAACTGATGTGGATATTGACTTATCTTACTTTTTAGTATAGACCTTTTTAGCCTGGTCAAGGTCTCCACCACAGCTGACCAGGTTTGTCTGTCCCTTGTAGCCGACCCTGCCCCACCTCTGCCAGACGTGGAATGTTTTGTTGCTGGTGTCCTCCAGAAGTTGGATGAGGTAGTATTTGTTGTTGTTGTTGGAAATGTTGGCCTGAATTACAGAAGGTAGTATTTGTTGTTGTTGTTGGAAATGTTGGCCTGAAGTACAAAAGTTGGATGAGGTAGTATTTGTTGTTGTTGTTGGAAATGTTAGCCTGAAGTACAGAAGTTGGATGAGGTAGTATTTGTTGTTGTTGTTGGAAATGTTGGCCTGAAGTACAGAAGTTGGATGAGGTAGTATTTGTTGTTGTTGTTGGAAATGTTGGCCTGAAGTACAAAAGTTGGATAAGGTAGTATTTGTTGTTGTTGTTGGAAATGTTGGCCTGAAGTACAAAAGTTGGATGAGGTAGTATTTGTTGTTGTTGTTGGAAATGTTGGCCTGAAGTACAGAAGTTGGATCAGGTAGTATTTGTTGTTGTTGTTGGAAATGTTAGCCTGAAGTACAGAAGTTGGATGAGGTAGTATTTGTTGTTGTTGTTGGAAATGTTGGCCTGAAGTACAAAAGTTGGATGAGGTAGTATTTGTTGTTGTTGTTGGAAATGTTGGCCTGAAGTACAGAAGTTGGATAAGGTAGTATTTGTTGTTGTTGTTGGAAATGTTGGCCTGAAGTACAAAAGTTGGATGAGGTAGTATTTGTTGTTGTTGTTGGAAATGTTGGCCTGAAGTACAGAAGTTGGATAAGGTAGTATTTGTTGTTGTTGTTGGAAATGTTGGCCTGAAGTACAGAAGTTGGATGAGGTAGTATTTGTTGTTGTTGTTGGAAATGTTGGCCTGAAGTACAGAAGTTGGATGAGGTAGTATTTGTTGTTGTTGTTGGAAATGTTGGCCTGAAGTACAAAAGTTGGATGAGGTAGTATTTGTTGTTGTTGTTGGAAATGTTAGCCTGAAGTACAGAAGTTGGATGAGGTAGTATTTGTTGTTGTTGTTGGAAATGTTGGCCTGAAGTACAGAAGTTGGATGAGGTAGTATTTGTTGTTGTTGTTGGAAATGTTGGCCTGAAGTACAAAAGTTGGATAAGGTAGTATTTGTTGTTGTTGTTGGAAATGTTGGCCTGAAGTACAAAAGTTGGATGAGGTAGTATTTGTTGTTGTTGTTGGAAATGTTGGCCTGAAGTACAGAAGTTGGATCAGGTAGTATTTGTTGTTGTTGTTGGAAATGTTAGCCTGAAGTACAGAAGTTGGATGAGGTAGTATTTGTTGTTGTTGTTGGAAATGTTGGCCTGAAGTACAAAAGTTGGATGAGGTAGTATTTGTTGTTGTTGTTGGAAATGTTGGCCTGAAGTACAGAAGTTGGATAAGGTAGTATTTGTTGTTGTTGTTGGAAATGTTGGCCTGAAGTACAAAAGTTGGATGAGGTAGTATTTGTTGTTGTTGTTGGAAATGTTGGCCTGAAGTACAGAAGTTGGATAAGGTAGTATTTGTTGTTGTTGTTGGAAATGTTGGCCTGAAGTACAGAAGTTGGATGAGGTAGTATTTGTTGTTGTTGTTGTTGGAAATGTTGGCCTGAAGTACAGAAGTTGGATGAGGTAGTATTTGTTGTTGTTGTTGGAAATGTTGGCCTGAAGTACAAAAGTTGGATGAGGTAGTATTTGTTGTTGTTGTTGGAAATGTTAGCCTGAAGTACAGAAGTTGGATGAGGTAGTATTTGTTGTTGTTGTTGGAAATGTTGGCCTGAAGTACAGAAGTTGGATGAGGTAGTATTTGTTGTTGTTGTTGGAAATGTTGGCCTGAAGTACAAAAGTTGGATAAGGTAGTATTTGTTGTTGTTGTTGGAAATGTTGGCCTGAAGTACAAAAGTTGGATGAGGTAGTATTTGTTGTTGTTGTTGGAAATGTTGGCCTGAAGTACAGAAGTTGGATCAGGTAGTATTTGTTGTTGTTGTTGGAAATGTTAGCCTGAAGTACAGAAGTTGGATGAGGTAGTATTTGTTGTTGTTGTTGGAAATGTTGGCCTGAAGTACAAAAGTTGGATGAGGTAGTATTTGTTGTTGTTGTTGGAAATGTTGGCCTGAAGTACAGAAGTTGGATAAGGTAGTATTTGTTGTTGTTGTTGGAAATGTTGGCCTGAAGTACAAAAGTTGGATGAGGTAGTATTTGTTGTTGTTGTTGGAAATGTTGGCCTGAAGCACAGAAGTTGGATAAGGTAGTATTTGTTGTTGTTGTTGGAAATGTTGGCCTGAAGTACAGAAGTTGGATGAGGTAGTATTTGTTGTTGTTGTTGGAAATGTTGGCCTGAAGTACAGAAGGTAGTATTTGTTGTTGTTGTTGGAAATGTTGGCCTGAAGTACAAAAGTTGGATGAGGTAGTATTTGTTGTTGTTGTTGGAAATGTTAGTCTGAAGTACAGAAGTTGGATAAGGTAGTATTTGTTGTTGTTGGAAATGTTGGCCTGAAGTACAGAAGTTGGATAAGGTAGTATTTGTTGTTGTTGGAAATGTTAGCCTGAAGTACAGAAGTTGGATGAGGTAGTATTTGTTGTTGTTGTTGGAAATGTTGGCCTGAAGTACAGAAGTTGGATGAGGTAGTATTTGTTGTTGTTGTTGGAAATGTTGGCCTGAAGTACAAAAGTTGGATGAGGTAGTATTTGTTGTTGTTGTTGGAAATGTTGGCCTGAAGTACAGAAGTTGGATAAGGTAGTATTTGTTGTTGTTGGAAATGTTAGCCTGAAGTACAGAAGTTGGATGAGGTAGTATTTGTTGTTGTTGTTGGAAATGTTGGCCTGAAGTACAGAAGTTGGATGAGGTAGTATTTGTTGTTGTTGTTGGAAATGTTGGCCTGAAGTACAAAAGTTGGATGAGGTAGTATTTGTTGTTGTTGTTGGAAATGTTAGCCTGAAGTACAGAAGTTGGATGAGGTAGTATTTGTTGTTGTTGTTGGAAATGTTGGCCTGAAGTACAGAAGTTGGATGAGGTAGTATTTGTTGTTGTTGTTGGAAATGTTAGCCTGAAGTACAGAAGTTGGATGAGGTAGTATTTGTTGTTGTTGTTGGAAATGTTAGCCTGAAGTACAAAAGTTGGATAAGGTAGTATTTGTTGTTGTTGTTGGAAATGTTAGTCTGAAGTACAGAAGTTGGATGAGGTAGTATTTGTTGTTGTTGTTGGAAATGTTGGCCAAAGGTAAATATTAAGCCAACTATTCACTGATTGTATTGTAATTTAGATCCTTAACGCAGTAGAGCGTAAAACTAAAAACCCAAAAGTGTCAAGATTGGATCCTGGGTTAGATTCCGTATGATCTCCCTGAGTTCATCCAGCTATGATGAGTACATGACTTGTGTTTTAGACAATAAAGGCATCTGGGTATAGTGCAAGCCACACTACCTATACATATGCTGAGGCCTCTGAAACTGGGCTTAGAATCACTTTTACACTGTAAGGTTATAAACACCTCAAACTAATCTACAAAGTGTTTCCCATTAGTAAGTGCTGTAATTATCTAACTGCACATCAAGAGAGGGGTGGGGGGTTACACATGAAAATCCAGTTTTTAAAGATTTTACCTGGTTGAGCATGCAGTTCCACACAATATTCCCAGCCTCATGCACACACGTTTTGCTGGCTATAGGGCACACATCATCCACGGGAACGCTGCCTTTTTTTACAACCACTGTCTTCACTGAAATAAACAATTCAATGGATTGGCATTAAGGGCATGGGCGGGTGATGAGTACCAACTTCCTTATTTCCGAGTCTAAAGATGTAATACTTGGCTAATAGTTATAACTCAAAGAGTTAAGCATAAAAATATTTTTTTTAATTTTTTAAATCTTCCGTTGCCATGGTGACGGCGGCCATATTGGATTTTATTGACGATTTTTAAATGGAAATAACTCAAAAATGGTTTGTTCAAATTTCATGAAAACTTAATATAGTCTGCAGACACATGTGTTTAAGACTTCTGATAGATTACATTTTCAAAAAAGAAAATAGTTTTTTTTTTACTTTTTTTTTAAAAACATTGCTGTAAAAATTTCATTATTTCGTCCAATTTTTTCACTATTTCAACAACAAAATTTTTTTTTTTACAAAAATTCCAAAAGTGTTCTATCAGTTTTCTTTGAACATATATAAAGAGTAACTGGAGCAAATTTAGTTCAGTTCTGATAATTATTAACAAAGTTATTTCAACAATTGTACAAAAAAACATCAAACTGAGAAAAACGCAAAAAACTAACAAAAAGTTGCAAAAAATGAACATTTATCGCTGTATGTCACTAAAATCGACCACATTTATAGCCTGAAGTATGGTGCTGCTGAATATATTCCTTCTGAGCTTGTTCGGCTGTTAGTTTTCCTTTTTTCTGGCGCTGTTTGTTTTACCGAGAGTTGTAGTAAAGCTGTTGTCATGGCGTCTTTTTTCGCGTCTTCACTGGGTCCTCGACTATGGTTTCCTTCTTTTGACAGCAATGCCATAGCATGCCTGGGCCCAAAATTGAATTATGCTATCACAGAAACAGCAGTATATTTTGCATGGTCTCATGTCTAAAGCCAATTATGATAAGACGTCTTTGTTTATTGTGAAAGGCCTTGTTCTGGATTCTTTTGCAGTTGTATACTTACGGTTTACAACATTTTTATTACTGCCACACCATGCTTGAAGCAAACCCTTTACATTGTTTTCATCAATAGTAGCCACTACATCACAGTGTGCGAGGAGATGTATTGATAACATCAAGAAGCAAATCACAGTCGACAATAATTCTGCATGGCTGTGGTTTACAATTAGTACTACTAGTACTAGATGTAACAGTGCTTTCTTCTGTCTGTAAAAACTGTGTCTTACATTGCGGCAGTTTCTTAGTAAATGTGCATATTACATCTGCACAAGTGCTTGTCTGAATAGTGCTAGATTTAGTAGAGGTAGCTGCAATCAGTTACATTCGGACGAGCCCTAGCTTTAGTAAATTAGTTAGATGTGTGTATCTATTTTTAGCGAGTATTTTGTTCTACGCATTATCGAAAGAGAAACAAATTAAATCGTCTCCCTGCTTATGATAATTCACACAAACTAATCTAAACTGTTAATAGTATATTTAATTGAAATAATTATATGTTAAAATAATGTAAGTATTTTACAGAAGCTTAGAGAAACAAAACTAGATCAAACTTAGCAACGCGCTGAAACTAAGGGAATGTTTACTCCCGAAGCGAAACGACCAATCGCTAACTAGCTTCCGCCGTCGTATGCCAATGAAAAAATTGAGGTCAAAAATTTGCATACCGGAAAAACCCGACTGAGTAAAATAAACAACTTTATGACGTAGAAAAATAATCACATTAAAATATGTATTTTGATTGGTCATTTAATTTTAGAACAAATAAAGAAAGGAGGTCACGGCCTTTCCATTGATATGAAACACATTAGGTTTCCGCGAAGCCTAATAGTACTTTTCTAGGTCGGAAAATTGCTATTTTTACCAAAAAATTAAACAAAAGACCATGTACACACTACATTGAACCCGGTTTTTCATAATTAAATACTGTTTTTAGGGTCATAACAATGTCATTTTTAGATTCAACGATGGTTATTCTGTATAGATCAAGTAAAAGTGGGAAATCAATGATTTAGTGGATTTATGACGAAAAGTACACCCGCCCAATCCCTTAAATAGCAAAGATAATATTCAGGACAGATGCATTAAACAGTTGGTGATTGGTACAAAAACAACACTAAACAGTTGTAGATTGGTACAAAAACAACATTAATCAGTTGGAGATTGATACAAAAACAACACTAATCAGTTGGAGATTGGTACAAAAACAACATTAAACAATTGGAGATTGGTACAAAAACAATACTAATCAGTATGATATTGGTACAAAAACAACACTAATCAGTTGGAGATTGGTACAAAAACAAACCTGAAGATGTGGAAGGGGCTGGCTCACTTTTTCCTGACTTTTGAGAACTCTTGCTTTTACCTCCACTTTTTGGCTTTGGCTTTACTTCCTCTTCTTCATCGCTTTTTCCCGACTTTCGAGAACTCTTGCTTTTACCTCCACTTTTTGGCTTTGGCTTTACTTCCTCTTCTTCATCGCTTTTTCCCGACTTTCGAGAACTCTTGCTTTTACCTCCACTTTTTGGCTTTGGCTTTACTTCCTCTTCTTCTTCTTCCTTTACTGGTGCACTATCACATTTGGATTCATCCTCTTCATCACTATAATCAGGAGGGATGTCACTGTCTATACAGAAATACATTGGCTGATTGTTAAACTTAGTTAAACATGTGCACAGTTAGAAATGTATCACATTTTTTATGTTATTTCTTAACGTTACACAAAAAAAAGTAAAAAATATTTTTTTAAATAGCATCTGTATAAACTACACATACTTTTTTTAGACACAAGAAAAACTCTAAAAACAAATTATAACATGAAGTATTTTGGTGAATATTTCAATGAATGTCATTTACAATCTCCAATGAATACCTGCTACACTTCTTTTTATATCATTGGTGACCTTTGATTTTTTAATGTACTCTGTGTTTCTCTTTAAATCAACTTCCAATATGGCTGTTCCTCTCTTCAATTCAACACTGTCTTGACCACCCAGAAAAGCTTTCTCCAAACTAATGCTCAGTGATACTGGATAAAACCTCCAGTTGTTTGACTCATCTTCCCACTGCCAGACCACAAATTCTGTAACAACAAGCAGTCAAATGGGAGATAATTTTTACTTGTACACTTTACAGTAGCCTCCCTTTAAGGAATTTTTTTTTTTAAAGTCTCCATCCACATTAAAACCTTTAGTTTATACAATAGAGAATAAGTGAAATGTGGGGGAGGGGGGGAATAGATGTTGTAGAAAAGTATTGAGTAATTAATATTTTAAAAGCCCAAAAAAAAGATTAAGCTGGTACAAACCATTTTTAGTGTTATCTTTTAAAGCTATCCGAATTGGCCTCTCATATCCAGAGCTTTTATTTTTCTGTACCATTTTGTCAAACATGACCAATAGTTTGGTGCCATTTTCAAGTTCCAGTGAGCTCTACAATTAGATAAGAAATCACTTATAATATAAATAATCTATAATGCTGGACGAGACTGAATGTAAATAAAGCAAAATGTGTAGGCAACTATACAGCAGTCTATATTGCCTCCATTCAAATATGGCCACTTAACTCCTCTCAAGTTATCAGGTCTAAATATGCATCTTCATTCCCATGTCAGAAGCATTAAATGCAATCAAATGTTATTTAAATTAAAACAAATAATGTTTTTCTCCATAAATAGTGTCTTAAAGGCCTACTTTTATGCCCAATTTCAAATTCCAAGTTGGAAAATCATTCATGTTTTTTTTTTGAGTGGGTGGCTTATCAAGGTTCTCACATTTTATTAACAGTCCCATTAAACATATTTTTAAATAACTAAACAAACCTGCTTCCTCCCAAAGTTGAAGGCGTTAACTAGGGTCCGGTTTAGGTTTTTGCTGTAACGCACCCACACAGCCTTGTCACCTTCCCATTCAAACCGCACTTCTAGGCCATCTATTTGTGGGGGTTCAAGTTTCACAAGCTTTTCAACTGGTGCTTGGCTGTCCCCTTCATCTGAAACTGGTTAGAAAATTTTGTACATGTTAAAAAGTGTTATTACAACGTGATTAGTACTAGATCTAATATTTCTCAAGGCTATCTCAAAACTCTCTATTTGGTATTTATCTGAATCAATACAGTCCTATTGATAAAGATAAATACTAAATTGTATATGTCTAATAGTGACTTGAGTAAAGAAAGACTAGAGTAAAAGCCAAAGGGCGAAAGGCTAGGCCTACCTGCTTTTCTTCTTTTTACCATTTCTTGTTATTTCTTCTTTTACAGCCTAACTTGATTCTACTATTTACTGTTTAAATTTATTTATTTCAATTTTATTTAATAATTTTGGCCTAATAAAATAAATAAATCACTAAATGAAAATGACGTAGGTAAATTTACTGTATACTACTAGATCAAGCACTAGATACAGAATACAAATACTATTTGAGTATTTAACTTTAAGGCCTATTAAAATTTATTTTAATATTAGTCTACTATAACTACTAGACTAGGCCTACCTCTACTATCCTATACTCTAGTGCTAGTCTAGTCTACCTACTAATGACTGATAATTGATTGTATACTAAATAGTCTAAGTCTCTCTCTAGTGCAAGCAAGAGTATGAGTAGAGTCGGCTAGATCTAGTTTATCTTGTCTATTTAATAAATAGTATTTATTAACTTTTACTTTAGGACTCTATCTACAGTACAGCAATATCTACTAATATCTAGATCTAGAAATCTAGATATCTTCTATGTTGAGCTTCAAATGCGTCTACGCAAGTTTTGTTTATTTTCGGCGCCTTAGTAAAGTTTAAATTTAGCCAGCCTTATGATTCCGCGAAGCAATATTCTAGCCTCCTATCGCTTTGCGTTCACGCAGCGGAACTCCCTATTTGATTTCAATGTGTTTCATTTAGATCTATTTTCTTTTTTTTTGTGAATTATTACATAAAAGCTTGTTATTAAAATGTTTTTATGCATTTTTTTCAGTACTTTAATTTTCTTTTTAAATAGCGTGCCCGTCCCACGCGTTGCCGCGGGGCGCCGGCGGCTGCGTCTGTTGCAGTTTTACCGCTGTACATAGTTTCTTCCAGGCATCTCTTCCAGCCGCCCCACCCCCAAGAAAGTCTACCCACCCAGCCCCCATCCCCACACGAAATAGAATATATATATATATATATATATATATATATATATATATATATATATATATATATATATATATATATATATATATATATATAGCAGCCAAACCGTGACAAAAAATGTGCCCTACCGGGTGCCGCCAATAAGAATTTATTTTTTCGCAGTAACCTTTTCACAGTAGGGACGACAGGTAAACCTAACCTAACCTTTTCAAGAGTGTTCTCATCATCAACTCCCCACACACAAAAAAAAAGTTTTAATAACAAGCATTTATGTAAGGAGAAAATAATTTTCTTTAAATATATAATAATACACTACAATTTAAATAACTATAAAAAAAAGCGTGGGTCTCTTCCTAAATATTAGTAAAGGTATCCAATAGATAATATAGTAATTATTGAGACCCGCGCTTTTCTTTATAGTTATTTAAATTAGTGTATTAGTATATAGGAACTGACACGCGCCGTATGCATACGCCGCTATTTAGTTGTTTTATTCATAATTTGTGGATTCAACACTACCAATGCTGTGACTGAAAATATTTTGCTTTAAAACACTATCGGTTGCTCGAGAAGGACGATTTTCCTCACCCTCCCTCCCTCATAAAAAACGTTTAATAACAAGCTTATATGTAATGATGCACTAAAAAGTAGAAAATAAATAATTTTCTTTAAATATATATATATATATATATATATATATATATATATATATATATATATATATATATATATATATATATAATTCTCTTCATGGGGACCTTGCGAGACACCACGTAAACGCACGTCGTAACTCCCCCGCTCTCTAGGCTACCACCCCCACCAGTCCGGTGAGCATACGCCGCTATTTAGTTGTTCTATTTTCTACTTTTCAGTAATTCATAATTTGTGAATTTGATACTACCAATGCTGTCACTGAAAATATTTGCTTTAAAACACTATCAGTAGCTCGTTAAGGACAGTACCCCCCCCCCCTACCCCCTCGAAAGCAGCCTCCTCTTAGTCACCTCCCCTAAGTTTAAAAAATAAAATAGTCTAAAACCAAACTATCTGCCCCTAATAGCCGTCACTACGATTGTAAACATTTGACGTGTACCACAGCTCACCAGACCGGTGGGGGTGATAGCAATATGCCTAGAGAGAAAGATAGAGGGCTGCTAGGCGAGCTTACGTCTTGGTGGTGTCCCCATGAAGAGAATTATATATATAGAAGTTTTCCTGTTGACCTGTGTGACGGTGTACGAGAGGGGGGGTGTCAGAAAGTGTCACGACCCATTCTTACAATTTCAAAAGTATTTTCTTTTCTTACATGCCTCAGACGTGTAACATTGGTATCGTATAATTATTGTTTGTCCCTAGTCTTCCGATATTTCGGATATTGCATTACTTTTTTCATCATTCGACTTTTGAGGACTACGTAGATTTACATTTCTTTCACTCTAAGTATGAGCTCCATTTCTGAAAATAAAGGTTCAGTCGAGAGAGCTGGGTATGAATACCCGGAGAGGGGGGGGGGGGGGGTAAATCAGAGGGCGCCTATTATGGATGCTGCTAGTTTGATTAAAATGGTGGGGATACAATTTTTCCTGATATCGGAAGGGTGTACATGATATGAAGTATGACTGCTCAAAATAAGAGGGTTAAACATGAAGGAAAACATATCCTTTCATTCTGATATGTCTACATCTAATCTATCTACCCATCTACTCTTTATTCTTTTTTTTACATTAATTCTTTTAAAGCACACAATAAGTCATAAAAAAATATGGAGGCCTACATAGGCACAATATCATATGCAAAAAGTTTAAACAAATAGTTCACATCACAAAATGGCAAGAAAGGACGACTTTTTTTGTAGATTGTCATAAATGATAAGTTTATGATGAGCTAAGTGAATATTTCAGAAAAAAATTGCAACTTAAAAAAATCAACTGTAGTTTTGAGTGAGACGTCATTTCAGGTGAGTATCTGCTTTTACTAGGGATAATCTGTGATTTGGAGAATCGGCTTTAATATCGATGGGGAGGATGAATGTAAAAATTGTTTTTAAAACATAAGTGTGACGTCTTTTATGGAGGACCCCAAAGATTGCCTAAAAGTAAATCATAGGGTGAGAAAGGAATAAATATTGTGCGTAATAGCTAACTTTAAGGGATATAATTTTTGCATTTAGTTTTATTACTTCCCTTTACCAAATCTGTGGATAGGTAGCTCACATTTGTTACCAGCACTCTAATAAATATCTAATTGCATTGATGTAGGCCTACTAAATAGTATAGAAATTAAATATTACATTAATCTAGCGGAAATTAGCTGCCCTGAACTTTCTTGCATATTCTTACATTATTTTAACAGTAAGTTACTGTAATCGGCCAATAAAAATGTAAGAAATTTGTGATAAAAACATTCAGATTTTTTTCCAGATAACACATAAAGGCGAAAAGTTATTTGAATATGCATTTAAGAATATTAGGCCCCTACATATTACATAAAGTATAAGTAATCTAAATAAAAGATCATATAATTGTAGATCTAACTTAAAAGGCACTTAAATTATGCCTTTTGAGTATCCGGTAGTAGATTAAGTACCACATCCGGTTACGGAAATCATTAACAGGTTGAGAGAAAACTCATTTGATTAAATACACATAAAATATATGAAATTTCGCCAACGATTTCAATATTTTCTTTAGACGTTATATAAGATAAAGATCAGATTATTTAAATGACGAGAATTGTCAAAATCTCACTTAAGATTTTTGCACGAGAAAGTAAAAATGTAAGTAAAATGTTATGATTGAAAATTCAAAGGAAGCCTAAAAGAAGTGAAAGTCAATTCAGTTAATGGTCAATTTTATAAACACAAGGGAGAGGAGATAACTACTAACAATTGGTCTAAACCCAAAAATATGAGAGTATTATATTAGTATTAAATAAACACAATTCTAATGACAAACTGGTTTGAACATGGTAATTAACTGAAATTCAACTTTCTTAATAAACAAAAAAACATCTTGAAGAGTTTTTGTTATAAGTTATTTTAATAGTAAAAATATTTTTAAAATAGGCAGCAAACATCTCATTTGATGTGGAGGGCCAATCGATGTAGTTTCAATTTTTTAAAATATCATATATCTCATACAAAATAAAGTATATTGTAAATATTAGAATATAGTCTAGCTGAGTGGTTGATGTAAATGTAAAATAGCAAACAATTTAGAGCTATTTTGCATTTAAGATCCAATTATATTTTAGAGAGCTTACATCTTTAAAAATGCATTCTTCTACTAGCTTCAGGTGGATTGACCCATAAAACATAAAAAAGACAAGCTTGAAAAAAATTAAAACATACCATGTAATATGAGATGAATAAATTTCACTTAACTCTTACATACGTTCTTATGTACTTATTACCTGTTGTAGGTATACATTTTCTTGTAACTAATGTATAAAAATGTGTGCGTACGTATGTATATATATATATATATATATATATATATATATATATATATATATATATATATATATATATATAAGTTGATAGTTAACGTAGTAAGATAGAATTAATTAAAAACAGTGATGACTTCTTTTCCAGTTCCCCGTACCAATAACATTCTGGAGAGCCCATCAGTTAGTTCTTCTAAAAAGGACATATCTTTTTTAAAAGTAAAGAAAAAAGTTGAGTGTTTAAAAACAAGTTTACTGCAAAAATGGAATTAATTTAAAAGACAGCAGGTGGTATATAATGTTAAGTTTTCTACAGAATGCTTTTTAATTTTGTTAATGTGCAAGTTAAAATCCTTCAACAACTGTTACAATTTTTTTAATTAACAATGAGGAATTGTTATAAAAAAAGGATACAGTTAGCTTGTCCTTTTGCAGTGTGTGGTACACTGGGTAAGTTGAGGATGATTATACTTGCGGATGCAGACTTCAATTTAATTGCTTCATTTAATCTTATAGCAGTGTTCATGTGGAGAATAGTTTCCACACTAGAGTTGTTTTCAAACAAAAGAGTAAGTTGAATTTACTGGCTCGGTATTGATGGACAACACATTAATTACTTTACAACTTCAAACCAGATAGTGCTACTGGGTTGCTACACACCAGCCAAGAGTTATCAACACAGTCTGTATGTTATGTTTTGTAGGGGTTGAGCACAGCTCTTACAAATGTGACAGTTCATCATTAAAATGAATACACAAGGCTCTGTTGGCCATGAATGTTTTCTTTTAGTTCTTGGCCAATACATTTTGTTTGTAGTTTTGGTTTTTCTGTTTAAAAGAGTAGAGCACCTTGAAAAGAAATCTAACCCAGCTGAGCAAAACAAGACTGTAGGTGATTTCAGTCAGAAAGACTGAAAATGTAGCAAAAGTATCAGACTTTTTACCTGGGAAGTAAGCTTGTCCTACGTGTAAAAAAATCAGTAGGAGATGAATTCTCATCAAGTGTTCCATTACGGGCTAAATCTAGTGCACACTGAGCATCTTTTTCTATCTATCATTAAGATGAAAAATTACATTATGTTTTAATGGCTGCTTTTTTTAAGTAACAAAGTTTTTTAAAATATTGAACAACAGTTGTTTACTTATTACTACAGTTGTAATGAATCTTTGAATAAATTTAAATAAAATAATTGCATGAGCTTTACCTAATATAACCCCCCCCCCCATTATGTATGATAAAGTCTACATGTTCACTACACCCTACAAGAAAACCTACACTATAAGTAATACAAAGTTATGTACAATATGTTGAGATGTCCAAAATTAAATTGGCAGATGGTGGGTGAGGGTGATGGTAGGCGAGGAAGAGAGGTAAGTGTGGGAGATGGTAGGTGTGGGAGAAAGGTAAGTGTGGGAGATGGTGGGTGAGGGTGATGGTAGGCGAGGAAGAGAGGTAAGTGTGGGAGATGGTAGGTGTGGGAGAAAGGTAAGTGTGGGAGATGGTAGGTGTGGGAGAAAGGTAAGTGTGGGAGATGGTAGGTGAGGGAGATGGTAGGGGAGGGAAATGGTGGGTGAGGGAGATGGTAGGCGAGGAAGAGAGGTAAGTGTGGGAGATGGTAGGTGTGGGAGAAAGGTAAGTGTGGGAGATGGTAGGTGAGGGAGATGGTAGGTGAGGGAAATGGTGGGTGAGGGAGATGATAGGCGAGGATAGGTGAGGGAGATGGTAGGTGTGGGATGGTAGGTGTGGGAGGGTAGGTGAGGGAGATGGTGAGGGAGATGGTAGGTAAGGGGAGGGAGATGGTAGGGGAGGGAGATGGTGAGGGAGATGGTAGGCGAGGGTAGGTGAGGGAGATGGTAAGTGAGGGAGATGGAGATGGCAGGGGAGGGAGATGGTAGTTGAGGGAGATGGTAGGTGTGGGAGATGGTAGGCGAGGGACAGGAATTATAAGCATTTCTAATTTTGTTTTGAAAATATCAAAAGCATTAAGTTTAGCTTTCCATAAAGTTAACTATTGTGTCCAAGCAAAGAAATTAGGATATGCTTAAATATGTTCTCTTAAACAAAGAAATTATTACCCATGAGGCTCTTCTGTGGGAAGTTCCGGTGCTTTTCTGAAAATTAAAATTGTAAGCATTAGCTTTGTTAAATTAATTAAATGAACTAGGTTCTAAATTCAATGCCATAACTTTTTACAAATAAGAAGTATAGTCTAACAGCTTGTAAAAAGTTTGGAGAAAGTTCACTCACCTTTTTGTATGTTGTACTTAAGAAAGCTAACATTTTGGACCTTTCTTCTAGTTTCAGTGTTCGCTCATACACATAAGCTGATATATCAGTATCTGCCTAATTTTATAACAAAGTAATCATAGTTATAAGACTTGCAATATTCAGTTTTTTTATTCTGGATTAAATGGTACTTTAAAACTAAGACAAAAGCCATATCTGATTCTAGAAATACCATCAGAATCTAAGGTAACACAAAGTTGCAATAATGTAAACAATGTGGGCATTCTATTTTTCTAGAAGGAAAGATGTTACAAAATATTTTTAACCCTTATAGATATAGCCAGGTGTGTACTTTTCCCTTTTCATTGATTTCCATTAAACAGGGCTAAGGCTTACAAAAACAAATTAAGGTGATTTAAGTACAAAATATTAACACCTCTGGGCTGGATGGAATTTTTTATAAAATAAAATACCAATCTAAAGGAATAGAGAGCAATAATAGGTTGGGGATGTAAGGGTTAACATTAGGCTAATTATGTTAATAAATTAAGCAATTTTATTTAGTTGAAGGATCAGTAGTCAGTGAGGAAAAAGGTAGCATGACTTGTTCATCAAGAGCAAAAATGTATATGAGGTAAGAATTTCTAAAAATGTAGTCATTTTACAACTAGTTAGTTGTTAACAAGTAAAAGACAAGTTACCCTTTTAGCCTGGCAGTCAATGATTAAGTTGAGTTCACCCGTTTCTGTTCCTAAGCACATAAAGGATAGTGGTGAGCACTATGCCCATTTACCTTTACTTTAACGTGAGTCAGGTACCAATCAAGGATATTTTATGGGCAAAGCCGTGGATCTGAACTCAAAGACTTATGGGTTAGCAGCCGTGTGCTCTAAACTGTAATATTATTTCACTTGAACTGTCATACCATTTCAATGACTTCCACAGTTCCGTTTATTCGTAGTTGATACAAATAAGTTTTGAGATCATTTTTTATCTGAACACTGTTTTCATCCGTACCTAGAATTTTTTCAATTTAAAAAAAGTTTGAAGTTGATTGAAGAAACTAGATAGTTATGTTAAATAAACAATGAGAAACATGTCAAGAGACAGGACTGTTATCTTTTTAACCCAGAACAGAAGATTTAGGGGTATTTTTCTTGGTCATCAGGTTACTTACATTTCTATAGTGATTCTTTAAAAACTAGCAATTGTAACATTTCCCCTCTACATGTTTCTAGCCATATGTACATAAAGTTATTCAATGTTGTAGAAATCAATCTAAAAATGTTAGTCCACTCCACCTATTTAATGAATTTCATCTTTCAGGATAAATGGTCTCAATGAATAAGAGTTAAAAATTAAGGAAGAAATTATGAGCTAACACAAACAGCTTAGTTTTTAGGTTCAAGCTATTGCAAGGAAAATGTATTCCAATTTCAGCTTACATTACATGTAAGGGAAATGTGCAAACTGCATGAGAATTTATTGGTAAGTACACTTGATATTGAAATATGAATGAGATGAAGGGATCAATCAAATGAAAAGATACCTGCCACAGTAAAGAGCCTTATCTTGCATTTGCTCATCATTTTGTGCCGTGTCAGAAGATGCCCCAGCAGCAGTAGCATGCCACCATCATTTGACAAGTGTTAAGGAACTTGTATTTCTAGACCATTTTTATAACTACAAAATGTAGAGTTCTTAGACCACTCCTAACAACAATTCATACATAATTGACATACATTATGACTGCATGAACTAATTGACATACATTATGACTGCATGAATTGACATACATTATGACTGCATGAACTAATTGACATACATTATGTCTGCATGAACTTCTTCAATAATTATTACCAATGAAAATAACATACTACAGTTCATGTGTTGCTTGACAAATATTAAACAAATATAAAACACTTTCTTGACAAGCTTGTGGCTTTGGCATTTCAGTACTTAGTTACACTGCAACTGAACTTTCCCATTCAGTTTCTGTATGTGACTGTAGAATGTCCTCTTGCATATTCAAAATATTATGTATTACAAAAAATGCCCTCACCCAAGTAGAAAAAGGATATTAACAATCCACCATATGTCGATAGTGCCACTGAGCCGTTCACCTTTAACAGGCAAACCTTCACAGTTTTTACACACTATCAGGGCATTCCCTGCCACTCCCACATTATAAATAGTATCTGAAATTATTAAACAACTTTGTTAAGTATACGTTTATTCTAAAATAATATATTATACAGTAATTTTAGTGTTTTTCAAAGTTTTATTTTCTATAACAAAATCTCTGCACACACTTAAAATCCAACTATAGGCTCAATGTTCTAATATTAAGCATATAAATCATTCCTTTTCATAACTATAGAGATATTATAATATCATGATAGTTCGATTATAATACATTTTACAAATACACTTAGAAATTAAGTAAGAAAAAAATCTCAATACAGTTTATCTTGCCATTCTTTTGGGTAAGTTGTCTTTGGTATTTTAAACTTAGTGTTGGACTGCTATACATAGAAAGAACTGTCTGCTACATTATGCAACTAAATTAATTTGTTACTATGTAACATTTACATCTCTATAAAGGTAATTATTTTTTGTTTGAACACAGAGATCTAAATGATTTTTTTTTAATCTGGGTACAGCGGCAAATGAAATACTTATCATGTATAAATGAGGTCTACCCAACCTAAAAATGTGTGATACGACGGCAAACATCGAGTGGCAATCCAATCGCTTGGCCAGCCCATAACTATCGTGTTTGGTCTCAGAGCTCCTAATCCTGCTGACTGAATCCTGGAAAAATATTTTTTACAGCTGACATAAAAACAAAGAAAAACCATAACCACATTCACATTCAAATGATTCACAGGCTATCAAGACAACAAAAACTTTTACAATTCCAAGACCCAGAGTAGTGCGCAGTTTTTTGGGTTAGGGGAAGCAGCGAGTCGAGTAAATACTATACATAATACATTCAAAAAGTATTCTTTGAAGAACACAAAAGAACAAAACACTGTGTACTTTGCAAAACAATTTATCACACAAAACAACACTATGTACAACACAAAATGTACACACAACACAACCATAAGCAATACACAACAAGAAACGCAACACAATGGGTTTAGTAATCCTTGAAGAAAAAACAATTTAACATAATGGAATATTACATTTTTAACAAGATAAATGAATTTTAGTTGGGGACATAATCACTCGCTTGATATAGATCTGTATTTAACCAGAGTGATCATTGCTTTACTATATTTTACTATATTTTAATGTACTAGCTATGACAATTAGTTTTTACAAACAATTTTGTCTACAATCAGAATAATAATATAATTATCAATTACGCTAAAATACAAAAGCATGAAAAAAGTTTGTAATAGTGAAGTTTATACATAAACGCTAGTTGCAGCAGTCAGATTAAATATAATAGTTGGAACATTTTAAACAAATAGATTTAATTTTTCAAATACATTATTCTTCTTGCATTTCAGATCATTACATTTTAGAATAAGCTACTGTTCTCTAAAGATTACAGTTTAACATAATAATAAGATATGGGTAAGATCACTGTATTGCTCATACACCCTTACTGGTAATTGCATAAAATAATTTTCATAGAGCATTATCTGCTTCTAAAGCTATATTTCTGATCTAAAAAAAACAAGTATAGTCATTTCAGTCCAAAACCACAACATAGTGGCAAACCCAACCCTGACCAGGAGTCTTTTGATTGACAGGTTTTGGGGGAAATAAAGACATCTCAGCATGTGATCATTACATAACACAGAAACAGTTTCTCTACTTCTTTAAAATATTAAATAATAATTTTTGCTTTCTTTTATAATTACAAAGTTGATAGATATCTGTGGGTTACCTCTTCTGCACAGATAAAGTATATACTCACATACAGCAAAGACCATCTGTTATTGAAGGGCTCACAACGATTTCAATAAAGCCTTTAACATCTGCACTCTTCACACATTTGATGAATATCTGACATACATTTTACATCATGTCAAATCTTTAGATTTTTTACTTTAGAAACAGAAAATAAACACTTAATATTTAAGTTTAAGGATATTCCAAAATAGAATAGACCAACACCAGAGATATATCACCAGCTGATAGAGATCTCCCTATAGATGATAACCCACTCTCAAAAGATGAGATACATAAAGCCTTGAAGCAGCTAAAAAATTGGAAGGCTCCAGGAATAGATGGTATACCAGAAGAAGCACTGACAGTGGATATCAAAACTAGCACCGCACTACTACACACACTCTTCAAAAATGTGGGAAGATAACCAAAGAATGGGGATCCTAGTGCATGCTTTAACTATAGAGGGATAACACTTTTGTCCATCCAAGGCAGTCTTCAACAGAATATTATTCAAGTCCCCAACTTTGAGATCTACAGGCGGCTTTAGGAAGGAAAGATTATGCACAGACCAAATATCTTGACTGTGCATCATCATTGAACAGACCCAAGAGTGGAGCTCATCTTTCTACATTAATTTCATTAATTTTGAGAAGGCCTTTGATAGCCTGTATAGACAGTCAATGAGAAAACTGTTCAGGCACTATAGGGTGTCACAGAAAATAGTCAATATTATTATGTCCTCATATGAAGGTCTCAAATGTAGAATAGTGTAAGGCCAACAGACTACAGAGGCCTCCCCTGTGAAGAGTGCAGTAAGGCAGGGTTGCCTACTCTCACCATTCCTGTTCCAGCTGGCCATTGACTGGGTTAGGAAGATGTCAACAGAGAAAATGAAGCAGTATACAGTGGATACTGTGGAGCCAGCTGGTTTGTTCAAGTCATCGAATATATCCTTATAGTGCAGTAACAGTGTAGTGAACTAATGTCATCCTGTCAAGTCATGTGTCTGTGTTGATGTTGTTGTGCTTTAAGTCAGAATTATATAATGAACTCCTGAATGGTTAGAGAGGAACATGATGGTAGTTAAACCCTCTCACTGCATAACTGCAGGAGACATGGTCCCCAACTGAGGTAAAATTCTCAAAGTCAATGCATCAAGCAGCACCCCAATAACATTGGTACAAGGAGCCCTAGAAGAAGAGGAAAAGATTCACCTACTTTGGAAGGTTTGTTGAAAGGCAAGGCGGGAAAGAAGCCAACATAAAACTAAGGAAAGGCAAGGCAAGAGCAGTCTTTAACCAACTAAAAAATGTTTGGGGGTTCTGGAGATTTAACCCTTGGAATAAAATCCGGATCTTCAACACACTAGTAAAACCTGTTTTACTACATGGAGCTGAGACATGGAGAATAACTGCCACAAATAAGAAAATACAATCATTTGTAAACTCATGCCTAACACCATCAGAAATGAGGTACTAAGGCAACTGACAAAAATGGAAAATGTGAAAATGGAGATAGATTGGCCACACACTCAGGAAGTCTGTACACACCATGTATCCACAGGGCAAAAGAAATAGAGGCCGACCAAGTAAGACCTGGAGATGTGACCTGGAAGAAAACACCAAAAGATTGGATACATCTGAGGACAGTTGGAGAGACTAGCCCAGGACAGAAATGCCAGGAAAGCTCGTCAGCTGCAAATGTCCCAGGAGGGGTGACAGGCTAACTTAACCTAATCAGAAGGAAATCTGAATAAACATGCCTATGTTCCTCAGAAACAGCTAACTTAACCTAATCAGAAGGAAATCTGAATAAACATGCCTATGTGCCTAAGAAACAGCTAACTTAACCTAATCAGAAGGAAATCTGAATAAACATGCCTATGTGCCTCAGAAACAGCTAACTTAACCTAATCAGAAGGAAATCTGAATAAACATGCCTATGTTCCTCAGAAACAGCTAACTTAACCTAATCAGAAGGAAATCTGAAGAAACATGCCTATGTGCCTCAGAAACAGCTAACTTAACCTAATCAGAAGGAAATCTGAATAAACATGCCTATGTTCCTCAGAAACAGCTAACTTAACCTAATCAGAAGGAAATCTGAATAAACATGCCTATGTGCCTCAGAAACAGCTAACTTAACCTAATCAGAAGGAAATCTGAATAAACAGCCTCAGAAACGGCTAACTTTACCTAATCAGTCCACATAAATGTTACCTGACAAAATTAACAATTTCAGGCATATCATATTGAAAACCTTTCATTTGCTCTACAAAATAATATTGGACATATATAATAGTTTATGTATTAATACCTGTTTTAATTGTTGTTTTTCTTCCTTCATTACTCCAATAGTTCCCTGTATAACGGTTCCAAACATGGTCAATCCTTTACCTAGAGCATACATTGCAATATTTGTGGTTTAACACATTTCACATTTTTTTTGGCACTACTCATAACAAAATATAGTATAGGACTACTTAAGCTGATGACATTGGTTACAAAGAATTTCAGTGATGTATAAAGTGTGGTATAAAATCCTTTGCTGAAATGTTTTAAATTTTGAACATTTTAATGTTAAGAGTTAACAAGGGAAAGAGTCATCCTCCATGTGTTATGTATGTCTATGAAATCAGTGAAGATTAAGCTAAAATCTTTGTACCTGCTTTCAGCATGTCAGCCACTTGTACAAGAGCCATGTCTTCATTATTAAACTCTGTCTGACTCATCGTTATATTTTTCAACTTTAAAAGCACTAACACCTGGGGTCTGGTTAAGAAATACAAATCATTTTATTTCTTCATCATCACTAAAACACACACAAAGACATTTTTAATTATTTACAGTAGTTTAGTCAGTGAGCTCCAACAGTTTAAATCAGACACATTTTTTTTTGTTTTAGCTGTAATGTAAACTAAAAACTGTCAAGTTAAAAAATATCCTCTTGTAATCATTTATCATTCTTGTATGATGCCTATATTATATGCATGGTGATGTAAAGAGATTTATCAACATAAGTCTGCAGTAATTTTACCTCCAATTTTTTATATGCATGTAGTCATGTTTCATCCTCATTAGAGCGTACAATGCACTGGTCATTTTCAAGCCAGTCATTCCATCACCCCATTCCTTTTCAGCACTGAAAATTTATTAGACAATTGTTTATTAGTAAATTTATTAGATAATTGTTTATCAATTAAATATTTAGTATAACACAGTTGATATAGTTATAAACTTGAATGTTAGTTAAAGCTGGAACATGTGGAACAAATTTGGAAAGTTTTTTTTTTAAGTTCTCATTGAATAAATCATTGTTTTGGGCTTATTTACAGTGAAAGATTTCTAATACAAATTACAATATACAAAACTAACCCTTTGTATTCCAAATAATTATACATCAGATATGCAAGAAATATTGCCACAATCGCATATTGCCAGCTGCATATAAACATTGTGACCAAGCAAAGACAAGTTCCAAGTAGGGTTAAACTCCAGTGATAATATTTAAAGCTGGGACGCCAGTGTGGGGTGTCCAGAAGAGATTGAAGAGTTACAGCAAAATTAATGAATCCATAGCACATTAAAAAGAACATGGTGACAATAGGTGCCACATAGTCCAAGAATGCAATGAGAAGTCCTATCTCCGCTATAATAAATGTCACAACCAGACATCTGACAGGTTCACCATGCCACTTCTTGGAAAAAAATGCCAGGCCAGGAATGATGTTATCCTCTGCAATAGCTTGAAGCAGACGAGGTCCTCCTAAAAACAAAATTCATGTGATGCTAATTTTGTATACATCATCACTATCATGTATCATAATATTTAAAGTAGCAAGTTAACAAACTGTACATTGAACACTCATTCTTTTTTTATACAGCAGTTATTAATAGTAAGTAAATTTTCCTTTAGAGCCTAGTGGTCCATGGGGCAAGTGAAGTTCAGTTTGCCTGTTTCTGTGATCTCGGAATATGAAGGGATAGTGTGTTCAGCACAATGCCCAGCAGCTTTTACTTTCCCTAACACGAGTCAGGTACACATCAGAGTTGGGTGAACTCAGGGATGTTCTATAGACTTGAAGCTAGATTTGAACTTAAGACTCTAAGGTAAGCAGCTCAACCATTTGAACAAACTGTCCCATTTAGTGCTAGTAAAGAAATGTAATATACTAACAATTTAATTTTTGTCATTTCTTTAAAGGAAAAAAATTAAAACAATTACAAACCTAGTACCTGATTTAACAGTACAGACAGTTTGACAGTTCTGAACTGTTAGCACTTATATTAACAGTACAGACAGAAGCTGGTTAACTTAAATAAACTACTTTTTAAATCAACGAACCTGCAAGTGCTTGCATTCCAGCTCCAATAGTTGCTGTGAAGGTTCCTACAAGAACAACCCATTTTGAAGGATAAGCTATCAAGGACAAGACCAAATCACCATTGTTGCTTATGCTCCTACCAAATCTAAAAAATACAATTGCACATGACCTGACTACATTAAACACTAATGTACATAAGATAAATATGACCTTTTTCAGCACTTCTAGACCCTCTTATTTCAAATAAAACTCAAGACCCTTGTTAATTATCAGCTTACTTCTTATAAAACGCAAAATGTCTATATTCTTACCTATACAAAACAGTTCTTGAATACAAACATTGCAATTAAACCTTATATTATTGGTATTCATGATAAGCTGTTACAAATTTTTAATGATAATATTTTAATTAAGGGGATCTTTTTAGAAATGAAATCCCACTAATTAGTAAAAGACATTTATTTAGCTGATTAAAAAAACAACTTACTTATCTCTCAGCAATACACCTTCAACTGATCCACCAAAAAAAAAGACTGAAGAAAAATCTTGTGGAGTTAAAAGGAAATTGTAGGTACTAGTTGTGTTACACACTCACCCACAAGAGACTAGATATTCACAACATCACTGAAACAGTCAGGGCTAAAACAAAGTACAATATGCTATTTATGGCAGACTTTTTATATGCACAAAACTGTTTTAAGCAAGGAATAAAATGAATACATATTCCAATGTAATAATTGTATTGATGTCAGTGTCTTAAGTTTGTTTAACAAATGCATTTGAAAGATAGGTACAAAAGGATACAGATCAATGATGTTACAATAGCAGCAGAAATAGTACCCCTAGGAATGGATACTTGGGCATCTTTCAAGTCACCAGAGTAATTGGATCCTGATTCAACTCTTAAAAGAAAAGATATCATATATAAATATGCAAGCCCTTATTGTGTATTATTCATTTCTCCATATGTCTTCAAACTATTTAAACTGGCCATGATCAGACCATGAGTGGCTGACACAATGTATAGCATAGGTGTCTTTATAATCAGTAAATGCGAGCCATTAGCAACTGGTGTCTGCAGTTGTATTTATAGATTAGTACATGAATACTATATTACATAACAAGTTTTCAAATCTATGGGCTAACTGTAAGCCTATAAAATGTAGCAATTTTTAACATCTAGTAAACTTGGGAAAGTAAATTAAAAGTAATACTAAAAATGTTGCTAAAAAAACAACTTATATAGATACAATTATAAAAAAAATAAACTTATCTGTAATAGAGGGGAAATAAATGCCAATCAGTACAATAAAACTTGTTGTGATGTCTGTAGTAATATCTTTTCTTGCGCTCTGGGCTTTTACATTTGTTCCTGGAATATTTCCTTTCTCTGTATAAAAATTGTCCCATGCATCTGCCGAAAAATTGTTATTAATTGAATTCAAAGCAGTCTAAATCTTTTTTTAAAATATTTTGATTTCAACTTAGTTTTACATTTTAAATATTATTGTCTTGCGTTACAAATGTTACAAAGCTATTTACTAAAAAGTTATCATTAGAATAAAAATAGGTGTGTCAAACCACAAAAATATGTATATCATTTAAATTATTTACACTGAAATTGGCTTTTCTTACTTTTTGATTAAAGTAAAAAGTAATAAAAAGGGAAGTAAAAAAACTAAACTTTTGTACATTTAAAAAAATCACCAAAAAATTTTCTGATGAAAGAGCATATCAAAATGTAAGGGAACTACATTTCTTTGAATTTAAGTAATTTGTAAGCCTGTAACATATACGTTTGAAACTAAACCATACCCACTTTTTTTTACACTGGCAATGAAATGTACGATCACGTGACCTTTTACATTTAACAGATAAAAATATTCAACTATTCTAAAAAGATTATAAAGATAAGTTGTAATTTATATTCTAAGTACCCTCTGTCAGAAAAGACAAAAAAATTTGAACTAAGCAATCTGAAAAAAATTAGACAACGCTACAAAGAAAGTGAGGGGGGGGAGAAATAGTTCATCGGATAAAGCTGAAAAATGACATGGAAGCAATCATTAAATGAAGTTATAGCTTAAATAATAAATATATACTGAAGAAATAAACTAAAAAAACTAGTAAAACCTGTTTTACTCTATGGAGCTGAGACATGGAGAATAACTGCTATAAATAAGAAGAAAAAACAATCATTTATAAACACATGCCTCAGAAAGATCCTGCAAATTCGCTGGCCTAAAACCATAAGAAATTATGTTCTATGGCAACGGACAAATCAACTGCCAGTTGAAGTAGAGATCCTCCAGAGAATGGATGCATGTATCCAGCATAACAAGACAGGCCAACACCTGGAATCCACAGGGCAGAAGGAGTGGCAGACCAAGAAAGAACTGGAGACGTGACGTGGAAGAAGACACCAAGAAGATTGGATACACCTGGGGACAGTTGGAGAGACTAACCCAGGACAGAGACGCCTGGAAAGCTCTTGTCAGCGGCCTATGTCCCAGGAGGGACGACAGGCAAACCTAACTAAAACTTGCCAACATCAATTTGAAAAGTTTGGTGGAGCGTTGTTAATGAAGGAAACAGCCATTTTCTGCGACCAGGCCTAGAGCAATTTTAGTGATCGGTATAAAGTGTTTTGTTGAGCTCAGCCTTTTTTGACCATGCTCAGAAATGATAAACACCTTTCTGAAAATGCTAGTAAAAATTTATACAAGGTCAGAATCACATATTATTTTTCAAATTGCTTAGTTTTTTTAACATTTTTTTTTGCATTTTTTAAATTTAGTATCTCACTAAAGCTATCCAATTTCGCACATTTTACATATATTTGTAAAGAAATATGTTGAATAGGCAAAAAGGCACAGGAGTAGAAAGGGAGGGGGGATCAAAATTTCAATATAAAATTTACCTTTGACAAGTCTCAAACTAAAGCCTGGGATGCCTGGTATGAGTCTAGCTTCGTTTTGAAGAAAAAACTCATCACACATATTTCCCTCTGGGCAGTATAACTTGTAAAGGGGACCACCAGGATCTTTATTGCACTCCCAACTGTTATTTTTGAACACTGCTGAATACTTTATTGCACGGTTTCCTAATACACATAGCCTGGAAGAATGTTAATGATTTGTGTGACAATCTTTAAATAGGTCAACTGTACCTTGATATGGGAATATCCTAATGCAGAACTGGTAGTTACTGATTATACCCGATAATCAATCACACAAAATGTTTTTTTTAAACAACATTTGGTAAGAAATAAGATTGATTTTTATCTTATAAAATGCATCAAATTTCAATAGCAATAATGGAAATTTTTACCAATAAAAATTTTGACAGGTTGTTTACAGAAATAAATATGTAATGGTTATTTTACTAATGCAGAATATTTTTAAACAACAGGTATTTAAAACACAACATTAGTATATGAATCATTTAAGTTTGGCATTTGATATTAATTTTTTACAGCATTATACTCCATTCCCTTTTTTTTACTTACTTTACACTTCTTTCAGGGGAAGCTGCAGCAAGCCCACAAAATATGCTTAATAAACCTGCCACCAAAAATAAGATGGCAAAGAATGCAAAGCGTGAAACACATTTGACACCAATAAAGACAACAGTTGTCATAATTAATAATAGAATTGAACAGTAGAGTCTATAATCATTGAGTCTCGCTGGGTCTTCTGGTGCATCTCCAAATATTGCCATGCTTGGTGCAATGTAAGTCTGAAAGCAAAACGCCAAATTTTCTGGTTAGAAATGTTAAACTTTTGTTGATGGGCTGATTTTAAAAGATACCAGCAGCTATTTATTTCAATAATCAGCAAATGTAAGCCCTGCTAGGGGGGGATACCTAATATCTACCCTTCTAGGCTTATCTAACTAACTACTGTCCGGTCAGTGCAAGCCCGGATAAACCCAGACTGGTTAATAACCTAACCTTAGTCTAAAATAAAAAAAAACTACTAAAATAAAACAAAAAAACTTAAACAATATAATAAAATTTATTTAACAAAATAAATATGGAATATGGAACCAAAAGTTATTATGAAAAAACTAGAATCTAGATATAGGCATAATAAAACTATTAAAACACTCAAGACTCAAGGCATACAAAACAAACAGAACTCAACACAACAAAACACCCAATTTCGGACCACTGTCCATACACCACATAAACGTGACACAGAAACTCTTCAACACACAGGCCTCGACATTCCAGCCGAATGTCCCTCCCTGTCGACACACCACATTCACGAACAAAGAAACCAATACTACGAACAAAGAAACCAATGCTACGAACAAAGAAACCAATGCTACGCACAAGAAAATAGTCCCTAATACAATAATAAGTAGCATTCAGGACATAAAGCAAAGTGGAGCAACAATCCAAAACAAAGTTTGCATAAATAATAACATTAAAATATAAACAAGACACAATAACCAGGCTACAAACTATTGTAAAATCGAAATCATATCAGCGCCATAATAGCGGACTACTTAACTAAAAACCACAACAATCCTCAAAGGAACATAAAAAGCGACATTCGCCTTCTTAGTTACAAATAATTATAATAACAGATAAACACACTCCAGCCGCTCACATACACGCCCCTTAAAACTTGCGGTCACCGCAAGCTAAATAACTTGAAAAAAATCAGGGCACAATCATAATTTTACAAAAACAAAAACTTTGCAAAAAAACCAGACCACAGGGCACAATCATCACAATTTCTGCAAAACACAATTTTGCAAAAGAACTTGCAAAAAAATCAGCCCACAGGGCACAATCATAAATTTTACAAAAAACAAAATTTTGCAAAAAAATCAGACGATGTGGCTGTAGCAGCCGGCGGTACAACTTTGACCGGCCTTGGGGAGGGCGGTTGAGCCTTGGGAGGCACATATCTCCTAATCTGTGTGCTGGCCACCCGGCGGGTGCCAGAAGGGCCATCTTTCTTTTTAATGGTGTAACACCCACCGGTGATCGGAGGTAATTCGACCACGACATAAACTGTCGGGCCGTCCAGGTCTGCTATTTTGCGTCTGCCAAGTGGGGGTTGTCTCAGAAGGACCAGGTCGCCTATGGCCAGTTCAGCTACAGGTGCCTTTTTGACCTGCTTGTCCTTCTTGCTCGACTCTGTCTGGGGGCATCCCCCAGCACCACCACCCGGTGCCTTAATTAAGGATGGGTTAGGTGGAACTATTGTCTCTAGTTCCTCAGATTGGTCCACCTTTATACTGGTTATGCTGGCGCGTAGGCAGGATGTTGGGCCTGATACCACTGACGGATCTGGGTGAAAAGGTTGGTCTAATGGCTGTACCACCTTGTCGTCCTTCATTCCGGGGTCTCCTTTCGTCGCCTGAATGGTTGGTACACTCTTGGCAGACACCAGAGTCCTTTCGTGGGGGCGGAGGACCTTGTCCCCTCGCCATACCTTCGGTGTCACCCCTGGGGGCTTGATCAGGTGGGCCAATGTGGTCAGGTCCTGGAGAACGTTCATGCCCAACAAACAGGGTGGAGCTGATGAGCCACCCACTGGATCCTTTATCACAAGGAACCCCTTGTCGCGTATTTCTTCCTTGTTGATCTCCAGGTCAGTAATAAAATAGCCATTGTATGGGATGGCCAACCCATTTGCTGCCCTCAAGGACAGGGGTGTGTCTGTTCTTAGGATAATGTTCTTGAGGCTCCTGTTACAAAATGTTTCAGTGACCGTGCTGACTTGTGAACCACTGTCTATAACGGCCGTCACCGGTACACCTTGTAAATACACAGTCAGGGTGGGGCACTGTCCAGCCAGCTTGTGAATGGTGGAGCTTGGGCTCTGCCCACCAGCAGTAGTAAGACTCTGAATCACTGCGGCCTCCTGCTTCTTTGAGTTTCGACAATTGCGGGCGAGGTGACCTTGCTGGTTACAATTGTAACACATTCTTGTTTCCGCCTCTGGACGTCGGCGGGGTACCCTTCGGCTAGATGACACTTGAGGGTTCTGTGCCAACTGAGTCAACAGAGCCGATAGCTGCTCTGCGAGCTTGTCCACCCTGTCTTCCAGCTTAGACCTGGGCAGGGTGGGTTCTTCCTTGGGGCGTGCATGTAGAGCTGCCACATAGGCAGGTTCTGTCCCTGGGTCCTCGTCTCCAGACCATCGAATGGCCGCATCCCGTATGGCCAGGAAGGGGATCTTAGGGTCCCTGAAAACTAGTTCTTGCAACTGACGTCTGACTGAGGACTGGCTCAGCTTTTCTATAAACTGGTCCCTTAGGAACTCAGCATTCGTCTGAGGGACCTGCAGGGTGCCCTGTCTGGCAACAAGGACCTTGAAGGCCCTGTGCAGGCGGTGCGAGTAGGCCCTCACCGACTCGTGTTGGCCCTGCACAACCATTTGGAGTTGCGCCATTAGCTGGGAGACGCTCCTCTTCTCCCCATAGACTTCTCGGAGGAGCCTGATGGAGGCCTCTGGGTCACGTTGCAGGTCATCTCCCCTGCAGCTCAGTTCTTCTCTCACAGCTTCCCCCAGGTACTGCCAGAGAAGGTCCTTCCTCTCTTCTACTGAGACGTCTCTTCTGGCCCTCCAGAGAGACTGGACCTCGTCAATGAATCGTTCCACATCATAGCCGTGGCTGTCCCCATGAAACTTCCGGATGAGGATCTCCCTGGGTGGAACGATGATGATGGCTGGTGCCACCTCCGCCATCTCGTCCGAATTGGGTGTTTTAAACAACAAACGGTTCCTACACTAAACAAAAACTAAACACATATGGTTCCATAAAGGGCCTATCAAAAAAAATTAACTAAGCTTCACCTAGCCCTAGCAAAAAAACAAAAATTAACTAGACTAAAGCACTGACCCCACTCGTGCTACCAATTTGTAAGCCCTGCTAGGGGGGGATACCTAATATCTACCCTTCTAGGCTTATCTAACTAACTACTGTCCGGTCAGTGCAAGCCCGGATAAACCCAGACTGGTTAATAACCTAACCTTAGTCTAAAATAAAAAAAAACTACTAAAATAAAACAAAAAAACTTAAACAATATAATAAAATTTATTTAACAAAATAAATATGGAATATGGAACCAAAAGTTATTATGAAAAAACTAGAATCTAGATATAGGCATAATAAAACTATTAAAACACTCAAGACTCAAGGCATACAAAACAAACAGAACTCAACACAACAAAACACCCAATTTCGGACCACTGTCCATACACCACATAAACGTGACACAGAAACTCTTCAACACACAGGCCTCGACATTCCAGCCGAATGTCCCTCCCTGTCGACACACCACATTCACGAACAAAGAAACCAATACTACGAACAAAGAAACCAATGCTACGAACAAAGAAACCAATGCTACGCACAAGAAAATAGTCCCTAATACAATAATAAGTAGCATTCAGGACATAAAGCAAAGTGGAGCAACAATCCAAAACAAAGTTTGCATAAATAATAACATTAAAATATAAACAAGACACAATAACCAGGCTACAAACTATTGTAAAATCGAAATCATATCAGCGCCATAATAGCGGACTACTTAACTAAAAACCACAACAATCCTCAAAGGAACATAAAAAGCGACATTCGCCTTCTTAGTTACAAATAATTATAATAACAGATAAACACACTCCAGCCGCTCACACAAATGTTTTTTGATATACCAAATTAACATTACCTATGAGTCAATCAATATATGATATTTAAAAGTTTTACCAGCAAAGTCTCTATTGTACCCAAATAGTACATGGCAACTGAAATTGATGTTCCAAGAAAAAATAATATTCCAACAGATCCGCCAAATGTAGGGCCAAGGGAGCGAGATATCATAAAATATGTTCCACCAGCTGTCACTCTTCCATTGGTTGCAATTGCACTCATTGATATAGCTGTGCAAATGCTCTGAAGGGATATAATTTTTCATATTTTATTAAAAAAAAGTAGAGAGGCTTAGTGGCTTAAAACAGTATGAGCAGCCTAAAATATAATAAAAGTGTAGCCCTGGTAAAATAAAATTGTGATTTACTAGTTAAGGTTAAGTAATCTAATGTGATAAATATTTTAATAACTATGAGACAAAAGCAATACAAACCATGCCACAGCATATCATAACAATGATTCCACCCTCAAAAATTCCAGCACATCCTACAATCCAGGGGAAGCGAACAAAGTAGATTACACCCACAATATTTTGACAGCATGGCAAGAAAACACCTAAGAATGTTCCTAAGTTTGCTTTCTGTAAAAAAAAAAAAAAATTAGACACTGACTTTTTTTTTGTACCGCACTATTTCCCCCCTCCTAAGCTCAGAATATTCATGACCAAATTTTTAGAAGAGCATGGTTATTTATTTTGTTATAGCTACTGTGTCTTCCAAGAAAGACTTGTTATAGATCAAAATAAATAAAAGAAGGAGGTCAATTAAATAAATAAGATTGTAAAAAGCTTAAATTGACAATCTGGTGTAATGATAATTTTATAAAATTACTGCAGTCACTATAATTGACACCACTACCCGCAACTTTTACATTCACAACTATTGTGGATGAACCTGAATTATTGACTATCTTCAGATAGTAAGAATGTTCAATCCAGCTAATCAATTGAATCTGAATTAATTAATCAACTCAGCTAACATAGCACATGCTAAAAATAACTAGAATAGCCATTGTCTAAAATTAAGATGCAAATAACCCCTTCAATAAAACACATGTAACACTAGTTTTAAATTTGTTTAATATAAAGCAGGTCTAAGATGTTTTCTATTTTAAAACATGGGAGCGAATAACCTATATTAAATATATTCTGGATTTTAACAGTTGACAAACTTCACTTGCCAAGTATAACTTACATATGGCAAATCATTAAATGCGGCTTGTGGTATCATGAAATTATTTTGATTAAAAAATTATGAGCTTTTCATAATATGATGTCATCTTAGCTTCAATCAGACTAGACTGAACCCAGGTATTTCTACAATTGACTCCCATTGGTAAATGAGACTTTAAGGGTAGCAGTCATGGTCTTCCACCTTTACTATGCAATCTTTTCTAACTTGCAAAATAGCAAGTAGACTCAGCAGAATAAAAAAAAAAATTATACTTGATTTTTGCAAATATTTGGAAACTGGTATGCTTCATGAGTTAGGAGAATAATATATTTTTTAATGAAAAAAGTATTTTTTGGATAAAAAAATTCAACTATTAATTTTGTTTCTTATCAATAAAGAAACGTACCTGTCATGCTTTGTTGCGATCTAGTCCTGTGTAAGTTTAAAAGTGTGACTGTTTATAAAACTGAGTTATTTAAATGTAAATACAGCTAGCACTGTATTTCTTGAATCTTAGTCATTGGGGTGCAGGTTTGTCCACACAACACTCCCCAAAAGCCCCAGGCCATGCTGTATGAAAGCCTTAAGTCTACATAAATCACTCTCCTTAATAGTGAGATATAACTCTCCGTGCGACCGCCTCTGGAGCCACAAGTTTACCACTGGGGCACCAATGTGACCACTGGTTTGGTTTAGTCAGGTAATGTAGCCCATATATATAGGCGCTATAGTGATCATAGGGGAGCCGGGGCACTCTGGATCACCTGACCATCAGAGTGTCCAATACCTCCCCTGTTGCAGTTAGACAGTTTAATCAAGTAGTACCCCTGATCCCTGAACAGTATGCCTAATCAGACCCCAATGTACTCAGGTAGCTACTGGGAAACTCTAAGTGCCTAACTGTATGCTACTGATGCGGCAAAGGATGACGACCATGGTTTGATTTAGTCAACTATTATATTAGCCCACCATATCCATAGTTTATCGTACTCTTTAAAACTAATGAGGCATCATAGTGCTCCGTGCTGACCCGCGGCGCACTAGGTCATACAACCACCAAGATGCCAGGAAATGCCCCAGGTTCAATTTAGTCACCAATTATAGTAAACTGGTGATTCCATGGTGCAGAATTTTTTTAAACAAATCTAGGAGCCAAGTATCAAAGGTATTGTAAAGATATTATAGATACAAGAGCAAGCAGATATTTAAATTTAAAAAAAACTCAGTACCATTGTTTAAATTATTGGCTTAAGCCAACAGCTCACCCAACTGATAGTGTAAAATCAATACTTGTTAATTTTGTTATCTCCTCTTTTGTAGTTGAATAAAAAAAAATCTTCAAATCAATTTTAAATTATCAATTTAATATTTAATTAGATTAAAAATTATACATTCTAATGTTCTCTCAGAGCTAATGTATCTTGAAAGGTTGAACAAAACTGCTGTCTCAGAAGTGGATCAAAATAGAGTTACATGATTTGCCACAAACCTACGGTCATTTTGAACTAAGAAAAAGCTTGTAAAAACATACATGTGTTGGTGGCTCATTCTCATCAGCAGCTATAGTACTGTCTACGGTTTTCTTTACAACACGCTGGATAGAATCAACATTGCCACCAATATCATCCTGGTAAGAAAATAAATAAGGAAATAAAACTTCTTCACACACAGAATGAGCTATAGTTGTCACATAATAGATGCATTAATACAGTTGGTAGGAATATATCATCCTCAACTAAGGGAGACCACCTTCCTCCAACAAATTTTTTTTTAACAAAGAGCAAGTGAACAACCAATTACAATCTTACTTAAATTTAATACAAATGTTAAGTGAGTAAAGTTCTCTTTTCAGACTTTATGGTCCCTAGGGCAGATAAAGAAGAGTGTTTCTTGACTTCTGACTATGTGGTCAGTACTGTGCCAAGTCGCCTTTACTGTCCTTATTAGGCCACTTACTATTTTAAGAGAATATGGGAAAGAATAGGTTTTTTTAAATTAAAATATTCAATTACCTCATAAAGCGTTAGAGTCCTTTTATCTAAAGCATGTTCATAATTCTTTTTGAAATCATCAAAAGTGACCTTAGTTTCTAGAGAAAAAAACAATATGAAAATATTAAATAAAAACTGAAATGCATAAAGTAAGGCCTACTATAAATTATAGTATAAATTATAGTAGATAACAAGCATTTAAAACAAATGGACACTACTGAGTTGACAAGATCCTTCCATCATGTTGACATGGATAAAATTAGGATTTTTTAAATATTTTGACTTTATGGCGGACATAAAAATAATAAAAAATAAAAACATAATAATTCAGAAATTTAATATTTTTAGAATCAATGTTATAAAAGTTGCAAATCCAGAGAACTTAAAAATAATTGTTTGAGTTTAAGGCGACTTTTCTATTTATTTTCCTTAAGCCTAATTTATAAGCTGATGTTTCCATTTAGCATATTTTAAAAGAATAATCAGGTTTTGAGTTATTTTTGTTTTCTTTAAATATTTATATGGCTTGGCCCACGGTTTTGACTTTGCCACACTTCTGGGTTAATAATTTTTTGATCAATCAAATAGATTATAGTTGTAAATTAAAGAGGGTAACAAAATGAGAATCCAACTTTTTTCAATGTTATAATGTCAGAATCATAACTAATGCGTAATATTTAATGTTAACATACATGTTCAAATTCACTATAGGCTTTCAGTGGTTTTTATCTCCATGATTTTAAAACACTATACATTAAGTATTTGACATACAGTTAATTTCTCCCCATATAATTGAAATGTTTATAAGCGTAAATACCATTAGAAGCTTGGACTGGAGCGTCAAACACACTATATTCATTGACTGGGTATACTTTAAACCGTCCTGGGTTAGTATCACTAACAGGTGTAGAACCTGATGCCTCACTTGCTGAGTGTATCTCCATATCTAACTTGAGGAAAATAAATATTAAACCCTTTATAATACATAAATGTAATTGTTAAACACAAATATTATGTTGGATCATTTAGCAATCAGCACAACTGAGCAAATCTTTGATCTTAGTGTACTTTACAAAAATACCTACAAAATACCTACTACACCAGTAACATTGTTACTGCATTCATCAGTATCGCATGATGCACTGTGGGCAACCATGTATAATACAACATAAGCACAAACCTCACCAAAATAATCAAGAATTAGAACAACAGAGCAACCTGGACTATAGGCTATTGGTTTAGAACAACAATAGACATCAGGCAAGGCGCTTACTCTCTCCCATCCTTTTCAACATTTACCTATAAAGGGTTATGACTGACACCTTGGAAGACCATGTCAGCTAAGTCCGCACAGTTCTTGGCAGGCAGTGAAGGTGAGCTGAAAGAACTAATAGACATTGGACAGAACATCAACAGTGTGTGGAATAGAAATCAATACATATAAGATGACCAACAACCTAAAAGGTATGGAGGCAGACATACTGGTAAAAGGCCAAAGATTGGAATGAAGTTCACTCGTTTAAGTAGGCTACCTTGGCACTTTCCTATTTGATGAGGGAACAAAGCAAGAAGTATCTGTAAAAAGTGCCCAAATATTAACAGCAATCATTTGACATGACAAAAAAACCTCTTGGTACAAAAGTTAAACTCATGCGGTCACTGGTCAGTTGTGTCTTACTATATGGATGCGAACGCAGACATCCAGAGAAAAATACAAGCCGTGGAAATAGGATGTTTACTCAGACTCATAGGGTTCTCATTCAGAGATCACATAACAAATGAAAATGTCAGCGAATGACTAAAGTGATTGGTCCCTTGTGTATCCAAAACAATAATGCAGGGCAGAGTGCCAGGAAGGAGAAGATGTGGCTGACTATGACATCATTGCGTGGAAGACATCAAAGCATAGACTTGGCTCCCATTGTAGAACTAATCAGAGCAGCAACATGACAGAGTTAGATGGCAGAAAATTATGAGGAAATCAACTGTGGCTGTTAAATGACCCTCAGGGGTTAAGGGACATTTGATTTATAAATTGAAGATGGTCTGTATCAATTTTTTATGACTTGAGCTACTAGTATAACCAAACATATAGGCCTTAATACACATACATACACATGTATAATATGTATAATAATGTATGTATATATATATATATATATATATATATATATATATATATATATATATATAAACTATTTGGGGGGATGACACCTATTGACACCACAGTATCAAGGCCTACAAAGGCCCTTATTATGACACTTTTTTTTCAATTTCCTCTCCCACCCCAAATAGGCCTACATACTACATAGGTTACCCTTAGGCCTATCAGCTAAACCAAATATAATTCATATAAAAAATATAACACTAGAATCTAGAATCTAGTAACAGTAGTACTACTGACCTAGTTTAGATTCTAGATCTCTAGCTAGATCAATCTAACTTAAATTTTAAATAACTAAATCTATAATATTATTAAAAATAAACGTCTAGCAATAGTCTAGACCAGGGGTTGGCAACCTTTTGTGACGGAAAAGCCAAAAGTTAAAATTTACAAAATTTCCTATTTTTTTTTTATTTCAATAGTATATTTACTTATTTACTTTGGATTATGTATAGGCCTATATATATATATATATATATATATATATATATATATATATATATATATATATATATATATATATATATATATATATATATATATATATATATATATATATATATATATATAATAAATAGCTTTAAATATGAAGTAATATTTATTTATTTAAAAACACATGTTTCACAGAAAAAAATATTAAAGTATTTTATCTAGCTCTGCTAGAATAATAAAAAAAGTTCCCTTTTCAAACCTGATGGTCTATAGGGCAAGTGAAGTAGAGTTCACTGGTTTCTGTGACCTCAGCATACGAAGAGATAGTGTGGTCAGCACTATGCGCAGCCGCCTTTACTTTCCCTAACGTGAGTTAAGTACCCATCAGAGTTGGGTGGACTCAGGGACGGTCTACTGACTTGAGCCCGGATTCGAACTCGAGACTTACAGCTTTAATTATTGAATACTATTTACAATAGTTTTGCCTTGCATGCCTTTTGAAAGTTTGTTTAAACCTGGCTCATAATTTATTTTCAGTTTCAAGCACGCCTCTAGATTTTTATTAGTTAGCTTCTATACTTTGTATTATATTTATGCAAGAAAATGCTTGCTTGCATGAATATGTTGACCCGAAGATTGTCAGCACTCCAAATGCCAACTCCTTCACCTCACTGTAGCATCCTGGAAGACTATTCCATCCGTCACATAATAGTGTCTCAACTCGCAACATTTCTTTAAGAGCCGACCACTTGTGAACAGCTATACGTGAATGTGTTACTGGTTCTCCAATTCTTCTATTTTGCTCTTTGTTTCCGTGAACTTACCACTCCACAAATGTTTGGTTTTCAAATCTAGCAATTTCATTTGAAGCGAACTAGCATCAATTTCAAATAGCTCAAAGTTAATCTAATTTTTTTTTGTGTTGAGAGAATCTACTATGAACATCAGTACTTGCATTTGTTTTGAATTGCTCAAATCTCTTAGTGAATCCATATTTTATTCAGATTTTTTTAAATTAATTTACCGCTCTCCATGTCTTTGACAAAATGAAGTGATTTTTTTTCTAAACAAACCACTTCTTTGAGCAAGGCATAGGCTGGGTTTTCCTTTCTTTGCATTTTTACATTTAGCTTGTTTAGGATATCCACCATGAAGTTGCATGTTTCAATTAATTTGGGATAAACAAGCTAATGGGAAGTAGATCTAGATCTAGAGTCTAGATCTACATTGAAATCGGGAGTAGCAAAATATTCTAACTAATAAAGTAATGAGTGCTTATTGTTTATATTATATCGTTCATTACCAAGTGTTGCAGAGCAATATTTTTATGAGTTTTGAAAATAAAATTAAAAAAGTATTAGACTCTAATATCATATTTTATTATTTGTGCCTGGAGCTGAAGAGCCGCTTCTCGACATCAAAAGAGCCGCATGCGGCTCGCGAACCGCAGGTTGCCGACCCCTGGCCTAGACTAGAAGATCTAGATCTAGAATCTACTAGTTCTGTGTCACTAGAATTCATTAGATCTAGATCTATATCTATTCTAGATCTTGAGATCTAGAATCTAGATCTAGATCTAAATCTAGATGCTAGATAGATTCTTCTACATTTTAGACTACAAGACTAGAAAGTAGAAGAATAGAAGATCATAATGGATTGAGATCTAGATCTAGATTCTAGATTTAGATTAGCGCATCATATAGATCTAGATCTAGAGGTCTAATTTTCTAAAAATTCACTTGAAATAAAGAATGTTGTATCGGTCAATTGTTTAAGATCTAAAGAATCTAGATTATTGTTCTAGATCTAGATTTCTAGGTTCGTAAGTGTAGTTCAAAATAAATTCATTTTGAAAGTCGTTCACCGCAAACTTGTGTATATTATTTGCGCATGCGCATTAGCTTGACAATTTTTGGCAATCCTTATAGATTCTCTAAATAAATATAAATAATTAGGTAGTAGATATCTAGATCTAGATCTACATATAATCTTCTAGATCTAGATCTATATCAATCATGGCCCCTATGCCTGTCCATTTCATTATAATTTTTTTTCTATTAATATTTAGGCCTAGCCCAGGGGTCGGCAACCTGTGCGCACGCGAGCCGCATGCGGCTCTTTTGATGTCAAAATGCGGCTCTTTAACTCCTTTCACAAATATTAATATTTACATTATTTCATTTTCAAAATAAATATTAGGCCTACAGGTCTTTTTCGGGGGGAGGTCCCACCAGAGGAGTAGCGAGGGTGCGGGGGTGCGGACCGCACCGGGTGACACCATTTAGGGGGTGACACCAAGGCAAAAAAATTGTAAAATGTACAGAAGAAAAATGCTTTATTTGCCAGTTCTATTAATGATTAATTAACGTTAAATAGTCTTTTAAGTACGAATCGACTATTATTACAAGGGAGTGAGGGTAACAGCAAGGCGTAAACGCGCTAACAATAGAGAAAACAATGCTACACCCAACTGTATTATTAACAGACTAAAGCAGAGGCGTAGCGACCCTTCCCGGCTCCCGGGGACAAACTTTTCGATTTGCACACCCCCCCTCGAGATTTTGATTTGCACCCCCCCTCCCCCTCAAACTTTCGATGTGCACCCTCCCCTCGAGATTTCCATTTGCACCCCTTCTCAAACTTTCGATTTGCACCCCACCCCCCTTGAGATTTTGATTTGCACCCCCACCTCAAACTTTCGATTTGCACCCCCCTCAACCTTTCTATTTACTTTTCCAACCCATTTTGGCGCCCCCTAAGGTCGGCATGTCATGTCATGTCATGTTTGCCTGTCGTCCCTACTGGGACATAGGCCGCTGACAAGAGCTTTCCAGACGTCTCTGTCCAGGGCTAGTCTCTCCAACTGTCCCCAGGTGTATCCAATCTTCTTGGTGTCTTCTTCCAGGTCACGTCTCCAGGTCTTTCTTGGTCTGCCTCTCTTCCTCCTGCCTTGTGGATTCCAGGTGAGGGCCTGTCTTGTTATGCTGGATACAGGCTTCCTGAGTGTGTGGCCAATCCATTTCCATTTTCTCTGGAGGATCTCTACTTCCACTGGCAGTTGATTTGTCCGTTGCCATAGAACATCATTTCTGATGGTTTTAGGCCAGCGAATTCGCAGGATCTTTCTGAGACATGCGTTTATAAATGATTGTATTTTCTTCTTATTTATAGCAGTTATTCTCCATGTCTCAGCTCCATAGAGTAAAACAGGTTTTACTAGTGTGTTGAAGATCCGGATTTTTATTCTAAGGGTTAAATCTCCCGAACCCCAAACATTTTTTAGTTGGTTGAAGACTGCTCTTGCCTTACCCGTCCTTATTTTTATGTCTGCTTCTGTCCCACCCTGCTTATCAACAATACTTCCAAGGTAGGTGAATCTATCCACTTCTTCTAGGGCTTCTTCTGCCAGTGTTATAGGGTTGTTGTTTGATGCATTGACTTTGAGAACTTTACTTTTCCCTCTGTGGATGTTCAGACCCAGGCTTGTAGAAAAATTTGCAACCCTGTTGGTTTTATCCTGCATTTGCTGTTGTGTGTGAGAAAGGAGGGCCAGGTCGTCAGCAAAGTCCAGGTCATCCAGCTGGCTCCACAATGTCCACTGTATACCGTTTCGCGTTTTCTCTGTTGACATCTTCATAACCCAGTCTATGGCCAGTAGGAACAGGAATGGTGAAAGTAGGCAACCCTGCCTTACTCCGGTCCGTACTGGGAAGGCCTCTGTAGTCTGTTGGCCATGCACTACTCTACATTTGAGACCTTCATATGAAGACATAATAATGTTGACTATTTTCTGTGGCACCCCGTAGTGTCTCAACAATTTCCACATTGACTGCCTATCCAGGCTATCAAAGGCCTTCTCATAGTCTATGAAATTAATATAGAGAGATGAGTTCCACTCTTGGGTCTGTTCAATGATGATGCGCAGGGTAGCAATTTGGTCTATGCATGACCTTTCCTTCCTAAAGCCCGCCTGTTGATCTCGAAGCTGGGGATCTATGGCTTCCTTCATTCTGTTTAATAATATTCTGTTGAAGACTTTGCCTGGGATGGACAAAAGTGTTATCCCTCTATAGTTAGAGCATGCACTAAGATCGCCTTTCTTTGGAAGCTTTATGAGTAGTCCCTCCTTCCACTCCTCTGGTATTTGTTCATCTTCCCAGATTTTCTTGAAGAGTGTGTATAGTAGTGTGGTGCTAGTTTCTATATCTGCTGTCAGTGCTTCTGCCGGTATACCATCTATTCCTGGAGCCTTCCAATTTTTCAGCTGCTTTATAGCTCTATGTATCTCTTCTTTTGAAGGTGGGTTGCAGTCTATAGGGAGGTCACTTTCAGCTGGTGGTATGTCTTGCGTGCACTCTGGTGTTGGTCTATTCAGTAGTTCTTCAAAATGTTCTACCCATCTCTTCATCTGTCCTTCCGCATCAGGTATTGTCTTTCCATCTTTGGTTTTCACTGGCCTCTCTGGCTTACTGTACTTACCAGATATCTTCTTAATTGTATTGTACACGTCCCTAATATTACCATGGTACAGTGCTTCTTCCGCTTCTCTTGCCAGCAGTTCCAAATAGCTCCGTTTGTCTTTCCTTATGTGTTTCTTTACATTTTTGTTCGTTTCGGTGTATTCTTCCAGTGCTTTTAATTTCGTAGCCCGTGTGCGGCTGTTGTTTAATGTTGCCTTCTTTCTTTTTCTCTCTTCAATAATTTTCATGGTATCTGCTGATATCCATTCCTTCGCTTGTCTTTTGATAGGGCCTAGCACTTCTTCGCATGTTGATGTTAATATACTTTTAGTTTTTTCCCATGTTTCCTCTATCGTCTCTTCTTCTATTAGTTCTTGTAGTACCTGGAACCTATTGGACATATGAAGTTTAAATTCGTTGAGTTTAGATGGGTCCTTTAGCAGGCCTGTGTTGTACCTGTATTTCCTTTTGTTTTCCAACATGTTTTTCTTCAGCTTGAGTTTTACTTTAGCTACCAGTAGGTGATGGTCTGAAGCAACATCAGCTCCTCTCTTGACGCGTACATCCTGAAGTGATCTCCTGAACTTTTTTATGATACATATATGGTCTATCTGGTTTTCTGTAGATAGGTCGGGTGATACCCAAGTAGCTTTATGTATCCTTTTATGATGAAAGAGACTACCGCCAATGACTAAATTATTTGTGGCACACAAGTCAGCAAATCTTTCTCCGTTTTCGTTCATCTCACCTAAACCCTGCTGTCCCATACATTCTTCATATCCTCTGTTGTCGCTTCCAATCTTAGCATTGAAGTCGCCCATGAGTATAAGGATGTTTCTTCTTGGGCGGTTCTGGATAATGGTCATTAGCCTGTTGTAGAATTCGTCTTTGTCCTCCTCTTTGCTGTCATTTGTTGGGGCGTAGGCCTGTATTATGTCCATGTTTATTCGTCTTATTTTAGTTTTAAAGGTAGCTGTTATGATCCGCGGGCAGTGTGCCTCCCATCCGATGAGAGCCCTTTGTGCTTGATTTGATAGCATGAGTGCAACTCCTTGAGTATGTGGTGCATTTTCATCCTCATGACCTGAGTACAGCAGTAGCTCTCCTGATATCAGCCTTTTTTGTCCTGAGCCAGTCCACCTTGATTCGCTGACACCCAGGATAGCTATTTTATAGCGTCTCATTTCTGCTGCTACTTGGGTTGCTTTTCCAGCTTCGAACATCGTGCGGACATTCCAAGCTCCAATATTGATGGTGGTCCTAGTGGAAATAATGGTGGTCGACCTGGTGGTTTCCAATACATATTGGCTTTCACCACCCGGCTTCATAAATTCTCCATCGGGAGATCCATTTTTCCCCTGGTCCGAGCTGTCTTTGTTTCTCTCTGTCTGCGTTTCTGTAGCGGGTAATTTGTTTTACGAGATAAGGTTGCTGACCTAAGGTCGGCACCCGGGGACATATGTCCCCCCCCCCCCGCCCCCCCCCCCCTCGCTACGCTACTGGACTAAAGATAAACATCGTTATTCTAAAGTGTGCATTGATTAAAGCTTATACATATACGCGTATGTGGCATATATTTAAGTTATAGGGTTATGTAGACCGAAACACACACACAAACATATATATATATATATATATATATATATATATATATATATATATATATATATATATATATATATATATATATATATATATATATATATTAATACACACATTGTGATTTGGTGGTGGGGGTGACACCATGAAGTGCAGCACCGGGTGACACCCGACCTAGCGACGCCACTGGGTGACATCATGGATTTTAAGAAAAATAAATCGGGAGTGATCTCCCCTAAACGTTCTCGAATATTCTAATATAACACTACGGGGGATGGCAACTCGGGTCATAGACAATATTTTAAATCCATTTTTAATTACTTAAACTTTTTATAATAGAATATAATAGAATCTCGTAAAAAAAGAATTGCACACCAAGTGAACGCTAAATAAAATGTGCATAATAGTGCGCAATATTATTAGTACTTTATAAATTTACATGCGTTTTTTTTTTAGAAATCGGAAATAGCGTAAATTAATACTTCCGGTCAACGGCAATTACTAAAAATTTGATAGAAGACAGAGAATTAGAACTTTTACTTACATGTGAAATTTCATTTATCTATCTGAAATAGTACCCAAGTTATAGACTTTTGAAAAATCGAAAGAAAAAGTTCCACTTCCGGTTATCGGAAATCGCTCAAAAATTGATACGGATCAACGATTTTGATATAATACTTATATATGAAATTTCATCAACCTAGCTGTAACGGCAGAGGCGTAGGGAGGGGGGCGGGGTGCGGACCGTACCGGGTGACACCATTTAGGGGGGGGGGGGTGACACCAAGGCAAAAAGTAGCAAAATATATAGAGAAAAATGATAATTCCACTTAATTAAGTGATTAATTCGAGTGGTAAATAGTCTTTTAAGAGGTGCAAATCGAAAGTTTGAGGGGGGGGGGTGCAAATCAAAAATTGAAAGTTTGTCCCAGGGAAGGGTCGCTACGCCTCTGTGGGGTGACACCATTAAGTGCCGCACTGGGTGACACCCGACCTTGCTACGCCACAATGTACGGTACTCAAGTTATCGTGTTTACACACACACAGACACACGGACAGAATTGGATAATCCAGTTTTTCCAACTCCATTACGTATAAAACGCCAAAATTTTGATAAATCTGGATTTATAATTTTTGCCCGATTAAAACAAGTCCTCTATATCCCGGATGTGATGAAGGACTGAGGAGTAAAACGGTGAAAACTGTGAAAATTTCATGTGATTTCATGTGCACGATTGTTTATACTCTGTATCCGAGAAAGTAAAAAGTCACAGGAAAAAAGTCACAGGCAAAAAAAGTCACAAATGAATATTTGCATGGAATTTGTTAATACTTGTATGTATTAAATATTCAGAAGTGCAAATTAACTTACAAATAATCAAATGTAATGAAATGTGCGTAAGTTGTATAAGTATAGTGGTATTAATAGCGCATTCATATTTAGAGTGAAGTATGTAAGTTTTAATTCCTTTATACATATAATTTTAATATAATTTAATAGACCTTTTCGATTGTCATTGTGTTTGTTAAATACTAACTTAAAATTAGCGCAAAATGGCATTAAGACGTAGTTAATGTGATTTGCTGCCATCAACTCATTGCAACAACAGGTCAACCACATGTACTGTCAGTGGCGTAGGCAAGAGGGGACTAGGGGGGGGGGGGTTATAACCACTCCCATGGACCCCTATATATATATATATATATATATATATATATATATATATATATATATATATATATATATATATATATATGTTACAGTCAAAGCCCGAAGTCGGCCAATGCTAGGATTGGCCGGCCAATCCGCGCATTGGCCAATATCGCTTCCCATAGGTCGGTCAAAGTCCGAAACTTTGCTTGATTTCGGCCTTTGGCCGGCCAATCCGCAGACTGGCCATGGTGGACCGGCCAAAGTCTTAATTAGAAGATCATCTGGCTATGGACGACCGGTCAAAGTCCGAATTAGAAGATCATGAGCAGATTTTGGGTTTTTTTTTATGCCGTAAGGATCATGAAATTAAGTCTTTATTGATTATTAATTAAAGTAAATGACAGAAACATTCAATTTTTTTTATTGTACTATAGTCTCAATCTATCAATATCATCATTTGTTACAACAGGTTGAACTTTTATGGCATTTAGAATTACATAGCAGCTTGTTATTTTTACACTTGCAGCGATTTGTTGTGCACTTAGTTGTGCACGCAGTGTTTGTGTACAAACAACCAGAAGGTAACAACTGGTGGCCAGTATGGGGGAGACGATATGGTCGAGTGGTTGGGCACACGATTGCTATCCCACTCGGCGCGGGTTCAAATCTATGTGTTCTAGTCAGTAACGTATTCACACAACGTGTTTTTTACGAGTTGTCTTTTTACGAGACTTTAATGCTATACAACTTTTACGAGATTTTAATGCAAACAAACAGACAAAGACTAAAAAGTAGAAAATAATAATCATTAAAAAAGTTTTTAAAAACCCGCGTTTTCTGATTGAACTAAAAAGTAGAAAATAAATGTTATACATCACAATAATGCAAGCGATCACTCTACTATAAGCGATCAAAAACGTGGGGCGCCGTGATTTTCTTACAGTTTCTAATACTGTTGACTCTCTACAAGCTCCCTAATAAAAGTCAATAGTATTAGAAACTGTAAGAAAATCACGGCGCCCCACGTTTTTGATCGCTTATAGTAGAGTGATCGCTTGCATTATTGCGATGTATAACATTCATTTTCTACTTTTTAGTTCAATCAGAAAACGTGGGTTTTTTAAAACTTTTTTAATGATTATTATTCATTTGTGACCTTTTTTCCTCGCAAAAACAGACTTTTTTCTGTTTTTTTTTCCTGTGACTTTTTTCATTCACCGACACCATGCGCTGTCTGAGACGTAGACTATATTCGGGTTCTCCTGGAAGGACCATGTAACAACTGATGTATTGGGACGGGCAAATTATCAAAAAATTGCAGGGAAAATTGAAATGAACTTTGTAGGACCAGCCTTCACTCAGCGTTAGCACTAAACTTACTACTATTAATTTTAATGTTAAAAAAACATCAATTAAATTTAGCATTATTCCAATTAAGAATGTCAAGCGGTAGAAAAAAAACGACGCCTAAATGTAGTAGCCTTTTACTTCATATTTTTTTTATTATAAAAAGGGTGTCGTATGATAGTAATGAGCCTGGTGTCATGGAAAGTATTTTTTAAGACTTCTAACTCTGTGCAGTGGCGTCGCTTGGTCGGATGTCACCTCCCCATATATGGGCCTAAATATATATATATATATATATATATGCTATGTGTATATACATATATACACTTGTGTATGTGTATACGAATTTAAATACATCTTTTTCATATATTTAAATGTTTTTGAAGCTACGCATTTTTGGGCTTAACTTAGTCTTCTTTTTTATGTACAGGACGAGTAACATTGCGACCAAGTACTTTTTTTAGGTTTGTATACGCCAGAAGCTCTTTGCCTATGTATTTGGTGTCAACCCCCACCCCATACCTTTTTTCGAGTGGCGTCAACTTATCCATCTGGAAAAAGCATTGAGGGGACTAATTCTAACACCCTAAATGATAAAACCCGGTGCAGTCATCACCCCCCCCCCCCCCCGCACGACACTCGAGTCCCTATGTAATATTTATTGTTGATAATATTACACAATATACTTCATTTATCGATTGAAAACTATCCGGAGACGACAGCCATAGTCGGGCTACCTGTTTGGGCCATTACAAATTACTAAAATATGCAGAATAGACTTAAGTGTGGAAAAAAATTGCTTTACAGATAAATTGTTTTCAAGTTAAAAAAAACAAACAACTGAAACAATGTTAAAATTATGTGATTTCAATACCAGTGACGTAACAATAACCTTAGCATAGTAACTTTCAAGAAAGCTGTAGAAACATTAAAAAAAATCATTTTGACAGCCCTATTCCAAAACAAAGTAACAATAGACAAAAAAGAAAAACAAGTCATTTTTATGAAATGCAAATAAAACATTTATTTTACATGTCTATATGTTGACAACACACTAAGGGGAACCTAATTGTTAAGGCTGATCAACTGCCTAAAGTCGTACAATCTGGAAAAGTGAATGTCACATTGTGAGAGATCAGGTCCAAAGTTAAGCACATACTTCCGCACAAGTAGTACTAGCCTTGGACTGGTCAAACTTTCATCAAGACTCTAGGAAGCAGAGCCTCAAGGCTGTTTTAAATATTTCCTAATGTTAGATGTCCATAAATTAAAAGAGAATCCACAATAGAATGTCAAATTATTAGTGAACGAATAGAATTTGATAACTTTGTCTAAAAGTACACAACTGTTTCAGCTCTGATTAAACAATACTCAAGTTAATGACACACTTAAACAATGGCACTCACTGATCACACACAGGCAGTAGTAGTGTCATGCACTGTGGGATATTTGTAACAACTTTGGCAATGATCTAGAAACAAGACTTAAATGAGAAGGAAAAAAAGCAAGTCCACAACATCTAGCATAATATAAATCCAAAACCAATGAAATTTAAATGCAATTCTATGTACAACATATGTATAAAAGTTTCTAGTATCAGCAAACCCAGCCTTTGTACACCACTTGTGTTAAAATCATTCAATCCAAACCACTTTTTGTACACAAATACTAACCCCTTTCTATTTACACTCTCTTATATCCACCTTAAAATAGTGAAAACAACTCCAGTAACCTACTCAAAATGTGCCATACATGTCCTAAAAATATTTAACAATCAAACATAAACAACAATTCCAATTATATTTGTCTTAAAATCTTAACCATAACCTATCAGGCGTTCAAAACAAACTGAATGAATCACATTTGACATATTAAAAAATGTTACTCTTTAAAACATACTCAAATGAATTGATTAGTGCTCACAGCGTTGAGTACCACATACTAGAATCACCAATTGATTTTAAAATGAATTTTGACAAAGTTAAAACAAGCATCTGTACAAAATAATATACAAACATATTTTAAAGTATTGACAGTTTCCATTGTGCTCATGATGCACATGAGTAGTCAATGTAAATAATTTTACAAGATACGTTACAATAATTTATGCTAGATCTAATGCTTCAAAATGAAAGTCCATTTCATTAGAAGTTAACCTAACAATTCTGAATTTAATTGTAAAAAGTGAAGAGGGACATTAAAATTTACCTAGAGATAATGATAATAGACGTTTTAAAAAACTAAGATAAAATCAACAAAACCTACCACTCTGACATAAAAAAAATCAATATTTTATAATTTTAAAATGATAAAAATAATATAAGGCTTTTTATACAGGGCTAAACACTTAGGACACTCAATCTGCTTGATTGTCCTCTCTCTGTAGACCTTGTGGTCCTGGTTGTGGAGCCTGCTGTTTTTGTTGGTAACATGAACGAGCAACATTTTCAAACAACCTGAAAGTTTCATCAAATTTTGTTAAAAGATGGTTGTTCAATCCTAATTTAAAGACTAGAAAATTAATTCCAAAGTAGCTCATCATAGTTATTAAGCACATTTAGAATAATGAGATAAAGTGGTTCTGTAGGGCTTGTGTCCAGCCAGCTCAGATGGGTATTAAGACTAAAGTTGCCCAGATAAAAAGCCTTCAGTTGCTATACATGATGGTAGCATTTATTGATGGACAAGGAAAAAAGAGTAGCCCCCTTATTTATGCAGGGTGGGTCCAGTGAGCATTTGATGGTTGGCACCACAAAATGAGATGAAATTTATAAGTATATTTTTAAGCGGAGTGATCAGAAATAACTGATGCAAATGTGTACATGTAATTTAATTTCATTCAGTTGTATATTTTCATGTTGGTAATTGTTTCTGTAAATAAGTTGTTAAAGTTTTCATCAGGTCTGATATTCGATACTAGTATTATACATATCACTATTTAATTAGTATAAATGGCCAACATATCATTTAAAAGGCGTGTTGAATGGGTATTTATCCTCAAACTATGGGGTATTTATCCTCAAACTATGTAAGGTAATACTACTGGGAGTATGTTATGTAAGCTGGTCTGTCAGCTAGGCCTGTTTACAGATACAATTAAAATAAAGCATTTATAGAGCCAAAAAAAAACGTAATGAGTAAAAAGCCGGTCCTAGCAGGGGAGGCTATATTTAGTACATTTTTTTTACAAGTCTTACTGGCAAGGAGATAAAGATGGAAGAAGGAAATAATATAATTTATATACATTGTTTTCTTCTTGTTCTACTACTAGCGATTCATTATTTTTTTTAAGGTTGAGAATTCGTTTCTTCAAAATTACAGGCAACATAATAAATTAAATAAGGCTTAATTAAAGTTTTAATTATAATGCAAATAATACAGTGATACTGAGAAAAAAGTTCCAGCAAATTTTCGTGGATGTGGAAATATTTTAAATTGTTTAAAAATAAGTATTATGACTACAATAACATGTTTTTTCACCTAGCCATAGAAGAAACTAAAACACTTTTATGCCCAGAATGTAGCTGGTTAAGAACAAATACTAATCAATGGCTGAGGAGGACATTTTGGAAGCAGAATGATTAAAAACCTGGGTGTTAAAGAAGAGAGCTCTGAGAATACAAAAAGAGATGCGACTTATTATTTCAATACTTACTTTTCAATCTCTGGGGCACACCTCACAAATTCATGTTCCCAGAATTTAAAATTGGGATTCTTTATTAGCTCTATAAATGTTATAAGCAAACCCCAAGGATGTGGTCGATTGACAATCAAACGCTCAAGCAGAACCCTATTAAAGACAAAAATATTTGCAAATATTAATCTCTTATAACAGCAGTTTTTATTTTAGGCACAATAAAATGAGCTTTTCTAAAATGATACCTGGTGATCTGTTCCTGAATGGTTTGGTCATTGGCCTGACGAAACAGGTACAGTAGAGTACAGCTGAAGTAGTGAGTGTGACTGTTGGGATATCGCAGCTGATTGGCAATTGCAGTCAGAAACAGGTAACGACCTGAAGGATTTGAAATAATTGGATTTTGTTTATACTACAAATTTAACATAGCTAGTTACATATATTTCAACAATTTTGATGTACAAGGACAGAATTTCAAAGGTAAAATAGTAACTGAACTACCATAATTTAAAGTACCTTCAGTATCCAAATTAACAGCTAAATTTTGAAAAATATCCATGTGAGAGCTTGGAGCAATTGTACTCATGCTGACACCCTTATTTTGAAGTAGTGGAATTGCTTGAGTTCCAACATAAAGCACAAGTGCATTGATAAGAGGGATGTCATATCTACTGCCTTGTGGGTTAGCCTAAAATTTCAGGGAAAAAAAAACTTCAAAAAAAGAGGATACAACTTTGACAAATCTCTTAATGTGACCAAGTGACAACAACACTTAAGTAATATACTTTTTGACAATGTTCAAACAATAGTACCTGCAAATTGCTTTTCAATTCTGACAAGAATGTAATTGGTGAACGAGTTTTCAAATAGGAATCCAAATCCTGTATAGTGCAAACAAATTTTTGTTTTTTATGTTCATTTTAAAATAAATATATAGACATAAAGATGCATAACAATATAAAATAGAATTTTAATGTAACAAATGTTTATATATTAAGATTTCTATTTGTATTTAAATTTTCCTATAAAAGCAACATGTTTTTCTAAAATTAAATTAAAATATATTTTTCACTAACACATCTAAAACAACAAGTGATTCATACCTTTTTGAAAGATGATGGTTGGATGAGAGAAACAATATTTGTTAGAATTCTGGGTGCTTTGTTGATATCAGGAAGGTGTTCCACAACCAAATTAACAGTAAATGGATCAGGCAGCCTCATTGTACGGGGAAAAGCACTAAGAATCAAGTTTCGCATTTGAATGCAGTTAGGAGGAATCACATCACAGAAAGTGTAATGATAGTCACATAGAAACTCTGGGAAGTCATGTAGCAAGACAAGCAAAACTCTAAGAGTTCCCTGAAATAAAATAAATTTTGAAAAACAAACTGAATCATCTGATGGACATATCATTTAGTTGGCAAGATGTCAGTTTTTGGGTGAGATGTTTTTAAAATCATGGTTCTCACTTTTTAAATCATTTACTGGCCAATATGCTAACTTAATGATTTTATTAACAGCAATGCATTACAAAAGGTAATTCATCATAACTTACCTTGTATAGAAGCTGCATTGATTTAGTCATATCTGCATTTCTAAGGAAAGGTCCCAGGAATTTAAACAGATCAACCAGCAGCTGAGCATAAAAGCCCCATCCCTGTTTTATATTTAAACATCAACAGTTAATAAAAAAAAAAAACAAGCAATTTACTAGCTATTAAGTTGAACATCACTAACTTTAACAAAAATAATAAAAAAGCATTGCTTAAAATAGTGTACTTTTATCAACGCAACAAGAGCCAAATTCAAAAAACAAAAACCTTTTGCAGTGGTGTCAAAGCCAACAACCTTCCAATGAAAACACGATGAGAGATTAATTCCAACCAAGCGTAAGCAAATCCTGGAGCTTTAGCAGGACGCAGGATATGGAACACATGGCTATTAAACACAAGTAGAGAAAAGAAGATTACCAGATATCACGGAAACATACCAATGAAATATTATTAAATTTCATTGAAATACATCAGTTAAATGACAAGCTATAGAGCATGAAAGAACCCCAAGTGTTTACTTACCAAAATGCAGTGAGAACTTGAAAGTTGATAGCCTCTAATATTTGCTCAGGTGCATTTAGTTCGATGAAGAGCATGATGAAAATTCTATGGTATGGGAGCTGCTGAAACTCAGTATAGCGCACTTCATGGTCTTGCAGCAGCACCCCCGCCATTATGCCCAACACCTGTAAGAAATTTGGATACTTTTTAGCCCACACAAAATATTCTATTTTGTTATGAAAGATTTCTTCCAAGTGTTTATATTGTGGGTTGGAAAAAATCCACTTAATATTAACACAAGGTATCAACTAGAATATGCAATTGACTAATAAAGTAGGTATTGCAAGCTAGGTTCCAGGTGTCAACACAGCACGGTCATTGCTGGCCCATACAACTTAGAACTCAAATATAGTAGCCTACATCCACAATAAGTCTAGTTTTTTTGCATTTGCATTCTAAAAGTGTGCTATAAATGGTTTTTAAATGCTGCAGCTATTTTCCTTTCTAGAACAATATCATGATTAACAAGAAGAAAATTTAGTTATTAACGCCATAGGTTTTTTTAGCCCAAGGTTCTTTTAAAAATATATCAATGTGAAAATAAAATATTCAAAAATTTTAAGATACCTTGTTAAGTAAATTGATTTTAGTGACAGTATTGGTCTCTCCTGAATGCTTGACAAGCAGAGCTATAAGTCGAACAAAAGCATCCAATGTGTGAAAACATTTAGCACGAATCATGGTAGTAGACTGGCCTGGTTCACTAAGGGCCCGATAACACAGATCAACACACATTTCAGTGCAAAGCCGAAAGAAACGTGTTATTAGGTCATCTGTTTTTAGTATACCTTGAGTATGCATCTGCAAGAATAAAGAACATTCTTTCATAATATAATATTTCACACACATTTAATTCTTTAGACAAGATCTAAGCCATTCTTCAAATACTTATGATAAAATCAAAACATCCCTAACCTGTTGAACAAAAGCATTGAAGGCCTTAAAGCTGTCTCTGCCTGCTTGAGGTGAGTGGTACATGTTAACCCATTCTCTAAGCAAGTATTCAGTTTTCTCATGTAGCCCAGCAGGATCATCAAACTCACGAGCCTGAGTAATGCCCGTCTGCATCATTGAGGTAACACTACCCTGAACACGATCCATCAGATTTGATGAATCAGAAGAGGTGCTGTTTATCCGTAGGGATTCAATAAGTGCTGGAAGGCTGTCTGGTTGTGTCTGGCGTGAGCGAGATCCAATCATATTAAGAGCTTCAATACTGCTAGTGAAATCAGACTGAAAATTAAAGAAAAAAGAAATCTAAATAAATGATGTATTGATGTTTTAGTAGATAAACTGTCCTAAATCTAGAGATAATTGTTAGATAAGGTGGGTACTTGGGTTTCTGAGTACATAAGCAAAACAATGTTGGCATTAGGGCTAATGGTAAACTAAGTAATAAACTGGCAAATTTAGTCTGCCTCTCAGATGATACGATAGACAATGACTGAGTTTATTATTAGAATAACCAAATTTTAAGCCACATTTAAAATAATGATGTACTTAGAAATGAGCATAAAAAGGCAATTTTTAAGTAAAATAATTGACATATTTTGACAACTCACTTCAGAATAAACAACTTGTTGGGGTGCTCTGTTTTTATCATCAACACAAAGTCGCTGCATTAACTGTGTGGTAAAGTTGATGCCAATCTGGTTTAGCCCATTTTCCATAAGTGATGACAGATAACTATCATACTGAGGCATTACAACAAATCCATTGCGAATAAGTAGCTCAACAACATCTAAATTGTACCTTGTATCTTCACGACTTTGCATTAAACATCTGGTGACAAAATAAAATTCAAAGATAAACTTTTCTATATTCTAAACCAAAGAAGAATATAATTTAGTTGGAAATATTTTTTATAAGTTACAGTGAAAATTAAATACCTTGTAACTTCTTTGCTGACCCAACTCATTCCAAAAGCTCTATGGTCAGCAAAAGTCTTCAGCACTAGTAAGTGGCACTCTCTGAAGTGAAGTAGTGTTTCACCATCAGCCATTGTTGTCAAAGCATACTGCTCTGTTAGTCCTTCCACAGCCTTAAATTATAATTAACACATTAATAAACCAATTTTATGATTGTGTGAATTAGTTTAATTAATAAGCCACCAAAATAAATCGATTACCTTCTGCACTAGTTGTGTTGCTGTGTTTTTGTCTAGTGTATTCCTTGCCAAGTTGATGGCTTGCATAAGCTGTTGTAAATGTGGAATGAACATGGTAGGATTAGCCATCATATGCATATGGGCATCAATTTCTTGAACCATTTTTTCATACAGATGACTCAGTTCTTCTTGTCCACTCATCTGCAAATAGAACCATATAATAATGAATTTCACCATTTTCTTTTTTAAACAAGTATATAAACAAAGCAAAAAGAAAAATCAATAGCTCTTTATGAAGAAAAAATTAGCTGCAAAGAAAATGGTGTAGCACAGAAGAGACTAATAATTTTCTACATAAAATACCGAGGCAGTTTGTCTTGTGCCTGATGGAAGAATTGTGTCTGTGAGAGGCTGGAATCCTGGGATGTTGCGAGAGAATTCATCGTACACAGCAAGTTGTTGCGGAGTTACCGGTCCAATCTGAAACAGAAAACAATTTATTCAAATAAATGCTCAATAAGTATTTTAGGTTCAAGGGCTTTTTAGTGTTGAGGTTTTATCAGCAAATAGCAAAATGTACCTTTAGGCTAATTTGTTCTGGTACTCTCTCCGACTGATAGGTATGAACTTGAGAGTCGTAGTAAATGCGACCTTCTTGCCTAGATCTCTTGCGAATTTCAAACTCCTAAAATAAATTAAAAACCACTAGCTTTAACCAGTAAATGTTCCAACACAAATTTCATTTCATGAAAATAAAATCAACATTGTTTAACAACTTACGGGAGCTAGTTTCTTATCCATGTCCAAGCCAACACGCTCCACAGCCAGTTTCTGGATGTAATTTGCACATATCTCAACATTATCATTTGCTAAGAGAACTGCAGCTTCTTCAATGCTCTTTTGTTGGGCTGCAGTCTGTTGCTAGATGCAAGGATAAAGACATTAAACAAATAAAGACAATTTAAGAAATCTAATTCATGGGGAAAATAAGGTCAGTTAAAGACAGAAAACAACTCACTCCTCTTAAATTGCTACTGAGAGCTGATTGTATAGCCACTTTGAGTTGCTGGACCATTGGCTCTCTTGATGTAATTAGAGCTAGACCAGCACATACATTGCGTGCCATAGCTTGAGCAGAGTTTCTCATACGAATCTCATCAGAATCAAGAGCAAAATCCTGGAAAAGTTAATCATGAATTACATTTAACATTTTAGTTGTCAAGTCTCATAAAAACTAAAATTTGATATTTAAACTTTATAGGTGAGTTTACCTTTTTGACAATCTGTTCTGTAGTAGCCACAGCCACTTTAATGGCTCTTTCAGTTATTGGAACCACAAAATCCTGCATTGTGCTCTCAATTGCACCAATCACACTGTTTCTCAAAGAGATGTTGGCTTGTATGTACATTAGCTGAAAAAGTAAAGATTTTTACATCTATAATAATTAATGTCAGGACAAAAAAATTCTTATGACAAAAATTACATTATTTGAATTAAAAAGTATAACTAAAACTCAAAATTAAAAAAAAAAAACCTTCGTACCTGGTCATTAACAACTATATGTTGCTGTAGGAAGGATGCCAGACTAGTATTAATATTTATATCATGAATACTGAACTTTGGTTGAAGTGGCATAGTGCTTGCAGTTGGTCCTGCAGATAAAGGCATCACTGGGGGTGGAGGTGGAATTGAGATACTGCTTGTTGGTGGAGGAGGAATACCAGCTAAGCCATGCATTGGTAGCATGCCTGATATTGGTGGCATAGGCAACCCTACTGGTGGTTGAGATACTGTAAATGGCGATATATCTAAAGAATAAAAAAATATGTTCACCAACTAAATACAAATGATATAAGTAACCATTTCGGTACTGTCACATAAGCCAGTCTAGATTACAATGATTATAAAGTATAAAGATCACCCATTACAAATTTAAGATAATTTTGCTTAAGTGTGCTTTGGACTACTGTTTCTATTTATTGCTAATTTCTGTTACTCTGACATATTTTGATGTACAGATTCAAACTTAAGTTATTACTAAACTAATTCACCTGTAGGTGGGACAGGCTCTTCCTGGGGTTTAACAGGAGAAAGTTGATGTTCCAATGTGGCCATCCTAGTTGGATCACGCAAATACTTGGTGGGTTTAAGTTCTGAGATGATATCTATATTAAGTGTCTTGCACAAGACTTCAATCTCAAACTTGAGATTTAGCTTCAGGTCTGGTTCTTGATGAAGCTCAGCAAGAACGTTCATAATTGCAAGTGTCCAAGGATTGGGTTTACAAAATATCTGTAAAATACAACAGCAAGCTCACTATGGCAATAAGAATGATTTTTGTAAAAAAATTAGATACAGAAAAACCCATATTTAAATTATGTTTAAGAACTGTGATCAAATTAATTTTAATGCTTATAAGTTCTAATATTACCTTGCTTTTAGCACAAGATTCCAAAACTTTGGCAGTGAATGGAACAACATACAGAAGTTCTTGATTTCCTTTTTGGTAGGCTTCATAAATAAGTGCCTTTAAATTTAAATCCTAAAACACAGAAGATGTTGAGAAACTATAATTATTGCTTTTGCGAAGAAAATGTCTCATTTGATAATAACAAAATGGTTGTATAGTAAAACAGATTTCACTGGCACTGTATTTATCTGATTGTTTCTACTATCGTTCTTAGAGAAAAAATGAGGCAGGTTTCAAATTAATTTTTACTAAAATAACCACACACAAAAAAAACATTTTCAACCTACCACTGTAAGAATTGGTTTGCATTTTGCTAATGTGAGCATACCAAGCCAGTGACCAAGATTCTTTAGTAGGGTTCTGTCTGAGAAATTTGCTACCCCTTTATCACTTCGAAGAAGAACCTAGTGTAATTTATTTAAATAGAGCAGGAAATTTATTTTAATGAAATGAGCTATTTATTACATTTATATTTCTTAAGGTATTTTCTTTATAACAATACAAACCTTTATGTTTCTGAAAGTTTCTGTGATAACTTTTGATGCTAGAGATTCTATGCCAAGTGCATCAACAAAATTGGAGTAGAGTGTGTGAAAGTTTGGTTCTATGCTAGCACGCTTCATGACAAGATACTGAGCTACCCAAGATACATAGTCATTACCCATCACTTCTTTTAACTCTTCAGCCTGTGTATGTAAAAGTTAAAATACAGAATTTGTCATATTATACACTAACAATTAGTATTTCTTACAAGGGTAAAGTAAACATACTATTATTTAGTTTAAAAAAAAACCAGAAAGATTTAAAATATTTTAAAAAGATCTAACTTAAGTAACTTTTACCTTCTGATTCATATTTGCAAGGGAAAGATTATTAAATATGAAAAATACTTTGTCTTGAATTGCTTCTGATGGAACCATAACATCGTTATTGCCTTGTCCAGCTAAAAGTGTGTCTATATTAGTTGCTGTAGCAATAGAGGGCTAGGAAAAAGAAACAATACATTTTGAGGTACATGTACATGACCAGTTTTTAAAACCAAACACTAAAGAAAAATTCTAAATAGGCACCTTGGCAAATGTAGCCCCTCTTGATGATGCTGGTATTGGCGTTGGTGCAGCAGGAGTAGGTGCAACTGTGGTCGGCTGTGCGGAAGCTGATAATGTTGCACTTGTAGGTAATGGAGGTGGAGGTGCTGTTGAATTTTGACCATCTAAGCTTGTAAGTGGAGGCCGAATCAAGCTAGGAAAACTAGCCACTGGAGTCATGGGCCTACCACTTAGTTCACTTAACATTCCATGTGGCATTTGGGGATGTGGAGGTTCCTGTGATCTTGATCCATATTCAACATACTAGGGGAAAAATACATTTATAACAAGTAAAATAAATAGTTGGATGATAATTTAAGGCTTGATTTAAATCTGAGTGAGGCAAAATAAGCCTACAACTACTTTTGATTAAAAATCAACCAAAACATACACTGGCCTAGTAGCCAAGCACAAATGATTGCATTGTGTCGTAAAAAAGTCATCAACTTAATAATTCTTACCTCGATAAGGTGTGGTGGTAATTGCATGAAATGAGGTATTTGGGAAAGATGCTGGCAGTACTGAGGATATTCTTTTAACCTGAAATAATAGATTACAATTATTTCACTTTTCTTTTTTTTTTTACACAGAACATTTTTCTTAAAGTACACTTAACTGTGCATTGCTTGTTTCAATAACAATGACAAATGAATGTGCAACAGCAAAATTACTTACTTAGATTTAAAACGCTCAAGAGATGCAACACCAAAAAGGTACATATTACTATTTGGTTGTTTGCGTAAGGCCTCTAGTATATAGCGCAAAGCAATCCCAAGTGTCCAATAGCTGAAAAAGAATGTTATTTTTATTAAATGATACCCCTTAAAAAACCTTAAAAAGCAGTAATTTTGAATCCTTGACAATATCTGATTTAATTATGCCCCCAAAAAGCAACTTGTAATTTCTTACGTGACAATATTCTGTTCAATAATACCCCCAAAAAGCTGAGCAGTAATTTGAAGTTCGCGGTCTGGATACTGAGGGAAAAATCTATACTCTTCAAACAGGTTTCTAAGCATACAAGCAAACACATCCTGAAGAAAGAAAGAAATGCCTCTAGTTATCAGAATTAATTAAATTAGTTAAATATTATAGCATCGTGTAACAGATGCTCTTAAATTTATTTCTTCTTATATTATATATACTTAAACTGATCAATCCTATATTGCTGGGAATAGTTTACTACTCACCCTATTTGTTTTATCCAGTGAATCCTTAAATGATTTTAACATTGTAAGAACTTCATCAATACTCATAGTTGGTGCTGGAGGTTGATTGTAGATTTGTTGGAAATATGTGTTTGCCCTGTCCTCAACTTCTTTACTAAATGTTTGAGTCATCTCAGGGAAAATATTTGACATATCACTAGCTGGATTGCCTGGTTGCACTGAATGACAAGATAATTTTTTTATACTTCAGATTTGAAATAGAAGCAATAACAAACTATGTAAATTTACTTTTGTTTAAATAAATTGCTACATTAAATACATAACGCATTTAAATTATCAATAAAAGGTTTATAAACAACTCTAAATTTACAAACCTGTCCTATTTCCCAGCCTTTCTTGGCTTAGAGGCATGTTCAATTTTGGAGCAGTAGAAGTCGTGGCTCCTATTGAAGCAAGACTGCTAACTGGGGGTCTAGGTCCAGGACCAGGTGTGGGACCTGAACCCATGTTCTGAGTCATTGGTGTCTGCATTCCCATACCTAGTCGAAATGGGTAATAACGGACTAATTTGAGGCACGTAATTTAAAGACAGTTTAATTTAAATATTTATTTTACTTAATCAGTGCTATTTTTTATTAAAATTTTATGCTTGCATAATATATTATAATACATAATATTTTTTTAAATTTACTAAATTTTTTATGGTGGTTCGAAGTCCATTTTTTTTTGGTCCATTTTTAACTTTTTTAAGCACTGATTAAATACCAACTGTTCCCATTTGCATTTCATAAATGAGCTAAATGTGTTTAAAAATTTTTATCAAGCTATAATAATGATGAAGTTAGCACATTTAAAAAATTAATGTCATCATGCAATTCATTCAATTCCTAGTTGGCTACCAGTAACTTGTTGAATCATCTTGTGATAAAATTTGTATTTAAATCTAAAGATTATCTTCAACTTTGAAACTCACTAGACATCTGGTTGTTCATCATAGGGTTGAAATTCATGCCAGCTGCAGCTGCTTGTTGTTGCTGTTGAGACATGACAGGGAAAGACTTAGATGGAGAACCAGGAGGAACTGGAGGTCCAAGAGACAAATTTGCAATAGCTTGAGGCAAACTTTGAGCTGATGGTGGACCCACTGGCCCTGGTTGACTTAGTACTCCTCCTATATTAGGCAAAGAATCCAACTGTCAAAAGAAAAACATTAAACAGCATAATGCAATGACATCAAATAGTTTGGAAGGAGAGTATATATTTTTTTAACTGGTGTGCAACGTTATAAACATAAGATCATAAAAACTTTTGAATTTTTTCACTACTCTAAAAAATTTGATAGATTTTTAAATTAATATTTTAAGTAAGTTAATAATGGCATCACAAAATCTTGATGAAATGAAAATGATAATTATTACTGATACGAACTAAAACAAGTTTTTTCATTTTTGTCTTCTGAGTGGGCATAATTTTTTTTGAAAAGGAACTAAAGCTTACAAATGTAATATTTTAAGAATAGATTTTATAAATGCAGAGAGCCTAAACAATTTTTGGTTGCATTTAAGCCTATGGATGGCTGTGAAAAACCCCAGATAGAAATTAAAAATTCAAAACGACATGGGTAGAATTACCCAAAACATATAACAAAATTATTAAAAGAAATGTAATTCTAAACAAAAAGCATTAAAATTGTAAATAAAAAAAAAAAAACAATTAAAGTTTGTATTTTGAAGGTTAGAAAAAAAAAAAGTTCCATGCAGTTGCACATTTAATAATTTGACAGATACTTGAGATTTAAAATTTCTGAATTTGTAAGCTTTTATTTGTTATTTTTAAATTATACAGCTACTCAGAAGGCAAATGTAAAAACATTTTTATTCATTCCAATAATGATCAGTTTTACAGAAAATTGCTATGGCATTTTCCTTTTAAGAATAAAAAGCTGGCATACCAAGGTCAATGGCATTTTATCAATTCATAAAAAATAAAAGTTCATTTGAAGCTGGATTAGGTAAGAGTATTAACAAAACAAATAAAATCTTTGGAGCATGTTTTTTATAACAAAAATTTACCATATTCTGTGGCGCATATGGTGGTTGCTTTGGTCCAATTCCACTCATAGACACAGGAGGGGGTGCTCTAGGTTTAGTTAGATACATGTTTGCATTTGTTGACATAGAATTAATTGTTTCTGCTAGTTCTTGATTTAGGTGCCTATGTAAAAAAATATATTTAATTTTAAATCTACTGTGTCATTAGAGAGAACAGATAGTTAATCATTTATAAAAATGAATAATTTTAATGTTTTCAAGCAAAATGTAAACAGATAAATCATTAATTATCAAACAAAATGTCAACTTTTAAAAAACTACAAGCAATACTGTAACTTTTACAAGTATTTATTTTTACGTCTCATAAAAATAAAGATGATTGTTACCCTATCCAATTCCTTAAACAATGTAACATAGTAATTATAGTTTCAGGTGGCAACTGTTGACTACGAGCTTGTGGTGGTTCTTCTTTAAGTGGCAAGCCCATCAATTGAGGACAGCGTCTCTTTAAAAATGTCACACATGCTTGAATAAAAGCTTCCTGCAAGAGTTTCAAAATATGAACTTGTCAAACAATGTATTCAATACTAAAATAGTTCAAAAGTTATGCGCGAATATTAAAATTATTACCTTATGATCTGTAATCTTATCATTTAACCATTTATCCAATTTCAAGTATTCTCGTCTTGAAGCAAGACAGGCTAAGTCTATGACAAAGGCATATGGGGTTGCATTCAGTAGCATCGAAAGTGCCTGAAAATAAAATGTCAAAATAGATATAAACTAATCCAAATAAGTTGATAGAGAATGCAAAAATTAAAATTTAAATTGTGTGAAAGTATAACTAGTCTAACCTTGAGGTCTTGAGCCACATCCAAAATTCTAGAGAGGCGGACTTGGTCATGAGGTTCACCTCTCATATACCACTCTGCCATTGAATGCATGATCAATGTACGTATTGTACTGGAATGACCCTGTAAAGTCAAATTGTAAATGAACTTTTCTGCTGTGTTTGAAACAGCATGACCGAATACAGTGAATGACCTACAGAAATTATATAAATCTTTATTAAAAGTTAAAATATATACCTGATGGTGCCATGCATAATGTAAAATAACGGCAGAATTGCTGTGCTGACCCAGGAATATAGGCATCAAGTTTGCAATTAAATCTGTTTTCAGTCGGTTTACAGTTGCTGGCTGAGGCTGCAAGGAACATTTACAATACAGAACAATTAGATATTGTGACCTTTTTCAGTTCAGCTCACAAACAAGATATTAGTTGAAAAAGAAACAATACTTACAGTTATCTGTAAAAGAGCTAACACAAGAATATCAGGACACTTATTCATTGGAGCTTTAAAAAGATCTACTACTTGAGCATGGTGGCCCCCATCAGACAAACGAAGCAGCGTTTCCACCAAACTCAAACATTTCCTAAAAGAAGAAAATATATTAAAGTATTTTCAAACTATATGGAAAAATGCTCCATTTTTAACTTTAGTACATTAACAATTTTTGTTGGGGATATTTGCCACACTGGAAAATTTCTATAAGTAATAAAATCAGCATTACCAGGTAGCAATTTCACGATCATCTTCATTTGGAGCAGACTTAAGAATGTCTATCACAACTGTTGGAGTATCACCTTTGTGGTCGGCAAGACAAAATACATCTGGATGTTTCAAAGCTTGTACAAGAAATGATAGCTGCAAAAAGAACCAAAAACAAAGTTTTTTAAGGACTGTTTATAATTTTAGGAATGAATAGAAACCATTAATTGTCAGTAGCCTTAATTACCTGGCCTTCTGTGTTATTCCAAGGTTTATAGATATAGTCTATTGGGAAAGGATCCTGAAGACTGCGTAACAATGCCTGTACAATTATTCGTAATCCTTTTCTTCCAGAAACAAGAAATTTCGGATGATCAAGATTTGACACAACCTCACGCCAATTAATATGAGGATTCTGATTTTTCAGAAACAATGAAAAAGTGTTAATTCAAAATAGAATACATGAGGAGTATGTTAAGTGCATTATATCTATATAATAAAAAATTGTCATGCCCACCATTTCTTTAACTATCTGGAGAAAAACATCAACATTCCAAGTAGATACCCCTGGGACATCCTGGTGATCAATCTGCTGCTGTAAAAAAAGGTGTTACAACCTCCATAACTTTATTAATGACCTGCTAAAATAATTAGGATAATACATAACAGATCTGCTCCTCAACCAACTCCAATAACATCGAACATACTCTAACCAATAGATTGTTATGTTTAGGGTTGTTATCTTTACACTAGCTTTATTAAAATAGGGGCTTATAGATAAACAATAGATACAATGGGTAATATTGTCTATTGTACATGGAACTAAAATAAGACAAATAATCCAAATCACTTACATGTTGCCCATGATCTCCTAGGCCTACAGGTGTGCGGGCCATCATGCCTAGGATTCGAGCAACAGCAACAGGTGTGATCTCCCTCGCTCCACAAATAGTTAGAAGATTGCGACATTCATCAACACTAAATAAAGAGAATAAAAATTTTAATTAATATAAATAACTAGAGATTCATCTTTCAACACGAGTATTAAGTATTTATTTTAATGGTGATAATTTAAAACAAAAAAATTAAATCTGGATAAATGGGCCTTAATTACCTAGCTGTGCAGCTATAGCCACTCTCTAACATAAGCTCAGCAATACTTATGTCAGTCTGTAGAAGATTTTAAAATATTACTAATTAGAAATGGTTTCACATAATATAAAAAAGTAATAATTTTTAAGTACAATAATCTTTATACCATGTTCTTTTTCATTGTTGCCAGGTCTCTAAGTTTTTTTCCAGGTATGTCTTCTAAGCTTGGGTAAATGAATGGGCTAATGATAGCTGGCACTCTTTCTCTAGGAAATTCTGTTCAAGTTTTGTAAAAAGTAAAAATTTTTAATGTACACTAAGGGAAAGAAAATGAAATAGATTATAGAAATTCAAAATGGATGAAAAGAACTGTTTCATCATATAGAGTTATTTATTAGGAGCTATAAAAATCAAGTTAACGCTACATTGTTCCTCAAATTATTTACTGTACTATCTCACCTCTTCTAACAGTTTTTAAGAAGGTGTCCAAAGTCTCTTGAGCAATGCCAAGCTGCTCTCTCTCTATTACAAGATGGGAAAGCAGAAGGTGAAGAATCTCAATATCAGAGTCTTGGAGTCCACCCTCCTGATGGCCTGTATCTAAAATTTAATTGTAAACAAAATTAACCATTTTAGTATAATAAAAGGCTATTGGTTTTTTTACCAATACATTTTATCTAACATTTGATATTTTATCTTAGCTTAAAAATCCATGGATAGGGAAAGGGCTGATAACTGTACTGGCCATATCATCTTGTCATATGGAAATAGAAATAAATGTAATCTATATCTTCCTTATTGACCAGTGGATTTTTTCTTTAAGTAGGGGTACATTGCATTAATGAGAGAAAAGCTAAACATACCAACATCCACGTAAGATCTGATTAGCTCTGGTAACTTCTGCTTTGCAAACTGAAGTGCAAAGTTAATAATATCAGATTTGGAAGAGCTGAGAAGAGCAAGTGCAACTGCTACTTCCTGCACACGTGTGAGGTGCAATACTCTACTGATTTGAGGAAAGAGGTGTGCTGACGGCTTGAGACTCTGAAATATATTTACAGGTAAAAAAATTAATCCTTCTTTAGGCTATGTCTTTTTAGGTTTTTCTCAACTTGAGAAGCTGTCATACATGGTTTCTTCTTGGACTATGTTTAAACAAGAAGTTTACACATTTATTTTACATTCTATTGAAATTGTGTAAAATTGTTATTGCACAAGACTATCAACTAAAATATTACAAAACAAGTTACTTCCAATATAAAAATGTTGAAGAATTCAGTGAACTTACATTTTGTTGCTGAAGAGGGTTGTCAATAGAATAACAAAGAATGGAAATAAAATTCGGCTTTGTCAGTAATGCACCAAATTCTTGACTTAAATATTGAATCTAAGATAAGAAAAGAATACCCTTGATATCATCAACATAATAGCCAAAATTTAAACATTAAAGGCAGACATGCCTCACTATTAGCTAAAATAAATATGACATTAATGAGTATAAATTATGCATTGGTGTAAGAAAGAGAAGACCAGTTATTTACAAGAATCAAGCCCTCAAAAGTAAAGCTTTCTGTACCTGGTGTAAATCTTTTCCACTGCTTTTACCATCTCCACTGAAGTCGATGTGTGAAAAAAGGCACCTAAAAAGATGCCTATCGGCTTCAGCTCCGTGCTGGTTTACAAGCTGTAATGATTATTGGTTATTTTAAAAAAACATTTATGGATTCATTATTTTGCATATTCTTCTCAGAGTCTGAATAGCAGCCATGCCTATTCAGATCTCAATCCGAACAGCTGCAGCCATATATAATTTAACATGAATCAAATCATTTTTAAAATTATTCAATTGTTTAGCCTAACATGCGTTAATTTATTAATAATGCAAAGGGACAGAATGTTTTTTAAATTACCTAGTAAAAAAAAAAATCAGTCATAAAATAGAATGTTACCACATTTGTGAGAATTTAAGCAAAAGCAAGGAATGTACTTTCGAATAAATATCATAAATATGTTAGTTATTGCAGCTTTGCATTGTGATAGTCCACTGCTGTGTTCAATCAAAATTGAGCCAGCTGTTCAGTTCAAAAGAGAAAAAAATTCCACAAAAAATTGTGTTTCTTAACTTTGGACTAAAATCACAAAATTTTTTCTAACATAAGAAGGCAGAGGATTCATTTATTTATTATCTCAAGTTCAAATCATGACAAAATTTAGCAAGATTAGCAATGTATTTATTCGCCATAGATAGGACTCTAAAAAAACAAAATCAACAGCAAGAAACCAAAGCGCGAAGTTTCAGGGTTACAGGTCACTTCCGAATTTGAGGCCAGAAGACAGACTAAAAAATAGAATGTTTATGAGTAATTTTCCTTTAAAGTGGCAAACTTAATGGTGGACCTAGGTGGACTCATATTTTTTAGCTTATCAATGAAATGAGGACCATAGTGTTCAAAAGTGAGCTGGCTGTTTTTTTTTATGCAGAGACTGGCATGTGAAAACCTGACTGTATTTGTTAATTGAAAACAAAAAAGCCTATCTTTTTTTTGGCAAAGGACAGCATGCCATCCATTTATCTGTAGTCTAGCATTAAATTTTTAAAACAATAAGATTTTGCAAGATGCACTTAATGAGATTATGGTAGATACTATTTTCTCATCGATCCTACTTCATTAACAGGCTGTATGGTATGACCACTGTTAGGATAGAAGTCACTTCCACTTTTGCAATTAGACAACATTCTACAGATGATTTTAGACACCTATGTCTGATAACACTATTAGTTTTATGGTTAGAAATTAGGGTTAAGCTATTGTAGTACTGGGGTTTGGGTTAGCATTCAAATTGGCAAGACGTGTGTATTTTAGTTAACATTATTATAACAACCAGTCACCTTACAACCCTTTAAAAGAAGATTCTATTATCGGACACTGGTATAAAAATTTCCCCAATTCTACAAAACAGTAGGGCTAACTAATTTTGGTTAGCCCTACTTTTTAAATATTCTCACTAAATTTAAATTTTCAAATGCTTTTCTGCCACAAATAGGTTTTTTTTAATGTTAAAAATCCGCCATTTTGCTCATGGTAAACATTTTTAAAAGAAATTCTAAGAAGGTCACTGGACTAAGACGAAAAATCGTCTGAAGTCATGTGTCTGGTGTGGACGCCATATCATTGTTAACAACCAGCCCCACCTCCTGGGTAGCGAACAATACCTAGAGTCTAGCTAGATCTAGATTTTTTAGATCTAGATCTAGATTACTTTCTCATTGCAAAATATTTTCGAAGTGACTACTCTGAAAAAGATTTTATGCCACAGCGTATCTTTTTCCTGCTATAATCGGCTAAATATTTTTGTCGACAATGTCAATGATATTTTGTTTGGAGCCAATGTCATCACTTATATTAATAAGTCAGGGTTATTTTGTCAGGGACAGGGACAGTCATGGACCATTTTGATTTTTGACCAGGCACCACCTAATTCATGACTGGATCTAAAATCGACTTGAAGCTAGCCCTATCACTTATCGAAGTGTAAAACTGTGAAGAGATGATTATACTGGCAACAAACTTCTTACGTGATTTATAGCAGCGATGCTTTGTTTGTAGTTCTTCTTGTTCAAATTGGCAACTGTATAACTTATTTCGGATAACGCAAAAGAAAGCGGGTCCAAATTCATATTACTCCATAAACATCAAGGCGAAAGCCCCAAAACTCATTTGAGGCTTTCTTAGAACGACAAAAATATAATCTGGATTCCAAAATCCTTTCAGTAAAGTCAAAACGGGGTTGTTTATGGGCCAACATCAGGAAAGTCACACGTTTAAAACTACATATTCAAGACCCTCGACATGGCGTCAGAACGGCCATGTTTGGATTTTACAAATGAGAAAGGGGACAGGAAGTATGATGTTCACTTCCAAAAACATAGATTTAGACTTCCAACAATAAATACAAATCAAATAAAGTTTTCTAACGTTTCAGTTTTAATTTAATCCATTTAACTATTGAAAATTTGAGGTCATTTAGATCTACATTCAACTATTTTTAATTTTTACCCAGAGATATTAAAACCGAATAGGCACAATTCTAATTAGAAAATAAATATCGTTTTATTACAAAATACTAATATGATTTTGTGCAAGATCCAAGATCAGAAAAAATGGAGCAATCTATAAAGATAATAGAATCACACGAGCCGACCCGCGGCGTATCAAATGCCGCTATTTAGTTCGATTTATTTTCTACTTTTCAGTAATTCATAATTTGTGAATTCGACAGTACCAATGCTGCCACTGAAAATATTTGCTTTAAAACACTATCAGTAGGTCGTTAAGGACTTTAACCCCCCCCCTCCTTTCCCCCAACCCCTACCCTACACCCCCCCCCCCGTGAAAGCAGCCTCCTGTTAGATATAGTTACCTCCCCTAAGTTTAAAATAATTTCAAACTAAATTATCTGCCCCTAATAGCCGTCGCTAAACCCAGCTCTACGATTGTAAACATTTAGCGTGAACCACGGCTCACCAGACCATGTGGGGGTGGGGGTAGTAGGGATATGCCTAGAGAGGAAGAGATGGGGCTGCTAGGCGCACTTACAGCTTGGTGTTTTCTATGGTCTCCATGAAGAGAATCATAGATTCATAATTGACCAACTGCTTACAATACAAACAATAGAGTCTATTGCCAACATTGGACCCCATGTCATGAGGCGTAACATTAGCAGAAGCTGATTTTTGCCTTAGAAGTCCATGTCGAATTGTTTACAGATCCACAACCATATTTGAGTTAGAATGTATTATTTAATGTAATGAACATTAACGATAATAATGGTTCTAAATAATTAAACGCGCTAGAAAATAATACACAACCACAACTTGCATACACGAGGAATATAAAAATGGTTATTGTCGCATTTCTATGCACACGTCTCTCCTCTATAATCGTTTTTAATTATAACTTTATTAATTTGAAGTGTTTTATAACATATCTATTGGAATTTTTCATTCCAATAACAAAAACTGAAATATTGTCCCTTCAAAGTTGAGTGATAAAGACTGCCGTGCAGATCTTGGCCACATGCGTTGAGGCGTGGGGAGGGGGGGGGGGGGCTAAGACCATTTTCTGGACAGTGGTGTCTTTTTTGGAGGATTTTTTTTTCCAAAGTCCAGCTGCTGCTAGTACTGCCGCTAAAAAAAAAACAATTCTCGGCTCCTGATAATGCGAACTGAAATAGTTCACTATCATGCCCAATTTGATGTTGTGCAAATTCCTGCTTTTTAGATATCTATCACATCTTTTCATGCCAATCCAATTTAATATATCTGCTCTTTATATTATACGGGTTGGACATATGGGTGTCAACCACACATATCTACTGAAAGAACCTCAACCTACATAGATCTTAAAGTTATGACCATTCATATTCAGCTGGGAAGATGATCTCAACCATGTAACATATCAAGTCGACACTTCTTCGACCGATTTCAGAGATCGTCCCTTTTCCGTGTCCTCACAGTCCCCTTCACAACAAACCGCGTTTGATGCGGTAGTTAATTTAGTTATACCTGACGTCAGGTTTATATGTAAACAAGATCCACACATATCTCTATATAAACAAGCTCGGACCTGGCAGTGACGACTTGCACGGACTTACACTTTCTAGTGAAAGGGAGGACGGGCTAAAAGAGTATCAGCGACACTTCTTTGTTTCTCTGCCGCCTTCGCCATACTTCATCATGTAAGCTGAAGGTGCGATGTGATTCCAGCCTTTAAGCTTCATGAAAAAGGCTTTTCTTTAGCCGATCTTCCCCTTGTAATCAACTAAACAGTTCTACATTTGTGACTGGATCAGCTCGCGTGGAGTCTTAAGAATGTGCTGCAGAGGCGTAGCGACCCTTCCCGGCGCCCGGGGACAAACTTTTCGATTTGCACCCCCCTCGAGATTTCGATTTGCACCCCCCCTCAACCTTTCAATTTCCACCCCCCTCACCTTTCAATTTATTTTTTTCAACCCATTTTGGCGCCCCCTAAGCTCGGCGCCCGGGGACATATGTCGTCCCCCCCCCCCGCCCCCCCTCGCTACGCTACTGATGTGCTGTTGACTGTGTGATAGAAGCTTAGTGTCATCACCAGATCCAAGTCACCAAGCCGCTGTTCACCAATATCCTTTCAAGTACTCATCAGGTGTTTCAGTCACGGCCTAAAAAAATACAGAAAAAGAGAGCAAACTTGTCACAATCAGCGTCGCATTTTAAAAACTGTATATAAACTTTGGTGGCACCCCGTATGATATAGGCCACCCTTAATTATGTTTTTTTTTAAATACTAATTTAATTTAACACATTAAAAAAGTGATTTACCATGATATGCGGTGTCGTATAAAGAAGCCTGCTGTCCATGCAAGATCTAATTTGATGGAGTCATGTATAGATGCACATTTAGTTTTTCCTCTAAAATTCTTAAGCGCTTTTTGTTCGAATCCAATGGACACTGTAGTGAGCTGTAGTGTCATAATAGATCGTGCTGTTGTGCTGTTTTGTGTGTGTATGATGATTACATTATGCGAAGTGACCAGCGGCGTATCATACGCCGCTATTTAGTTGTTTTATTTTCTACTTTTCAGTACTTCATACTTCGTGAATTCGACACTACTCTCTCTTCCTCCCCCCCTCCTGCCATCGTGAAAACAGCTGTCCCTAACGACAGTTTACAGACGACAATGAAAAGACCAAGCAGAACTTCTAACCTCTCCTTAGTTTCAAATCGTTTAAAAGCTAAATTATCTGCCCCTGATAGCCGTTACTAATTCGACCCGGCTCTACGATTGTAAACATTCGGGGTGAATAAAAATTTTGAGGGGGAGTTGTAGTCTGAGGTGTGACGTCATTTTCAGTGTTTCTTCCAGACTTTTTTCTCCGGGGGGGCACTTGAAATCTTCGGGGGGGCGGTAAACTTTCTTCGGGGGGGCGGACAGTGTTAAAAGTATATATTTTCTATATAAATTATATAAATTTCATTTCGTTCGGGGGGGCGGTAAAAATTTTTCGGGGGGGCTTCGCCCCCCCGAAGAGATGCCTGGAAGAAACTCTGGTCATTTTAGAGGGGGTCTGGCTTTTTGTGACGATGTGTGACGGAGGGGAGGGGGGGGGGGAGAGGTAAAAAAAAGCGTGATGTCATTTATGGATTACCCCTATTTAGGAAATAGGTTAAAATTTAGATATTTAAGGGGAGACTCATCAGGTTTTGCACTTTTTTTCCAAATGCCTGTTTATTTACTATATTTCCCTATTTTATGTTCACATAAGTATCAATTAACATTTTAAAACTTATTTTGAAGGTTGTTTTTTAAAAAAAAATGAATTAGGTGATGATCTTGCGCTAAATTTACATAGTTTTAGCTAAAATCTATACGGAAAGTGTATTGCAGACCCAAATCCAGAATTAATTGAAACTTCACAGTTTGCTCTGACTAGTACTATTCTACTGAATGACCAAAGGATTTTTTTTTATCTTATTTAGAAAATTTTATATCATTTTTTTTATGATATCAATTTCGGGGCGCAACAAAAAAAAGTCAACCCATACAGAAAAAAAAAGATTAAAAAAAAACTAACAAAAAGAAATAAATTCCCCTAGGTCATTCAATAGATTAATGTATGTAAATTTATCATAAGAAATTTCAATTGTGTCTGACATTTCCTTTTTGAGTAATCTTCCGTATAATTTTATAAAGTAACGAAAATCATAAAACAGAGAAAAACAGGAAAAACCATTTCAAAGTGGATTTTATAAAAGTAAACATGTTTATTTACTAAGAAAACTTATATTTCAATTATCAATATGCATTATTACACATAAATAGAAAAAATGTACAGGCTAAGCTGTCAGATAAAAAATCTGAGATCAATTTACAAACATATACCTCAAACAGCAAAAAAAAAAAAAAAAGAGGTAAAATTGTGAATTTACATTTTTTTTTTTAAAACTCATTTATTTATGTGCAACAAAGTGAAAAACATTCAAAGATCAATTAAAATAATGTAGTAATAATTTACAATGATAAAAATGAGAAACTGATGACACAAAAGAGAAAAGAAAATAATGAACCTAATCATCGGCAGCCCCCGCTAAATAAAGATTTCCCTCTGCAACAGCTAAACCCTCCTCCCTGCTAATATTATCTAAAGTCCTCTTAGCCCTCCTACGCTTTACCTCAGTCATTTCCCCCTTCTCAGCCCTACTAACTCTAAGCTGATCCCTTTTAGCACCCCGACTTTCCATTTCCCTCGTTACACTGCAGCCTATCGCCTCAACAAATTCTAACACCCCTCTAGACCCCCTGTTGAAATTGGCTACTGCAAGGGCTGTGGCTATAGCTACCCTTTTACTGCCAACAAATATGTGCTTGGGGCAATGAGACCACACTACTGAGTGGAAGCTTTCATTCGCATTCTGGGTCATGCCCAGCAAACACCTAGACATAAGTTTATCCTGAGTTAGGCGCTCATAAACTGGCTTCACATATTTAGCCACAACTTCGTTCAAAAATGTTTTACTTTTTTTTTCATGGCTGGGAATAGCCTCTCCTTTTGCCACTGCCTTCTTATAGAAGCACCATGAATTACTTCCTTCAGGACACAAATCATGTGTTGGCTTGGTGTCAGAAGATATGGAGTGGTAAAATGAAGCCCAAATTTTGTTTTGCAGCTCCTGGATACTGCCATTGTTGCTGATGACAGCATTCTTGTAGTACCGCTGCAGCAAGCCTATCTTAGCCTGCAAATAGTGTAAAGAAGCAAAAGAAATTTTACAAACCCGAATTAATATTAAACATAAAATGAAACAAATGTTGATTAGGTTGCAAAAAGTAAACTGATTGGAAGTATACCTGTGTCAAGCTTCCGGATTTTGTTCCACCCAGAGTCACACCTCTTTTCTTTTCATCCGACACCAAGCTCCTCAACGCTGTTCCCAGTCTCTTGCTCACATGGTTTACACACTCCTCCTTCTCTATATCTGTAGTCCCGTAGGGTGCCATTTTCTGCAGCTCGGACAAAGTTTTTGAGTCCCCATCACTAATAAGTGTAGTATACCTCAGGGCACTCTCCAAAGACCTGCCCCAAAGCACTTTGGCAGCAGCTACCTCCATTGCCCCAGCTGACCCAGTATGGTTAGCGCAGCAGTCCTGCTTGTGCTCCTCCACCCATGCAGCATAATCTGGAGAATCCTTCATATCTTGGCCAGTGGTTGCGCATGTCTGAAAATGAACAACAGTTAGTACAATATATTCCTATATTCAGGAAAATGAAATTTTATGAACTCAATTTGCAAAAAAATTAATCTCACTGAACTAACCTGACAATAACTGGACAGTACGTGGTAATCAATTACCAGTCCCGTCTCCTGCTCTATAACAGCCCCAATTCCGTGCTTACTGGTGTGGCCTCTTTTCTGCCAGGATCCATCAAAACTGACAGCCACATCTATTGTCTCTGAGCCGGTTGCACCGTGAACCTCTCTAACTTTTCTTATTGATTTTTCTATCTGTTTAGATGAAAATTCCTTAGTGGCACTGAAAATTGCATTTGTATGCTCATTGAATGCATTGTGGCTCATGTTGCATACTCCTGCCACACCACAAAATCTATCAGCTCCTCCATAGCCAAGACCAGCATTTAGCATCCCTGCTACAAACCGGCGGTTGACATCATATGTATAGGAATCGATTTTTGCAGAAGACATGGTACTAGATACCTCCTTATCGCATGTACCGCAGTGGATAATGCAACAAAGTGCCAAGCCTTTTGACTTGCTGCTGTCTACCCTCAATTGCAAAGTAGCCTCCTGGCAATAGGGGCACAAAAGATCTGCAAACAGGTTTTGCATTACATGCAAGTCAACAAAGCCTCTGGGCAGACTTGACGTACACGGTGAAGGGGAAGTTTCATCTGTACCACAATAAGTTAGCTTCCGTTTAGAGGCAGAATTTCTTGGCTGAATTGGATCAGCCTGTGCTTCATTCCCGTTAGGACTCTCTGTCTCCCCAGTAGAAGATGCTTTCCAATTAGCTAAGCACCGCTGAAGTTGCAACTTTCTAGAAGATTTTTTGGTGTATCTCCTGCGAGCGCTTTCCTTCTTGTACATTGCTGTGCTGTTAAAAAAATATAGGCACAGTAAAATATTTGTTGTAAATAAAATGAGTATTTTAAAATGTATAATACTCTACTCTATAATCCAGTAGGATCTAGATTCTAGACTGAAGCTAGATCTAGATCTAGCATTCTATTTCTAGATAATCTAAACTTCTAGATCTAGACTTGTTGAATTTGATCTAGAAATCTAGATTTAGTCGTGTAAAATCTAGATCTAGTCAAACTCTGATCTAGTAGTACTAGAATCTAGTTCTAGATCTGTTCTAGTCTAGATCTAGACTAGTCTAGAGTTAGAGGCTAGTCTAGTAGAATAACTTTAGTTTAGATTATTCCTAGTAAAATGAACTTTCCATCAGCTTAGTTTTAACATTCTTGATACAAATTATTAGATTATTCTATTAGGCAAACATTATTTAGAAATAATACACTGAAACGTATATAAATCAGTACTTACCAATAGAAAATGTAAGCTTTGTTGAAAATAACGAAGTCGATAAGAGAGAGAAAAATGGCTGCCGCAAGTTGTTTATTCTGGAAACTGAATGACTGAAATAAAACTTCGTAGACGGAAGAGCTTCAAATAGTGGCTCTTCAGCCTCGAAGTCAACTTTTTTTTTAACAACAGCCAATAGAAATGCGAATATTTGAAATTTTCATGAGCCTTTGTGTCTATTGCTATTTTTAGACGAAAATAGGTCATGATTTTATAATAAGCAGCCCTTCGAGAGCTTTCCATTGATGTATGACACGTGCGGGTGGTACGAAAATGAAGTACAATTATGGGTTGTCAAAGTAGACCGAAAAATACATTTTGGGATTAATTTTAGCAAGGGTTATGATATTAAAAGCATTTTTATACTTATTTAAATACCATATTAGACATAATAAGTGAGAGAAACGTATTCCCAAGATGCTGAAATAGTTAATTCTGTCAAAATTGAAAAATCGATATTTTCAAAGTATTTTACATAAAACCTCATGAGTGTCCCCTTAATTAATAGCTATAGATCTAGAAATTCGCGGGAAATACACTTTTGAATGGTGGGTATGTCCAGACTATCTATAGGCTAAGCTTTCAGTAAGGTTTTTTCTTCAAAAGAGACGATTGATTGAGTTAATTGCTACATTTTTTTTAATGATTAAAAACTTTAAAAAAAAATTATAACGCAAGCTTCTGGTGCAAGCTTTCGTTGATTTAGAACCTATTTTCAGGACTTAGGAACCAGATAAAAATAAATAATGGCGCCACCTATCGGTCAAATTATACTCTAAACCAGTCCCGATTTACTATAATCGTCGACATGGCGGATCAACAGCTGTATGAGGCAAGATATATTTTATTATTTTTCTCTTTTTGTTTATGCATGTACAACAGCTTATTATTTAAACACTGCATTTTTGTGTGTCTGTTTTGTTAGTCATAAATAAATAATTTATATAGAAATGTACATAGACTAGATCTAGATCTAGTGGTTATTTCATTTTTATTTTTTTTGCTCTGACTTTATCAACGAAGAGAATGAGCGAGTCTATTTGTTAGGTGGGGTTAACCAATCGGGGCAATGGCCTTGTTTTTTTAATAGAATTTAATTGCATAATAATTTTACTATTTTTTTTACACGTAGGGCCTGTACGAGAAGCGTTCTTTCTTGCCTTATTAGTCTATTTAAAACCATGCGCATCTTTTAAAACATCTAGAATGACTAGACCAGTGTTAAATAAATTTTACTATTATTACCCGTTCATATTCATAATGAGTTGGCCTTTATGTTATTTATTAGTATTAGCATTTTAGGCTAGTGCCTTTACTATTCATTTAGTATTATTTTACTAAAATATTTACTATTTAGTATTTACCATTAGGTTAGGCCTATAAACTTTCATTTTCATTTAGGCCTAATTATGAATTAATAATTAGTTGGGCATAATTTAGGCCTACTCATTAGTGACATTAGGCCTAATATGTTATCTAGACTAGAAGCTTAGCCATAGAGTCTATTAATCTATTTTTTTATAGGCCTACTTTTTATACCATAAACCTCACACTCCTGGGAGGTGGGGAAATGCAGGGTGTGGATTTTTTTGACCATGTGTGACCAGCTGAAAGGGGGGGGGGGGAAGAAAGTGTTATGACATACTTTTTTTAGATTAAAGAGTGATGTTACAAAATGAATTTTAGCCCTTATTTTACGTTTTATAAAAAAAGTGTAATAGATTGAAATAATTGTGAGGTCAAGGGAACTCACTCTTCTGTATTAGTTATATTTATAATATTGTTATCTTGAGTGATGTCCCTTGTGTACTTCCTTCCGCCCTCTCTGGTGTTACCATCATGAGGTAGTTAGACCCATTAAACGTGTTATATACAACCACAGGCTTCTGTCGTCAATCTATTATAACTGGCGACGAAGGATAAACATCTACTAGAAAGAGCACCTAATTACGCAAAAAAAGAGGTTTGCTAGAGCTTATTAGCTAATTATTTCTAGAATTATGGCGCTGTATGGCCAAATAAAAGAATTTGATGCGAATGATGAAATCATTCAAGATTACCTAGAGAGGTTAAGCTTTTACCTAGAAGCTAACGACGTGACGATAGAAGCCAAAAAGAGAGCTGTTTTGTTAACAGTCATAGGGCCTCAACAATTTAGGCTACTAAAGGACTTATGCACACCAGCTAGTCTAACTACCAAGAGCTTTAACGAGCTGAGCAAATTGCTAACAGACCACCATGCGCCTACCCCATCAAAGTTTCTATGTAGAGCTAGATTTGACAGTAGGACTCGTCAACCAAACGAGTCAATATCAGAATATGTTGCTGCTTTACGTCATTTAAGTAGATTTTGTGAATTTGGAGAAACGCTGTCTGACAGATTATGTGAAAAGTTTGTGACAGGTGTAAACAGCCCTGATATTCAAAGAAAGTTGCTGCTCGAGTCAGATCTAAAATTGGAAAAAGCAATACAACTTGCAACTTCAATCCAGCAGTCATCAGATGCGGCGAAATCTCTTACGCCTTCAGGGATCCATGCAGTAAACAGCAGGTTAGTCAATAAACATCAACCCCATCAGAGCATTCCAACTTATGCTAAACAGCCTGCTCGTTCAAATCCTAGATCTAAATCTAGTAATAATTATCAAATATGTCATCGATGCAAAGGTCCCCATGCATCTCATCGGTGCAAGTTCAAGTTTGCAACTTGTTATAAGTGCGGTAAGCAAGGTCACATTGCCAAGGCCTGCTTTGCAAAGTCTTCGTCTGTTGCTAAATCTAGCCAGTCAAGACAGTACCGCAACCAAAGGCAGCACTATGTTAACTCTCACCAAGACTACCTAACCCAACCAATGAACCACTCTACCAGTGAAAATGCTCAAACTGATTCGCAGCCGGATTTCAACCTATTCTCTGTGAAATCAATAAGTCATGCTCCCATCAATGTGCTAGTTAATATCAACGGTAAGAGCATCAGCTTCCAACTTGACACTGGAGCATCTCTAACAGTCATAACAACGAAAGACTTTAACGCTGTCACAGGAGGATCAGTGCCTCTACAGCCATGTCACAAGTGTCTAACAACATACACTGGTGACAATGTTCCGGTAATAGGAGAGTGTATGGTTCATGTAAGTTATAATGGTCAAAGTGTTAAACTTCCTCTTCTTGTGGTTGAAGGAAATGGACCGCCATTACTAGGTAGGAACTGGTTAAGTGATCTTAAGTTAAATTGGGAGAGTATTTGTTCATTGAACAATGGAAAAGAATCTAGTCTTACTTCACTAGATAAAGTAATATCTGAAAATAAATGTGTTTTTGGTAATCATGGATTACTAAATGATAGAACAGTGAAGTTAAGCATTAAAGACACAAATCCAAGATACTGCAAAGCTAGAGTTCCACCTTATGCAATGAGGAATAAAATTGAAAATGAGCTAAGTAGATTGGAAACTAATGGCATTATAAAGAAGGTAGACTATTCCGATTGGGCGACACCCATTGTGCCAGTGTTAAAGAAGGATGGTTCTATAAGAATTTGTGGAGATTATAAAACTACACTGAATAAGCAAATAGAGCTAAATAGGTACCCTATACCTAACATTGAGGAAATTTCTTTGAATTTGGCAGGAGGAGACAAATTCACTGAATTAGACTTTAGTCATGCTTACACTCAACTAGAACTGCATCCAGATTCAAAAGTCTATACGACAATAAACACACATAAAGGACTCTACCAATATGAAAGACTATGTTTTGGCATATCATCTAGCCCTGGAATTTTCCAAGCTGTCATGGACAGTATTTTTAAGGATATTCCAAATGTTTGTGTGTACTTTGACAATGTGTACATAACTGGTAAGAATGACACTGAACATCTTAAAACACTAGATAAAGTATTGAAAATTGTTGGTGAAAAAGGTTTAAAGATAAACAAAGATAAATGTCAATTCATGCTGAAAGAAATTAGTTTTCTTGGTTATATATTAAGCAAGCAAGGCATCAGACCTCAACCTGAGAAAACAAAAGCCATTAAAGAAGCACCCAAACCTGAAAATACCCAACAACTAAGAGCTTTTTTGGGCTTGATAAATTACTATGCAAAGTTCATAGGGAATCTGTCTGGTAAACTATCACCACTGTACAAGCTGCTACAGAAAAATGCAACTTGGCACTGGGGTAAACAACAAGAAGCTGCTTTTAATACAGCAAAAGAGGCTTTGTCTGCTGACACCTTACTAACTCACTATGACCCAGGGAAAAGACTTGTATTGACATGTGATGCTTCACCAGATGGTGTAGGAGCAGTCTTGTCCCACATGGATGAGAAGGGTGACAGACCCATTGCTTTTGCCAGTAGATCTTTGAACCAGGCTGAGAAAAATTATTCTCAGTTAGATAGGGAAGGCTTAGGCATCATTTTTGGTGTTAAGAAATTTCATAAGTTTCTGTTTGGTAGGAAGTTCACCATCATTACAGATCATAAACCATTGCTAGGTTTATTTGGAGAAAACAAAACCCTACCTGAGCATGCCTCACCAAGAATTCAAAGATGGGCTATCACACTAACTGCATACAATTATGAATTGAAATACAAACCTGGATCTGAGAATAGTGCAGATAGTCTTAGTAGATTACCTTTAAAAAACCAAAGCCTGAGCTATGTACCAGAAGATGTATTTGTTCTCTTCACTATCATGGATAACTCCAATATAAATGTGAATGATATTAAGAGAGAAACACAAAAAGATGAGTGCTTAATAAAAGTATATGAGTACTGTAAGAATGGTTGGCCTGAAGAGTCAGTGAATGAGGACTTAAAGCCATATAAAATAAGAAAAACAGAGTTAAGTCTAGAAGATGGATGTATACTATGGGGGTCAAGAGTAATTATCCCCAAAATGTTACAAAAAGAAGTTTTAAGAACTTTACATGATACTCATCTTGGTTCTTCCAAAATGAAGAGTCTGGCAAGATCATGGTTCTGGTGGCCACATATGGATGCTGATATTGAAAAATATGTAAAACTTTGTTCAAGCTGTGCACAACATTCAAATCAACCAGCTACAGCACCTTTGCAAAACTGGGACTGGCCAATCGAACCATGGAAACGTATACATATAGATTTCGCAGGACCTTTCATGAACAAAATGTTCTTAATTGTTATTGATTCACATTCTAAATGGTTAGAAGTTAAAATCATGAACACAATCACTGCAAATGATACCATTATAGAACTGAAGGAAATATTTTCAACTCATGGATTACCAGATCAAATTGTTTCAGATAATGGGCCTAGTTTCACAGCTCATGAGTTTAAACTGTTTTGTGTGGCAAATGGTATTGAGCATATAACCACATCCCCCTATCATCCTGCTGGGAATGGTTTGGCTGAAAGAGCGGTAGGCATATTCAAAACCGCTATGGTAAAAATGAATACCGGTAACAAGTTTTCTCTTAGAGAAAGAGTAAACAGGTTCTTAACCAAATACCGCACAACTCCTCATATAACAACAGGTGTTGCACCATGTGAATTGCTATGTGGTAGGAAAATTAAAACTCATCTTGACCTACTACATCCAACTGTTCAAAGGTCTGTTTCCCAACATCAACATACACAAAAAGTAAATCATGACAAATCATCCATTGAAAGAGAATTTGCAGTTAATGATAATGTGTATCTAAGAAATTATGGGAGAAGGGAAAAATGGATACCAGGTCAAATTGTTCAATGTACAGGACCTGTGTCTTATAAAGTAAAAACAAATGATGGACTTATTGTCCGTAGACATGCAGACCAGTTAAAAATAACTTGTGCAGATAATAAGTGTGAATCTGTCAATCCCACCAAATCTGAACAGTTCACACCAACTCAGTTTGTTCCACAACCAAGTTCTGTTGATATGAGTGAACCAAGTTGTCTGGAGTCAGAAAATGTAAATTCTGGAGTTAATGATTTAAATCCTAGACCTCCTGAGATAGAGAATCCAAATGGTCAGAATATTGAGTCACCAAATCAAAGGCCACTGAGAAGGTCAAACAGGACAATCAAAGTCCCAAATAAGTTAGACCTATGATTTTAAAGGTCAAAAGGACTTTGACATCATTGTTTTGTATTTTGATTATGTTGTAGCATATTGTGCATTGTTTGTAAGGATGTAATCTACCATAGTGTTCATGTTACAATATAATTGGTGATTTTAGGATACTATCAATTGTTCTATTGAGAGATGTGTTATTGTGTTCTAAGGGTAAAGGGATGTAATAGATTGAAATAATTGTGAGGTCAAGGGAACTCACTCTTCTGTATTAGTTATATTTATAATATTGTTATCTTGAGTGATGTCCCTTGTGTACTTCCTTCCGCCCTCTCTGGTGTTACCATCATGAGGTAGTTAGACCCATTAAACGTGTTATATACAACCACAGGCTTCTGTCGTCAATCTATTATAAAAAGTATAGTAGGGGCCCTAATGGAAATTCATTAATTCATTAATATTAATAATATACTTAAATATACTCAATATTGTCAGTGTCAGAGCTCAGTAATTTTTTTTGACAGAAATAGGCCTATATGATTAAAAAAAAAACAATTGCACTTTTGAAATAGGCATGATTGTTTTTAATATCCTTTTATGTTAAGTTTAATAAAATATCGATAGGATTTCTAACAAAAGCATGTTAGGTGCTCCTATAATGACTTCTTAGAGCAAATAAGTGAAGTACCCTTTCTAACCTGAAGGTCCACATGGCAGAGGAAGTAGAGTTCACCTGTTTCAGAAACCTCTGCAAATGAGATCCAGCGCTGTGTTCAGCTGGTTGGACTCTGGTTCTTGAACCTCAGGTTCGAACTGAAGTCTTTCTGGTTTGCAGTCTATACTCTGCTATCTAGCCATACTGTCCCCTGACTTCATATAACATTATTTCAAAAATAAAAATTAAGCTGCCTAAAACTTTACAGATGTTTTTAATAAAAATGTTAACATATTTGTAGGTGATCCCCCTTTGCAGGACCAACTCAAGCTGTTAGGGAGGGAGGTCCCTTGTTAAGTTGTTACATAATTATGAACAAAGAAGGGGTTTTACTTTGTGGAAATCCTTCATGGAGTAGGGAGTGTGTGGAGACTGTCTTTTATTTAAAGAGATAAACATAAGTTGACAGCATACCATTGAGGTCTACTTGAGCAATCAGAGTGATTTATAATGCTTCATTCTGCACTTCACCTTACATTATTCTTTTTATTTATATACACATTCTATCAAACATCTGATACTTAAACTTGGCTTTTTAAAAACAACACAAGTATATTTTATTATTAGGATTTTATTTTTCCTTCCCTATTCAAATTTCACACCAGTTTTGCAGTACATTAAATAATTGTGTATTATATTCTGTATTAGTGTCAGGGATATTTTACTTTTAAACAATTGTATGCTGTTGTGAGAAAATGCATGTCTGGCTCAGAAAAGCAAGATGCTGAGTTCAAGAGTGGGTAGTGAGCAGTTCATCATCTTTTCCCTTTAGTACCCAAGACACATGGGGCCATCACTGAAAGCCTTTTCTACTTTTGCGTGTCTCTGGCAATTTTCTTGGCAGTCGGGGTGTTAGAATCATCGTCTTAACTTGAATATTGTTCTTGGCATTTTTAAGATTTGTATGAGGCTTTTAAATGTAAAACTTTTAATTTGCATCTTTTTCTAATGAACCTAAGTAATTGAAATATTTTTGAGAAATTTGTAAATTGCAGTTCTATTATTTCTCACAGGTTGAACAAATTCTTGGTAAGAAGGTTTTGCCTAGTAGACGTGTTCTGTATCTAGTACGTTGGCGAGGATTCTCTTCAGACCATGATTCCTGGGAACCATACCAAAACCTTGATGCCTGTAGGCCACTTATTAATATTTTCAATCAACACATTGAAGATACCCAAGGAATAGCAGCCTTAAATAAATCTCAAATTATATTAAAACCTGCAGATGTTGATAAAACTGTTCATTCAAAACATACACATTTAAAATATTCAGCAATAAAACGGAGTTACACGAAAAAAGATAAAAGTACTCCAAAATTGTCTGTGTCTGCAGGAAAGAAAGTAGATGGTCGTAAAAAGCAAAGTAAGTTAAAAATGAACACTACTAGTTCAAAATCTGAAATGAGCAAGACTGAGTCTCTCAATGGAGGTGGGGGTGCACTGCAACCCTCAGAGAACACACCTGTCACAGAATCACCTAAAAAGAAAAACAATATCCGTAAAAGAAAACTGGATTTAGATAATACTGATAAATCAGTAGTCAAAAACAAAAAATCAAAGCTGTCAATAAGTAGCTCAACCCTAAATAATAAAACAGAACACAGTGGGCTTTTCATAAAGGAAAATGTTTTAGAAGATGATAGCGATGATGACATTCTTTATTCCCTTAATTCTGACTGTGATAGTTTTAAACACGCTGATAAGAATGAAAAGTCAAAATACAAATTGGATTCAAAAGGGAAGTTTAAGACAAAGAAGACAAGAGAAAAGCTCCAATCATCTGTGATAAAAAGGAGGTCCCCAAAACTCACTCACATGAAGGATCTCAAGGTTGGCAGCAAAAGAAAGAAAATGTTTCTAATAGACTCTAAAAAAAAAGATAAAGACTTCTTTTCTCAATCAGGTGATTTAAACATTGTTTTAAATGTTATGCTTGTCCATAGTTGAATTAAATGTAATCTAGCAATAAAAGTTAGTTATAGAGTAATGAAGCTATCTTGTGCTTAAAAATGTGTTGAACTTGGGTTGCACTATTGCAGGTATTTTTCGATCTGTATCACCTCCACCCATGTTCACTACAGTTAAGCATTTGATGAGTGGCCAAGAAGCAAAGGAAGTGTCTGTACTCTCTGGTGAATCTTTACTTGACCCTGTTTCTGCTGAAGATTCTGGTATGTAATATTTTCTTTTAAAAATTTCTGTTCTTCCTGACAGCAGAAACTAATATCACAAATTATGGCTGTCTATCACTTAACAATAAGAAAATATAACAAAGTAATAAATGATTAAATATGTTAAATTATGCTTTTTTTTGCCTTTAAATCTTCAGAAACTTATCTAGCAGATGTCCCTACATCATATCCAGTCCCTGCAGAGGAGCCTGTTGTTAATGACCAATCTTTGAGTTCTGGTTCCTTGTCATACAAATCATTACTCAGTTGTCTCCCACATGAACTCCACTTATCTCACAAAGATGGGAAAAAGAGTAAAAATGGAGGCAGTAATGGGGAAAGTGCAAGTAGTAGCCATTTAAATGTTCCCTCAACACTTGGACAAGAGCCAGTCGAAAGGCGGACAAGCATACGATCTACAGAATGTGCATTTCGTTACAAGCAAATAGTTGTAAAGAAATGTTTACGTTACACACAAATTTGGTTAAACACTCAGACTGTGATGCAAAATGCTTTGAATCCTCAGGTAAATTCTTAAATTTCACTTCTAAATATTTGTAAGCAATGTTTATATCAATTATTGAAAACATTTTAAAATTATTTTTTTAGGTTATACAAGAAGTTGTTTCTGCATTGAATTCAGCCAAATATGATGACAGCCATTTAGTTTTGTTTTCTAGTTTAGGGAATGTTTTCTGTTCTGGTACTGATCTTCATTTCTTAGTGTCAGGTGATCGGAAAATGTCAGCAAGACAAATGACAGATGCCATACGGTAATAAAATGTTCTGACAGTTTAAAAACGATGGATTGTTGTATTGTTTGTCTTCTTAGACTTTTGTTATCCAACAACCAATGAATTATAGTAATTTTTAATAGGTACCTTTTTCTTTTTTGATTTGAGCATAAAGAAATCCTTTTTTTTTTTCAAAAATATTTTTTTTTTAGTTGTCATTTTAAGTAAGATAATTGTATGATTTTTGTTTTTCAGTGAACTGACCAAAACGTTTATAACATTCCCTAAACCCATCATTGCCGCAGTATCAGGTGCTGTTGTTGGACTTGGAGTCTCCCTGATTGCTCTGTGTGATGTTGTGTATGCCAGTGATAAGGCATCTTTCCATCTACCTTACTCACAACTGTCACAAACACCAGAGGGCTGCTCATCTTTTACTCTCCCCCTCACAGTTGGATTGCCCTCTGTGAGTAGTCAGTCTACTAGTCTCAGCTGATTAAGCTCAGTTTACTAATCAAGTAATTTTCAATAACCAATAGTATGAGTAAAATGATAGCACACTAAGTTTAAAAACCCAATGGTTAAAATTTCAAAAGGCGAATGCTTGTTTAAACTAATCCTGATTGAATCCTCAGGCAAACGAGTTGTTGTATGGAGGTAGGAAAATAACTGCTATGGAAGCATACCAACAAGGACTAATATCTCAAGTTTTTTGGCCAACACTTATGATGCAGGAAGTTATTCCAAGAGCTCAAAACATGGCCACTTGCTCTGCAAAGGTTATACAGATATTATGTTTTATTGATTTTTTTTGGTTACATTTATTATTGGCATAATCAAGCTCCATTTTTCCTATTTGTTCCTTGTGAAGCAGGGCCTCTGTCAAAGCTTTCCACTCCCTATTGTCTCCTTTCACTCTTTTCATCTGTTCCCAATCCCTTTCTATCCTTTTGGCCAGCCATCGCCATGACTTCCTGGGTCGACCCTGCGTTGCTTGCCCTTGGGGTTCCATGCCCAGGCCTATCTGGCTCTATTGATAACATCCTTATTAAGTGTGTGCCCAGTCCTATGTCATTTACTCTCAGTGATTTGCTGATCTTGCTTAGATATAACTTAAAACCCTAATGAAAACAAATTTTAAGAGAATAATCAAGTATAAGCTTCCTCAAGAATGATATAGTTTGTGTTTATAAAATAATCTGCTTATTAATAGTGTTTTAAAAACAGCTCATAATATTTGAATGCAATACTTTCAGGCACTAGAAGCAACAAAACTTCTGGTACGCAGTCACCATCGTACAAAAATGGAGCTAACAAATGAAACAGAGTGCAATCTTTTATTAGAGAGGTGGACATCTGTTGACTGTCAGCGTGCAATTGAAGCCTACCTGAGCAATGAGAAAAATTTATCTTTCTAATGTTATGCTTTCATTGTGTAGCATTTTTAACCATGGAAATGTAATTTTAGAGCATTTTATTTTAAGCCAATTCATTTCCGGGACTAATTAAAAACATTGCATGTTTATTTCTGTATGAACATCAGATCATACATATCATTTTTTTTATTTGGCTCGACAACTTGAATTTTTGGAGAGTATGCTAGATATTTGAAGCGTGAATCAAATTTATTTTTAAAATATATAGAAACTTAAGATCTAATTTTTTGGATAATCTGAATGATAGAAGAAACATAAGAGGATTATTGTAATGCTGAAGTTAAACAAATAATTTACACATGTGAATGGGTGTCAGCCATTGGCTGCATGAATAATAAAATGTGTTTTGTTAGCATTTGTAAATAAGAATGCATGAATACATTTTGTCTAAACATTTTTGTAATTTATAATTTTGTTATTAACAATTAATACATTTTTCTTTATTTGGAAAATGTTAAGCAAAGAAATATTCTTATTTTAACTAGAGACTTTTCCTTTATTCAAACTTTTTACTGTTGTATTATCTTAAAGTTGTATTAACGATAAATGAACCACACCCTTCCAGAATTCTGGTTTACATAGTTTAAAATGTTTTGATAATAGTAGTAATTCAACCATATTTTATTTGTATTTAGTAGTAATATATAACTACTCAGTTCTAAAGGTAGGTTATAATTTTCCCGTCCTTTTCATTAACTTGGTTTCTTCGTGTTTAATTTTTTTCATGGCTTATGAGGGAACTGTCAGGTTATGATTTTCATATGATGATTTTACATTGGACTATAACTTTCATTGTATTACATCTTAATTATAATAGGAAGTAACTTGTATGAAGCTAAATGGCATACTTAACATGATGTATGACTTATTTCTCTCAAGGCGTAATTTAATAGTGAAATTTTAAAAATTCTCCATTTTATAGCCATTATTTATTGAAAAGTAAAGTGTTGTCGGCAATGGTTTGTGTTCTAGAAGTGCCTTGGATTTATAAAGTAGTGTTGACAGTTATGTGAAAGCCTTTTAATAACATGTGATAGTCCTCTTAAATAGTTCAAATTTATAGATTTTTTTACCACATAATAACTAGAATAAATAAGCATTTTACTGGCTTCAATTTACAACTAATGTTATTGGCTTTAATAGTTTTACCTGATTGCGTTTATTACAGATTACTTGTATGATTTTTAAACAATTTTTAGCAAATACTTTTAAACTAACCGTAATTCTAAACACAAACAGGGCTTTAGCCAAGTGACTTGGTTTTAGCTTATACTATTTTTATACATTTATTAGCATTATTTATATGCGGATGGTAAGTTATTTACTTTTGTTCTTTAAGTTTATTTATACTTCATGTTGAGAAAATTTTTAAAAGCCTCTATATTTAACATTTGTAGCCATTAAATTTTTAAAAATTAGAACAGTTTCAACATGAAATCAATTTTTAAACATTCTTTGTCAAATTATGCATATTTTATTATCAGAAAAGGTGTGTAATTTCTCAGTAACAGTAATATTCTACACATCAAAGATATGTAATTTTATGCACAATGTAATCTGAAGATGGATCTGATGGTTGTAAATAGTGTCAGTATTTACCTAGATCTAATGTATTTAGTATTTATAATTCATACCCTAAAAATGCATTCCTGTTTTTTAGTATTAGTAATTTGTTTAATTAAGTAGCTACTATAAACTTATGGAATATTGGTGGCACCTTTTCATGAATGACAATTTTATGCTATTTGATTAGCAAATTGATCTAATTTTTGGTTGCCCTCATTTGTAGACTAACAAAAGATACTTGATTAACCCTGAATTTGTAGTAAAGTGTTGGATTACTTTCAATATGCTTTTAAAAAGACCAATTCACATGTTTTTACTATTATTGTCCTCACAAAATAAAAGCTCTTTTTAAATAATTTTTTAGCTTAACTCATATTCAGTTGGCAGCTTTGTATATGATAAAAGCAGCAAGCATTTAAAAAAATGAACCTCATTCCTAAAGGTTATACAATTGATGACATGATTGTAATTTTTTCTCAAGCTCAGCCTGTCACCAGTCAAGTGGTGACAATAATTGGCCATCTAGCACTTTGCTCCACTTCCAGTAATAAATTTGTTTTTACGTGTGATTCTCACCCTTTTGCCTGTTGTTTTCATATCAGTATTTATTTGAATTGTTCCTTATAACAAATCTTGTTGCAGTTATAATTGCAAATTAGTGAATAGATTAGATGGATACTTGTATGTGTATGGCAAAGTGATCTATTTAGATTGCAAGTCTATGGAGTTTGTAAAAGCATTTAATTGTAATGCCATGTTTACTTTATACACAAGTAGTGTTGGTTGTATAAAATATTACTGTGCATTTATAAGATTTTTTAGTCTTGAAGCATCTTCATTTTTGTTTGATTGCTCCTAAACCGTGTCATTTATAGCTGAAATTGTGTACAAAATATTCTTGCCATTACCAGTGGTTATTTGTCATAAAGAAAATATGTCACAGTTGCTTGTACTGAATAAACCTGAAAGTAGGAATTGGAAATTTTCATTGTGTTGTCAATATTCATTCATCCCATTAAAAAAAAATTAGAAAATAACAGTAACTAGTTGCTGTTTTCTGTATCCCCCCCTTGGATTTGTGAGTAAAACACATACCTGACCTTTCCTAAATTTTTTTCTTAGAATAACTAAGCAAGCATTATAATATTAGCAGCTTATAATAGACTTGACATGTTGGCCATTGCTCCAATACTAGTAAAATAAACTTAGTGGCTGATTTCAGTGGTGGAGTTGCATATGTCAGTACCGGGAGCATTTTATTGCCCTTGTCCTCTGATAATGATTTTAAGGTGAAAAATCTATAACTTACTAGTTGGTTATTATCATATGATTGTTGTAAAAAAAAAATGTTAAACACAAAGGCAGCTGAGCATTGTACTAATCCTACTTAGTCTAGCCTATGTGCAGTAGCTACAAAAACAGATGACCTAGATATGCCCGCCCTGTCAGGTCCAAATTTGTGAGCTGGATTTACTTTCTAAATCAATTTTAAAGACCAGGAGGGTATCTTGACTTGCATAAACATTTGAATGGAATGTGTGTACTTAATTTTTTTAAAAATTAAAAACAAAACTAAAACATCCAGTTTATGTTTAATACAGAAAACAAAAATTAGTGTTTTACATGATAAAGCAGTAATTTATTTGTAAGGTTTACAATAATTTAGAAAATTTCAAGAAACAAGAGCATCCATTTCTTAAAATGTATAAAATGTTTCTATTTCTACAAAAATATAACTCCTTGTGCTTCGAAAATCATAGATTTTAATAAATGTATCAAAATGAACATTAAACTGGTAGACTAAGTTTAAAAATTATAAAAATTATTTAAACAAAACAAGTATATGAAATGAAATATTAACATGTAGTAATTAAATATATAACATGCTAAATAAATTTACAATGTTAAAAACTCTACCATAAAAGTTTATGATAAAATACTAAGACAATTTTATAAATAAAAATTTGAAACCTATTCTGAAATAATCTAGAGATCTGAGATTCTAAAGCAAAGTAAAATGTGTACAAAATAATTTCTGTCCAATTCAATGTGTACACGCAAGATACTAAGACAAGAGGTAAAAATTATTTTTTAAATATTTAATGTACATTAACAAATGACTTGACATATTTTGCATGGTTTAAATAATACTGATAATAATTTGATATGTTAGCAATAGAAACAGTTGGGTGTTTAAAAATATTTGGTTCAAAATCTAACAAACCTAACATTTAAAAAAAAGAAAAAAAAAAACCCCCATTAAATTACAGAAATGTGCAGCACACCATGTAAAATTATAATAACATTATTTTTTATTATCAGGAAATGTTTAAGGAAAATCACTTTTACTAGAATTGTTGCTTCCTATCCCAAGAAAAAAAAAAAAAGCAACACCACAGATTCAATTAAAGATATAAAACCGAAACTAACTTTTCTAAAAGTTTCATTAATAGTTATTATTAATTACTGCGATAAAAGTTTCCACCATTTAAAAGAAAACAAGATAAATGTAAAAATTGTGGGTGAGTAATTAACTATCTTTGACTTTGGTGAGATTGAGAATACGGTTGGTAACAGATTGTACATCAATATTTCTATCAAGCTTCAGAAATTTGCCTCTTTTTATTTCTACAACTGAAATTAAGTCTGGTGCCAGCTCTTTTAATAAGTTGATGTGCTGTTCAAAGTCTCCTAAAAACAATGGAATAATAATGAATTAGAGAACTCATCTTACAAGTAACATCAACACAGGTAACTGTCGGAAATTTAACATATTAAAAAATTGTATTTAAACTTACGTTGTGACATGCCACTTTTGTGGCTATCTCCCAGTTTCTTGTAAATTTCTTCTATTGGCAATGCAGGCTTTTTCTCGGTTACAAAGTAGCTGAACATTAAGTTAAGGTTAAACCTAAATAGAAGTTTAACTAAATATATAGCATATCTGAAGAATGGGTTTACTTTTTTGAACATTTAAAAATACATAAAAGTAATATGGAGAATGAAGTCTTAAAACTTTAAACTTAAAAGGATACGTTCTGAGTATTCTAATAATTTCTGGAAGACGTTTCATAATTTTCATTTTGTAATCTTCTTCAGGTTTTTTGGTTAGTTCATCCTCAAGCCTTTGAGCTTCCTTGGCACGAATCTGGAATGCATGAGAAAAAATGACAATAAAAATAAATTAAATATCAAAGAGTGCTAATGTTCTATATGTATACATTAGCTTACTTTGGCTAGTAGGGCTGGTGGAATTCCTTTCATTGGTGTCTTGCTTGTCTCTGCTGATGCTTGATTTAGGTTCTGGGAGTTTGCCTTCTTCAATAATTCTTCATTTTCAGCAACTACTTTTGCAAAGGCCTTTTCGACCTAAAAAAAAAATAAATGCTTATAAATATATGATTGAGTTTGCTTGCAATAGAAACTTTATGTAAAATTAAATTCAAATAATAAACTACGGAAAATTATAAAAACATAAATCAACACCAAAAAATTAACTTTTTAAAATGAATTCATTAAAACTCCACCACCAAGGTTCATTAAATATAATACTAATTATTTATGTTGAATTTGAATTGTCTTAAAAGTGAAATGTGTTGGTGTGTATTTTCCTAGAGAGCTGTGTTTAAATTTAATACATTTATTATTTATTTTACAAAGATCAAGATATAAAAAACATTTTTATTTCTCTTATTTTGATGAGGAATAAATCATTTTAAAGTTTAAACTTGATGCACTAAATCTGAATGATGATCCTTCTATTATATAGAAATTGTCACAAGTTAATTAATTATCAACAAGCTATTTAGGTTACTTTGCTATAGAAAAGCTAATTCTTTTAGACAGAAAACGTAAAAAAAAAAAATTAAAAAAAAAAAAAGATTGCGGGCATGTTGACTGTTTCCAGAAGCCTGTTTGATAAAGTAAGACGAAAAAAAATACCGTAATGAATGATAGACTGACTAAATCTTCAAGCAAATACAGTTTTAAATGCATTAGATTTTGCTGTGGAGTATAATAAGTGGGTTAGTGCTAGATTGAGTGAAAACTTGGTATGGTAAAAAAGTTAATACGTCTAAGGACACTTCTAATTTTTAACAAATTTAAAATATCTATAAATAGAACACATTTACCATGGGATTTATAAGTTTCCCCTTCTGGTGCTCTAAAACATCTTTAGCTGTGTGATACACTCTGACATCTGGAGGTTGTGGCAAAGGAGAAACTGTAACTTCAGGTACTTTATCAAGTTGGAATTTTGGATGCCAGCGTGCAAGTTTTTCACTTGGTAAAATAATTGGCACATCTAGTGAAGCTAAAAAATCCTGAAGACAAAAATGTATTAGTTGATGTAAGTTTTTCAGCTTGAAAATTGTACAAGTATTAAAATAATTTAAAAATTTGCTTGTTCGTTGCATAACAAATACCTTATGAAGTTGTTTTAAATACTCAAGAAGGTTATTTCTAAATAAGCGCTTTCTCTTCAACAGCAGGGAGGCTGAAAACATGAGCTTGCCTTCTGCAGTCAACTGGTTAGACTTTCCATCAATTTGTTTCTCTGTTTGAACATATAACAGATTGTTGAGATAAAATAGAAAAATAGGCAGAATGAGAAATTCCATCTAAAGCATAGAGAGAAAAAAACTAACCATTTTTTAGGTTTGGCTCTATAGTAAGAGAGTACATATGTGTCTTTTTGTCAAAGTCTAAAATTTTCTCCTGCTGGAATATGTATGCATCTGGAACTATTGTTTTAATCTGTCCAACTGTTCTCTCTTCAAAGTTCCTATAAATGAATGAAGTGAAATATTGAATAAACACATTTTTTTTTACAATTGATCATGTTAAAAAACTATTACTCAAAATAAAACTATGGATTAATTAACCTTACTTTCTAGTTATGTTTTGAACAAAACAAAGGATCAATTTAAACCATACTTTCTAGTTACGTGTTGAACAAAACAAAGAATCAATCTAAACCTTACTTTCTAGTTATGTTCTGAACAGCTGCCCGTAATTTACTAAAAGTGCAAATTTCTGAGCGGTTATGCAACATGCTGATGACCTGGTCCATGGCTTGGAAACCACCTTCCAATTGTTTGTAGGTGAAAGGTAAAGAAAGAGTTGGGATTCCTTCCTCTGTCAGGTGCTCAAATCTTTCATGAGCTGGCAAACTAGAATTTAAAAACACATTTTTAATGAAAATTGTAATTTTAAAAATATGCATTAGATAATGTTAAGCTACCTATTCTGAAATATTTCTTACACTTTTTCTGCAGAGGTTTCTGGAGGAGCAGCTTTCACCCCCTGAGTCAGATCTTTATTATTTTCCAAAACTGTATCTAATCCTTTCAGTTTGTTTTTGATTTCACTGATCTTCCCGCTTTGCTTGAGACGATTTTTTAAAGCTTGTCCATTCTGATAAAGAAAATTTTTCATACAACTGAGTTTTACAAGCACAAAGTAATGAACAAATATTTGTTAGACACAAATATAGTATGTTTTGTTTAGAAACAGAATTTTAAGAATTCTGATGAAATAAAATTAACGGAAAATGTTTAACATAACCCCTTAATAAACATAATTTTGTCCCAAGCCTGTAAAAAATTATTTGTGCTGATTGTCTGTCATCTAACTCACACTGAGTTAAAGGTATATTGTTTTTAACTTTGGACTTATTTTTTAATGCAAATTAGGACATGTAGCTAATTTGCAACATCACACACTTATGGACCAAACAGTAGTGACAAAAAATTGTAGTCTGTGTCAATTTACTATTTTTACTGACACATATTTCTCAAATATCGATACACAAACAAAATAGAATATATAAAACTAAACATAAGGACATGCAAGGAGATGTAGAATCAATTGTAAAATTCCTGAAGACTATAGTTTTAGTTGTTAAAGGCATAGAGTACCTTACTATGTAGCACCTGCTCACTGTATAACTCTGATGAATAGGTATGCTGTAGTGGTTCTACTGCTCTACAGTTACACACTACATATGAAAGGTCTTCCTCAATTTGCATAGCCTTAGTTGTCCCTGGTTACACCCTTTTATTCAATTCTTGTATAAGGTCAACTACTTAGTTGTCCCTGGTTACACCCTTTTATTCAATTCTTGTATAAGGTCAACTAATGAAGACCCATATTTCTCCTCTGACCTAATTTTGCTACACACACAAAGCACATGAGCACAGAGTTCCATGCTAAATGCAGCTGCTTTGGGTACTCAGTGTCACTGCTGTAGACACTCACTGCCATTGGGCATCCATGTTTCTGCTGTTGATGCTATGTGCTATTGATGTTGTACTTGAATGATACTGCTGTAGCTACTTAGTGCCATGTCTGTGGATACTCAGTGTTGTGAGCACTCTAAGCTGAAGCAGTGTACTATATAACACTGCAATGTGTAGTCTTGTCAGTACTCAAGGATACTGTAGTCATCACAAGGTGTACGTCTATTATGATTATCAGTGTCATTATTGTTGTGGTTGCTGTGAAGACCTTACTCTGGTGGTATCCAGGAATATGACCACCACCTCACTTCATGTAGTTTTATTTAGCTTTCAACTTTCTCCTAACATTTTACAATGTTATTTCAAAGCTAAATTTGTTATACTGTATCCAGCAGTATGGTCAAATTATTCCAGCATTTTTCTCTCCATTTGGCAAGGTCACAGAACAAGTGAACTCTACTTCACCTGCGACATTAATAGTAAGGCTCAAAAGGGTACTGTTTATTTATAGGCAAAGACTATTTTGTACATCCTACACTTATTTATAATCATACTTGAAGAAAGTACACCTTGACTAGCATCCAATTCAGCTATACCCTCTCGGCGCCAAAGTACAATTTTATGTTGTTGCCGAATGTAGCGAAAACAAGACAAAATGTTTTCAGAAGAAAACTTCCTAAATTATTTTCAGATGTGATTTAAAATGTTTATACATAATGAAAAGTAAATGATAAGGTTATAACTGATTGGATTTTTTGTAGTAAAAAGAGATCACTGATTTAGTAATAGCTGTGTCACAAGACAGTATTAAGGAAGAGCAAAAATTTGCATTGAGCGTGAGTCAAGAGAGTATTCTTCATAAATTTAGTCTAAACAACAAGATTAATAGTACAGATATGACTGTCAGGGTGTACCCACCCAACACATGTTGGCCGGCAGCTGTTGGAAAAATCAAGTAAGCGCAATAATGATGTGTAGTGTTTTAGTTAGCAACAATTGGTGTTGAGGGGTTTAAGGACACAAGGTTTAAAATTAGAACATATATCTTATCAAACTGGTTTATTTAAAAAAGTATTCACTGATTAATTATGTTTGCTAATTTAAAGCAGTACGTATACAAAAATGATGTAATCAAACATATTTACCATTTTACTCAAAGACTTTAGTTTCGCTGTCAAATTCTGTAGCTTTGGTACCACTGGCTCTGGGGATGGACTGCATTCTTTATCTTCCTTTGGAGTGACAGGTAAAGGTGACAAAGCAACCTCTGGTCTAGAAACTTGTGTCACAAGACTCAATAGATGTGACTTACTAGACAACAGATCATACACTTCTTTGTCAGCAGCATCATCATCTGCCTGAAAATATTTTTTAAACTTACTGTAAAGTTTCACTGAGCAAAGGGCTAAAGGGAACATAGATGATTTTGTTTCAGTATAGCAAAAAAGATTTCTTGGGTTAAAGTACGAGAAAGCCTGCATAATTTCATAGTGGCGGCCCACTTAAGTTATTAATAGAAAGTATGTGCATTAGATGTTTTTTTATTAGCTGTGTGTTTTTAAATGGACTATTACAATAAAATGGGCTTAAATCAAATAAAAATTGAAAAAAGGATTTAATAGACCTAATAATAAGACTAATAATAAGCTTGACATTTAAGGCTTGAATTATAAAAAAGCCAGATTGTTATTAACTGTTTTCTACTAGATCTAGCTAAGGATTTCTGGGCAGATTAATAAATTATAAAGGCATTTTCAAGTATTATTGCAAACAATAAAAAAAAATCTAAATGGAAATGAAAACACTAAAATAATATTGGGTCTAGAGATGCGTAATAAAAAAAACCCCTATTAAATAATGACACAGGCCTATCTAGATCTATAAAAGACCTAAATTAAAAATTACAGGCCTAATGCCCATTTTTATAAGCTACACTCTATATGCCTACAGTGAATACAGTTTTAGTTATAGACAATTATAATGGAAAGAAAAGTTGAACACAGAAACATGAACACTTTAATTAATGTGATTTTAAGAACTTCTCAAAGGATACATCAACTTCAGCAAACAATTTATAAATGAAAATCAAATTACGTTTGAGGCCACTGCAAACCACGAATCGGTTCCGCTTTTTAATTCGCTACGCACCAGAGTTCCTCACTAGTGATCAACCAAATAGTGGTCACGTGATTTTTAAAAAATAAAAATAAATTGGCTGTGATATGAGAGCTGGTCTTATAAAAAAAAGTCCTGATTATATTTGATTTTTTTGTATTGACTGATAAAACTAATAATGCTTTACATACTTTCTCAATTTTGAACCCACATTGACATTGTTGATATTCTAAAAGTTCTAGGCCTACTCATTTTAATGAAACTTACTTTTAAACTTAGCCTCCATTCTCCAAACCAAATTTTAAAATGCTTTTCTCGCATTTAGAGCCCTGCCACCTAGGCATATAGTTTGTTTTTATAATGAGACAACCCCGCCATTGTGCTCGTGGTAAACATTTTAAACAATAATTCTAAGAAAGTCACTGGAACTAAAAAGAGAAGTCATCGGAAGTCAAGCATCCAGTGTGGACACCATATTGTAACTTGTTGTTAGCAACCGTTCACGTCTTGAGCGCAATATCTAAAGTATCGATGATATATTTATAAAATATATGGAAAAACCACCTAGCTGTGCAGACTGGAAATTATCATACGGCAGTTACTATAGAACAGTGCCATGCCCCTTATTAATCTGATTTCAAAAATGTATTTGTACAATCTACCTTTGTAGTCACAGATGTGCCAGCTGATGGTGTTGAACTGATCTTGATCTTGGAGGCAGAGGTAAGATCCAGCTTCTTTTTAGCTGACTGGGGTTTATTAACATTAGGAACAATGTCTGATGGTGTGATTTGTTCATATTTATTGTTAACTTTTTTAATATGAAGTTTTATACGAGATTTAGAACTCACTGAACTGATATCTGATTCAACAATCATTCTTTTCCTAGGAGTAGTAAATTCACTTCCGTTTGGGTTTGAATCATCCCACACTGAAGTTACTTCTTCTGTGATGATAAAATTATCACTACTTTTTGTATGGTCTTTTAACATAGTTTTATTCTTCAATGATTCTGTGGTAGTAGAGTCAGTAACAGGAATTTCTATTTTCCGACGTTTTGATGCACTGACGTTCCCATTTCTCTTTTTGGTTGAACTAAAGAATTCTGTTACTTTTTGTTGCGCCATGTTGACAACTCTTCCCGCCAGAGGTAAATTAAGTCACCAAGAGTAATTAATAATGCCCTGCGAGTAGCTTCCCTTTCGATAAAAGTTTAATAATATTTTTAGGTTAGGGGGAACTACTCTTTCTTTAAGCTTTAATGTTTACAACACAAACACTTCGTCAAGATGGACTCCATGTACGCAGTAGTGAGTAATATTCCAGAGAATTTTCATACGGCGGATCTTCGAGCACACTTTTCGTCATTGATTGAAAGTAAATTATTTATTTGTTTTCATTTTCGCCATAGACCGGAGAATACAGCCAATCGTAATGACTTATCAAGAAATATTACAAGGAGATTTTGTTGTGTAGTGAAAATCTTTGGTAATCTATCGTTTTAGGTACGTAAAATCGGCCGCGACTAGTAATGTGAAAAACAGGTGACTCCTTACATTTTAATAATTATTTCACATTTTGAGGAGGATTTATGTTTTGAAAAATACAAAAATGTTTCCTTGTTTCATTTATGTACCTGTTTTTAAACAATTGAATTAAAACTTTTCAGTAATAAATGAAGACTAGCGATGTTTCCAACAGATGCAACCATGCTCATTTACTATAGCAGCCATCTTGTTTAAGTTTTTTTTTATAGCGGTTAAAGCGCGAGACAGGCGGAAGTCACTCTATTTTACAAATGGCTGCTGTTTATATAGCAAATCTTGCTCGCAAACACTGCTGTTTAAAGTTAATTTCTGGCATATATTGATATATTTAGCCATTGATTTAGGTTTATTATTCATTTATCTATAATATTTGACACAAATATATCACAATATACTTCTACTAAAGCCTTGACAATGAGGTAACTTTTTCGTACATTAATAGCCGCGGGCGATTTTACGTACCCAAAACGATAGATTACCAAATCTTTAAAACTAGACTTCAGGAACTCATGGATTACAACGAAAAACATTGGTCAGATGTATCAGGAGAAACATTAAGTGATTTATGTTATGTTTCTCCTATTAAGTTAAAAATCAAGCATGCTGAGTGTGCTAATGAGCAAGGTAAGTTTGTTAATTTTTCTTTCATGGTCATATTTACTTGATGATTAAATAAATAAATCCAGTCCTCCACTCATAGTTCATTGTAAAATTATAGTCATACACTAACACTGGTGACTGGTATTGGTACCGGCTGGGATGATATTTAGAATCGACCCTTTGAATCCCGGACAGATCGTCCCCCGGCGTGGCCTCAACCAACCGGCTGGCTCGTTGCATTGAGTTAAATATAAACTCAAAAACAATAATTTATAAACAATCTCCTTTCAGTAGGTCAGGCCACATACCACACATGCATAATAACTGATTAAAACTGACATTCTAGTTCACCTGATATTTATTCTATTTTAATTATAAATCAAAATTGGACAGCATTGTGATCTACACAAGTAATGCATTGTTATTAATTTAAAATTTACTAGATGTTAGATCTGTTACTTATTAGAGCGTGTAAAGTGTAAATATTACATCATGTAGTATATGTAACATAGATCTAACATAGGCTATGGTTATCAACATAAACCTAATTTTTTCTTATAAAATAATAAAATTGAAATGCTCCATAAATCTACCTTCCTCCCCACTGAGACTATAAAATAATAAATGCCATTTTATTGTAAGTTCTACTCCAGATTGTGTTTAATTTTAATAAGTAATATTGACCATCAATAACAAGATATATTAATCACAACTTGCAAGAAATTGTAGTAACCACTGATAGCAGTACATTTTACACACTGATTTTTTTCAGATGCTGTAGAAGAGGAAAAACTGTTACAAATGCCAGAGATGAATCCCCCGTCATTGATGCCAAATGGAAATGTTGGAACACCTACACTTGTTTTTTTGGACTTCATTCAAAAGTGTTTATTACCCAACAATTTAATCAAAAAGCTGAAGCTTCAGTTCCCTAAAACTTCAGCTCGTAGATTGTATGGGAATGTTGACTTTAAATACAGCTGTAGTGAAAACAGATCATATGATTACACTTATGAAACAGATAATTCAAATGGCAATGGAAAGGATATTTTAAATTCAGATACTATAAAAACCAAAGTATGGACTTGCAAACCTTATTTAAAACAACTGAAGAATTTAGAAGCATGTAAAAGTTCTTTAGTTGCAAATAAATCAACAGAAAATATGAATAATCAACCTTGCAATCATGAAGACATTTTTTATTCACAACCAAACTCACTACAACATTCAAACATTGTAAACATCATTCCTCTAGAGGCAGTAAAGGCTGGACATTCAAGCCATGTTTCAGCTCCCAACATTACAGATACAAGTGTACAGCAACCAGAAATGACACCAGAAAATACTTCAAAAGAAAATAAAATCAAAACACCAGAAGATCAGATCACTTTTATTAAACCATCATTAGTTGCCCCAGCCAAGAGAGATAGGCATAAAACAAAGGCAGATAAAAGACTTACTAGACTGATGAAAGCTGAAGGAATAGAAGAAAAGTTTATTGCTATAGATAGGAAATATCATGTAGGTCCTAACAGTATTTCATTTTAAACTTATGCTTGAGTATTTATTTGAAAAGTAAAAATCTGTATGAATATTCATTTTTTTGTTTACATTGATTTTTCAGACTTCTTTTCAACAAATCATTACTCAAAAGACATAAACTATCAAAAGCTTTATTATTATTAGCTTCATTAGTAGTTTGTATTGATTGAAGCTCAAATTAGAATAGAGAGTAAAGCCAAAGAAATTTCTCAAATCAAATAATTTAAATTTAATTAAGAAATTAAACAATCTCAGAACGATGATGATGCAGAGGAATGGGACCGTCATGAAGCCAGTGAAGATGACCCCAGTAACCAGGAGAGAAACAAGGAAAGACTTTATGAAGAAGAAATTGAACAGCCTTGGGAAAAGGGAGGGGCTGGTGTAAACTTCTACACGGATGCTGTGTACTGGCAACAGCAAGAAGGGGGTAAGTTCAAGCTCATTTTAATGTGTACTAGACTACCTGTTATCCATGGATAAATGTAGGTTTGGGGGTCTTCCATAGACATCTTGTTGGTTTGGGCCTGACCACACTATCCTTTCATATGCTGAGGTCACTGAAACAGGTGAACTCTACTTCACCTGCCCTGTGTCCCACTAAGTCCCAAAAGGCAAATTTATCATTCACATCTAAAAAGACGTCACACCTCAGCTATAGCCGACAGAAAATTTAGCTTTATGATGAAAATTTAGCTTTATGATGCGTTAAACTTTTGAATGGAAGCCATGTTTTTTGTGAAAAATAAGTAAATAAAATATTTGGAAAGAAACTGTATGCAGACCACTTTTAAGATTAGACAAAAAAATTAGGTAGTAATGTTAGTGTCTTTTTGCAAGTAGCAATAACGTCATTATTATTGTGTATTGTTTTTGGCATTACATTTTAAATTCAATATTTTTACTCTAGAATCAATGATGTAATTTTATTTTGTATGCTTTTCTGGCCTTACAACTTTATAGGCCTAAGTTGTGTTTCATTTTGATAAAATCCTATTTGTTTCAAGTAATGTCACTATAGTTCCCTGTGAAAGTTTTTAATTTTTGTGCAAATAAAGCATTGATTTGTTCTAACTTTAAAAATATACCAACTTGTAAACAACCTCGAGTTTTAGTAGTGTATAAATAGATCAGAAGGGTGAGTTTCAGCTGATTTTTATATCTCCATTTCATGTTTTTTGGCTTTTTTACTTTCTCGTATATACGAAGTATAGAGAAAGTCTTGTAATCGTGCAAAAAAAAAAAATCGAGATTTTTGCAAATCTCGACGTTTTACATCTCACTGATACGGAAAAACATAATTTTGCAATCTTGTCCGTATGTCTGTGTGTCCGTGTGTGTGTGTGTGTGTGTGTGTGTGTGTGTGTGTCCGTGTGTAAACACGATAACTTGAGTACCGTTACAGCTAGGTTGATGAAATTTCATATACAAGTATTATATCAAAATCGTAGATCCGTATCAACTTTTGAGCGATTTCGGATAACCGGAAGTGGTACTTTTTCTACTTTGAATTTTTCAAAAGCCTATAACTTGAGTACTATTTCAGATAGATAAATGAAATTTCACATGTAAGTAAAAGATCTAATTCTCTACCTTCTGTTAAATTTTGAGTAATTTCCGTTGACCGGAAGTAGTACTTTACGCTACTTCCGATTTCTCAAAAAACTAATGTAAATTTATAAAGTACTAATACTATTGCGCACTATTATACACACCTTTATTAGGCGTTCGCTTGGTGCGCAATTGTTTTTTACTGAGATTCTATTCTATTTTTAAAAGTTTCAGTATTTAAAATGGATTAAAGATCATAACTATATCCCCAGTTACCATCCCCTGTTGTTTTATATAAGAATATTCGAGAAAGTTTAGGGGAGATCACTACCGGTTTATTTTTAAAGGAGATGTCGTATTTTGTTAAAACAAAAATGATAAAAAAAAAACAGAAGTAAAATTTATTTAAAATGTTTTATGGTTGAGGAAAAGGATGGAACTCGACATCATTTGAGAGGGCCTGGTATTTATTGTGTGACAATTAGTGGACTGAAAAATAGAGTGAAATTAATTTTAAGGTTGACCCATTTAGCTAGAAACATTTTTTATTCTGTAGTTGACGTTTTCAACCTATATAAATAGAGTAATAACTCTGAATGAGAAGATATATTGTTTAAAATTGCTTTTACATAAAATCAGTTTATTCTTTGTGTCACTTGATACTATTAATAGCAATTTTTAAAAGAAAATTTGTAAGGTTAGTAGTGCTAGTAATTTGAACGAATCCACAGTCCCACTTTCCAAGTCTGTTTGCTTCATATATATGATGAAACTTGAATTTGACAGATTTTGATGAGCAAACCACTGATGATTTGGATGTTGACTTCAGTGCTTATGAAGAACCAGGCTCAGGGGATATGGATATTAAAGACTTTTTAAAAATCCGCCAGGAAGAAAGGTAAACCTCTTCAACCCTTTTCAGGCCTGTGCGCCAGGTTGCCTGAGAATATTTTCTGTGGTACAGTCTGGTGCACCTTGTGGTCACCAAACTATGTACAGTACATTTATTATTTACGCGTGGTAGTGTTTTAGTTATGTTGCTTTCTTGTATGTTATTCTATCACACGTGGTTCATTTTCTACAATTTTTCTATGTTAAGAATTTTTCTGAAATTACTTGCAATATAATAAGTGAAATTAAATCTAATTAAAATGGTTCTGCCATTTACTTTTTTTTATCATTAGTAAACTATTATGCTATTTAACCTCATATATAATAAACTTATGACCAATTTTGTGTATAATGCTTTATTTTATTTGTTTTACTTATGTGGTTATTTTTTAAACACATTTTTAAAAAGTGCCGTGGTTGAAAAATACTTTGTCTTTTTGCCCAGCAGAAGGGGAAGTGGGTGGTAAAAGGTTAATGTAATTTTCAGTTGATAAAGTTAAGAAAAAAGTTTCTAATTTAGATTAGAATAAAATTTAATCAATGAATTGTTCTTAAAAATAGACTGTTTTGCGCAATTGCACAACTTTATAAAATGAAATCTTACAAGCCAATTTCTACTAACCAATATATTTTTTGCTGTACAGGTTTCGAAATGGTATTGACAACACAGACATGTTCTCAATAGGCATTGGGCATAGGCTTCCTAAGCAGCACAATTCAGCAGTTTTTAAAAATAAGACTCAGCCTAAGATTGGGGCATTTGAATGTTATTCAAAAGGCATTGGAAGGAAACTATTGGAAAGTCAGGGGTGGCAAGAAGGTCAAGGCCTGGGCAGAAACAAAAAGGGCATTGCTGAAGCACTTACAGGCAAAGGCCAGAAGCCATATAACAAAAGAGGATTAGGGTAGGTATACATTTTACAGAAAATTGCCTTGAAATATTCTGTAATATTAGTAGGTCCTGGAACATTGGTCTAGGTCAGTGGTTCTTAAAGTTTTTGGAGGAACTGAACCCCTCCAATTTCATCTGTGTAATCACCAAAACCTTTTTAATAGTTCTATAGTCTGCTCTGAAAAATCTGATTGTGAATCGTATGAGTTGGGTGTGTCTTGACTTCCACCAAACCCTTGGGGTTTCATCTAATTTAGGTTATAAAGAACCACTGGTCTAGTCAATGATTTAAAAGAAAAGTATTGAACTCAGAATCCTGTGGTATTACTTCTTCTTTCTTCTTCTTCGTTCTTAATTTTTAGTGTTGGGAGGGATCGAGCCTTATCTGCCAGAGGGTTTGAACTCGAGACTTTTTTCGAATTTATCAACCATGAGCTTTGCCGACTCGACCATGCTTCCATCACAATTAAGGATTACGTGTCAACTGGTTATGCGCCAATGAGGCCATTGACTCCGATTTCAGCCTGCTTTTCTTTTTGGATTTGCTTCCATAGCCTTTGTCCAAGTGGTATTACTAATATTTTGCATATTGCCAGATAATGTGGATACCTCTTTACTGAAAATACCAAGACATATTTTCACTCTCCATTAACCTTTACAGTCATGGCATGAAAACATTTGTACTTTCTGTACTGCCAGGTGAAAAGATGGCCTTTTTCAACTACAAAAAAATTATTTCAAAATATCCACATACATGTTTTTTAAAAGCATTATACAGGGAAAAAGTCTCGAGGTTATTATGTTTGAGTCTTAATAGCTCAACAATTAACAAACAAAAATAATATCAATCCATGGAAAACATTTTAATAAATAAATTTGTTAGAATACTAAAAATAAAATTTATAGTTGGTCACTGGAACTACTTTCTTTTTCTCTATCACTATATTAGCTATTTTAAAAATCTTAGAAAGTGAACTGCTAGTGATAGAACCAAACATATCTTGCCTTGCAAGATTTCCACTGTGAGTAAGTAAATACACTGTACCCTCTTGGGTACATCAGACTCTACCACTAAGGAAAACCTCAGCTGTATTTTAGCACATTAGGACTGTCAAAGGTTAAGTAACAATACTTATTATAAAAATTACTTTCAACCAAGTAATGGAAAATATACACCATTCTCCTTTTGGTGGTTGACTAAATTTATGGATGTTGTCCTTCTGCCCCAAATACACCACTTTTAAAGACATTTTAACGTTCCAGGAATTACTGTAATTTAATTTTATATAATTTATTTTAAAAATTACAAAGTAATGTAGCTGAGCTGAAAATGTTTTTTGTTTTCAGGTATGTTGAGAAGGAACGGGTTTTATATGGAGTTTCCAGATTAAAGCAGCCAAGTAACCCTCCCCTAATCACAACTGTTTACGATGATCCAAAACTGACAGATCCTAAAGTGCCTCTTCTACAAAGAGCAGAACTTTCAACTCTTAAGCATAGGCCATGTCATCTTGAAAAGTTTAATTAAAATTATACTTATGACTTTTTTGTTACTTTAGTTTTAATTATGGTTCTGATAGTTATTTAATATATTACCGCAATCATTCTTTTATTAATGATCTCACAGCTCTGTAGTATTTATATAGTATCCATAGCGTCTAGTATAATAATAATAAAGACACCTGTACACCCCATTTTTCAGATGGTTTGATTCTGTAGTTTACTAGTGTCACTAATTGTACTTGCAAAGTGCAGTAAGAAAAAGCTTATCAACATGACAAGTACCAATTTTGAATCTTGAGGTCCATGGGTCAGGTGAAGTGACCTGTTTTACTGACCTCTCCCTATGAAGGCAGAGTCTAATCAGAGCTATGCCCAAGCCGCCTTAACTTTCCATAATTTGAGTCAGGTACCCATTAGAGCTGTATGGGCACGGAAGGTTGTATGGAATTCCAGCCAGGGATCTGAACTCAAGAATTTTGGGTTAGCAGTCAACTGCTCTACTAATCGACTACACTGTTCCTATCAGTATGAAAAAGCTACATTTAAATACAAACCATGAAAAATGCATACATAATGATAAACTTATCACTTACTAATAAAACAAAAATAAGTAGTAACAATGAGCTAACTTAATAATTATTTATAAAAATATCACACTTTATTTGAAATTAATTAATTTGCAAACTTGACTCTGTAAATTGTTTGATAAAAAGTAAAATTACTTTTAAGTTTAGTATGCTATATTGTATATTTGAACTAATTCTTTAATGACCTTTTCATTTACAAGGAGCAACAAAGAAAAACGTAATATAACTTCTTTTATTTGCTGGTTTTCTCGCTACAAAGACACTGTCCAAACAGAATGATAGACCAAATACATTGCGATTGAAATACTATTGTCAAAGCATCAAACCACATCCTGAAGAAAGTAAATATCATCAACTGAAACAACAGTATTATTTTTAAATTCTCAAATATGTTTAATGGACTAGCAGATTTATTTTATTTCAAATTTCATTCTTTACAGTTTACAAAGCAAGAAAATATTTTTTTCAGTATTTACTTCTAGTGGCTGACTTCAGAGTCTGACTTTCCGTATTGTTTTTCCCATCTTTCTATAAACTCTTTTTTTCTAATGTCACGCAATGCAAAATATTCTGGATATTGAGCCTTTTCGTGCGACGACCAAAAATCTAGTAGCTGAAAAAATTTATTATTATTATTAAACATATTGTCTACTTAAAAATTGCTGTGTGTACTAATAAACATTTTAAATATTGCTGGAAATAAGTAACTGTTACACTAAATAATCCACTCTATTTAACAATAATAAGTAAAAACACTTAAGAATTTTACCCAATCAGGAGCAGGATATGTTCTTTGATAAGCAACACCACCTGGTGATAAAGGAACTGAAACACAAAGTACAATGGAAGAATAAAGGCAGTATAAGATCAGTAAGTAAACATAATGGTTTAACCAACTTTTAAAAACTGACTGCATGTCCAAGCCTCATGCTTTAACTTTAAGCACTTACATTTGATTGGTTGAGGATGTGACTTCAGAAACAACTCTTTCTGCCCATCTAAAAGCAGTTTCTTTGCCTTTCGCACATCTATTTCTTCTTTATGCTCATCAAACCTGGCACGCATTAAAACTGCCTGGTACCGAAATTCAAACCTTAAAAGAAAGAATTGTAGGGAAATAAACTTCACGAAAATATTGTGAAGTGAATACCACCTAAAGAAATGTCAAGAATATCATACTTCAATGCTTCTAAACATTTAAAAAAAAAATTAAGTATGCCTCTGTCTGTTGTTCTGATGTGTTCAGTGCTAATGTGATTTTGAAGTAGCAGGTAAGATGATTTTGTGGAGTTTGTAACTAAATTAGATACATCTCGATCCCCTTCAACACTAATAATTAAGAACGAAGAAGAAGAAGAAAGAAGAAATGTTTAACCAAATAGATTTGTTAAATGTGAACAAAATGTTTATTAATTACTAGACTACGTAATATCTAGTAACTAGGTATTATTGGGGTTCAAATATCTTCAAAATCTTGTGATTCAAAATTTAATAAAAAGGCCTTGCAATAAAAGTTAAATGTTTCTAATGGACTCAACCGAGAATAGTCTCAAAATTATTCAAAAGGCCCATTAAAAATTTAAAAAATCATGTACGATGTTAATAAAATAAATCTATATATATAAAAATGAAAGTATGTTTGTGGGTTTGTCCTTTATCCATTACCACAATTTTCATCTGATCACCATGAAACTTTGGGGAATTGATGAGAATATTCAAGGAAAGGTTTCTTTGAAAACTGAATTTCAAGTACACAGTGATGGCGCCCCAGAGGGTACCATTTGCTGCCCCAAGCTTTCCAGAGTGGCGACTATGTTTATTTTAAATAGTGTGGATAGACTATTGATAAGTTGGGTTAGCAGTTCACTAAACTAAAAGACTGCCCTAAAAATAAAATATTGACATGGTGACACACAACATTTGGTGATTTAACCAAGCCAGGTGCCATACTACGCTGCGCCACTACATAGTGTAACTGGGGGGGGGGGGGGAATAGAAAAGAACAAGTTTCTCGTCAGCTCGGTAATGTCCATTGTTTTGAAATAGTCATTAGTAACTAAAACTAGATTAAACAATACTAAACATTAGTTAGTGGTTCTTAGTAGTAGTAGTGTAGTAGTACTAGATCTAGTAGTAGAGCTTGTATTCTAGTAGTTAGTAAGTTAGGCTATACCTATCTATCTATAGACTACAGTCATTAACTATTAACTCATGAGTCATTAGGGTCTTAATATTTACTAATCAATTATTATTTTAAATATTTTAATAGATTCTAGAATGAGAATCTAGATCTAGATCTGATCTAGCTAGATCTAGAATCTAGATCTAGTTGATCTAGCTGTAGCTATATCTCAGATCTAGATCTAGATCTAGGCAAAATTTAGAAACAATTGAAATTATTATTTTACTAAAACTCTAAAACTAAACAAATTCGACAAACAGTTCAGTTACACTTTAACTTACACAGTTACACTAATAGATCTAGAAACTAGATCTAGATTGTAGAAGTAGAAATACACTAGTTCACTAACGACCTAAGGCGCCCTAAGGCCTAAGGGCAAGGCTAACAAAAGTAACAAGTTAAGTCACATAGTCTATGTCTAGAGTTCTAGACTAGATTTCTAGATCTAGTAGCTAGGTTAAAAATGAAAAATACCTTGGATCTTGTCACTTAAACAATAAATAGACTCTATGTACCTGTCATATCCTTCGTAGTGTGCCTGAAGAAGACGTACAGCTTGCTTATATAGACTTCTAACTTTCCTGGCGTGTGAAGTAGCTGACGTTTGTAAATAAGACATCTTTAAAATTTACATTACATGAATCGAGTTGTCCTACAAAGGTGAAGGACAAAAGCGATTGTGAAAACCTGAGGTAGTTAGAGCAACCGCGGTGATCTGGGTAATCGGCTATTTCGACAGAACATTTTCTGACACACACATCAACACACAATAAATAAAAATATATTAATTTTGGGAAGTTGTGACGGAAAGATAGTTTCTAGCATAATAAATAGTTTGCATAAATACTCGCCAATAAACGACGTCAAACTGGTGGCGATGAGGCAGGCTCAGAAAGTGTGACATCACGCTTTTATATTTTAATATTATATAAATTAACCTCTTTTAAAAACATAATTTGAGCAATTGTTTTGCATTTTTAAAAAAATTACGTTTTGTAATTTTGTCTGTCTCTTTTTTCTACAGTTCAGTTAACATATGAGAAACAAAAAAATAAAACTTGGGTGGTGGTTGCTGAAAAGGAGACATTATTTTATCTGTGGGAGAGCTGCCGCCCTGTGAACTGAACCGAAAAGAGGTGCTAAAACTGTTGAAAAATAATTTAAAATGTAGATTAAGAAAATAGAGAAGTGCCTCAGGTTGGTTTGACTGTTTATTTTACACCCGTAGGCTGTAAATAATTGCATGGCAATAAAAACGCTTAGATAACGTCATATTAACCGATGACCGGCAATGCGACCACCGCCGCTTTTTTTCCCCAGCGTAAATTTGATACATATAATACAAAAACATTTGTACAAATTTGTTTTAACACAATATATAGGCCTACGTTTTACCAATAAAATCCCTACATAACATTCATCATTACATAGACTAAGATGGAAGTAAAACAATTTTTTTACTACCGTTTGTAAAAAACAATTGTTCTCCGGGCTGCAGAGGCGTATCGAATCATTCCGGCGCCCAGTGGGCAAACTATAAAATTTCAACCACATGCCCCTCACCCTCCTAATATTACTAGTCACTATCCCTTGACAGTTGTAATGATGATGTATCACAATTTAAGAAAGTTAATTTAGTAAGGAAAGCGAGGCCGTAGTCTGTGGTGAGTTTATTAAACTTCGACTGTGTATCATTCAGTAATGCAGTTCACAATGAGCTTTTTAAATATTTTTTCTGCACCGCTTGGCGCCCCTTGTGGTCGGCGTCCGTAGCGGCGCCACACCCGCCCTCCCCTGGCTACGCATCTGCCGGGCTGCTGCGCCGACTGTTCCTATAATCCGCCACATATTATTTTCTACATATCGCGCCACCTAACAAATATTTATGTGATTAGGCCGATATAATTTTAATCAATTTACGACCATTTATAATGAGTTGTCTTACTTTTCCCGCAACGAGATAGAAAATGACAAAACGCCGATAAATTGCTAAAATACAACTTCTTGAAGAAAAGAGTTAGATCTACCTATTTATAGTATTTATTATTTTGATTGGCAACACATATTTTACTTTGTAATATTTTGATATTATGTTATGAAAATGAGATGGAGAAATGTATTTAGAATCTGGTTATTTACCACTGGACCGCATTCGACCCAATGCATCTTAAACTCATATTTGAAACAATATTAACATTGATCTACATTAGTAATAGATTGAATTCTAGTAAAATGTAAAACTTTGACTTAGGCTACGGGCACGGGGCTACGCTAAGCGCGCCGCTAAGGCTAAGGCTAAGGGCTAAGGTAAATATAAAATAATAAATATAAAATAAATATTTATAATAATAATAAATTTAGTAAATTTAATAAAATTATAAATAACTAGGCCTAAATAAAAAAATTATTAATAATTAATTAGGCCTATCATAATAATTATTATTTTATTAATTATTACTGTTAGTTAAGTTAGGCCTAGGCCTAACTAAATAAATAAATATTAAATTATTAATTATTTATTATTCTTGATCTTGTTATAAGGCCAGTGCAGTAATAAAAATAGTTCTAGAGTATATTATTATTCTTGATAGGCATTGATAGGGCCTATAGATTTCTAATTTCTAGAATTAGTAGTTAGTAGAATAAGTTCAGACAGTTTAGTAATAATTAGTTTGATTGTTTGAAAATCATATCATCCTCTTTTCAACAGTAAACTTACTTTTTTCAGAGTCGTTATTACCAGAAAAAAAAACAAGTGACTGTTTTTCTGTTTTTTTTTACTGTACTGTAACTCATGATCCTATTTCACTACAGTTAAAAAACACGACTGAGAGGAACAAAGAATTTAAAAAAAATGTCAAGTACAGAAGGATTTCTTAAAATTGTACCCAACCCGGAAGAGTTGTATATATCCAACCGTAGAAACCAGAGTTCCGTGAAATGCACAGAAAATGGATGTGGTTACATAGCTGGCAATCATTCATTGCTGGGCGTGCATAGAGCTAAAACTCATAAATATGTTAGTAGTACTTCATTTTTTCAAACATTAGAATCTGCATTCCCATTTATTTGTTAAATTTTAAAAATTTATTTATAAAAATCTGTGTTTTTTAAAAATAAAATAAAAAGTTATTACATCTTTACTCCATATTAATGAACCAACAGAAGATTGTTCCTGATGGTCTAATTCATCATTTCCACTGCCCTGTTTCTGACTGCATCTATAATTCCCAGTCACAAAGATACTGCAAAAGCTTGGAGATTCTGAGGACAGTAAGTACCAAGTGTTGTGAATGGTATTTTAGTTTTAGTGTACAGAATGGGTATGAGAGTATGTGTGTAGTGGAATATTTTATATTAATAAACGATTTTGAATATGACGAAGCAAGTAAGGATGTGATGTGGGAGAGTATGATTTGGATGTTAGGGGAAGGAGTTGAAATCAGTATTCGTGTTAGTGAGTAGATGTATTCCTTTGTCGTTGTGGATATGTTTCGTGTAACTGCAATAAAACTATGAAATGAACCACCACCGTACGGTCTTGATTTCTAATTGTATTGGATCGTCATACATTGTTCTTCAATTTCAAGCATTGACCCTGTCCTCATCTCGCATAGTAAAAACAAGCTGTTGGTCATATAAGCTTTTATGTTAATTTATGGTATATTTTTTGTAGTAAATAACTTTTATCACAGCAGTATTTATTTAATCTGGAGAGTGTACTTTAAATTTGTACAGACATTCCTGTGAGTTTTTTCACGTGAAGATTGGTCAAATATTACATTCTAGCACTACATGAAGATGCACTCTGAGAAGAAATTTTCGTGTAAAAAATGTGGCAAAAGTTTTGGGCTTGAGAGAGACTGTCAGCGCCATGAAAAAGAATGTGGTGACACTTTTACCTGCCCTGACTGTGAGAAAACGTATACGAACAGATCTGCACTCATCCGTCACTGTGATTGCAATGGGCATAGAAAACCAAACTCCCTCACAAGGTAAGTTTTTAATTGTTCTTACTTGTTGGTACTGAAAAAAAACATTTACCTGATTGGTTTTGATAGAACGTGGTATAGTATAAATGAAGGATATACTCAATTATTACTGTCTACAAATATCTTTACAAAGAACATGACTAGTATTGAAAGAATTTTTTGTAGCAGTTTTAATACGAACAAGTTTATTTCGATGTTAGTGATTAGTGTCATGTATCTAGTTGATATCATGTACCCTGCAAGGGACTGAATAAACAAGTCTACAAGAGATAACTATGTCAATAACTTATTGTTTTATTTTAGATAAAAACCTTCACGAGATAATACTATGTTTATTATACTTTTAGGATTAAGCCTGTGAAAGAACATGGCACAAAAAAACTTTCAGCAAAAGATGAGATACCTTGTGTCCCAGACAAGAAAAGTCCAGTGTTCATTTTACCCAAACCTCAGGCAGTGACTCCCTCAGCACTCAAACAAAACAGTCTTGAAATTCAAACAGATACCTTGGGAGCTCAGATTTTTATCTCCAAGATGTCGTCTGAGAGCTCAGTGTCGCAGGCCGTTCAAACAGTACAGCAGTTAACTAGGTCGGCTGGGATCCAGACACATTGGCACCACAACCTGGACCCCACGTCTAAAGTCAGGCGCAGACAGTCTATAGCTCTACAGACAGTCAAGATGGGGGGCACCTCTGCACAGACCCAGACGGGTGAAGCCCTTCTCCAACAAGCCATGTCGCTAGCCAACATTCCAATTGTTAAAGTTTGCAAGGCCACACAAAAATCTAGGCCAGCCAAAAGAAAACATAAATCCACAGATATTAACTCGACACAGTCACAGACCCTGGTCTCAGCCCACCTGGTCAAGAGAAAGCGCTCTCCTCACTCCGCTGACTACTGCAGCGTGGCATCCAGCCATGACAAGGCCATGGTCACAGTGATGGACTTTATTCTTGATGACTTCATGGCCACCATGTCCACTCAAACCAACTTGAGTTGTGTCAGTCACTCACCCTTCACAGCTACTGCAGTACCACAGCTACAAGACTGCCACACACAAACCCACTACCCAGATCAACTTTCACAGCTACAAGACTGCCACACACAAACCCACTACCCAGATCAACTTTCACAGCTACAAGACTGCCACACACAAACCCACTACCCAGATCAACTTTCACAGCTACAAGACTGCCACACACAAACCCACTACCCAGATCAACTTTCACAGCTACAAGACTGCCACACACAAACCCACTACCCAGATCGTCTGTTATTTCAAGTTCCTGAATTCTCCAGCATCACTTGTGATCAAAACATCCAAACCACAGATGTATATTGTGATCATCTCCCCATTCAACTCAGCCCAACACAGACTAACAGCCTCAGCACCAACCACACACAAACTAACAGCATCAACAGCAACCACACACAGACTAACAGCATCAGCAGCAACCACACACAAACTAACAGCATCAGCAGCAACCACACACATACCAACAGCATCAGCAGCAACCACACACATACCAACAGCATCAGCACCAACCATACACAGACCAACAGCATCAGCAGCAACCACACACAGACCCAGGTATCCTGGGTGGGGGTGATGACAGACATGCAGGATCAGAGCACAACATGTGAAGATCTCTCATCTGGACAGCTCCCCTTAAGCTCAACCTTTGACCTTTCCACCATGAGTACACCTCAGCTATCCGACTGCCATGCATCACTGGACACGGGTAATTTACCTGCCTGTGGTGTTGATGCAGGTAAGTTACCAGCTGATGTAGGTAAAAGTCTGGAGGACCCAGATCAAGCCCTGACTGATTTGCTGATGGAAGTGTTGACACAGACAGACGAGCCAGCCCTCTCTCTAAACATGGACAAGCCTAAAGCTTGCCACATCAGCTCCTCCTGTATGGAAACTCAGACATTTGAGAGCCTAGCAATGGACTCAATGACCCAGACAATTGAAGATTTTGTCTGGGACATTGGCACCCAGACAGTGGAGGATATAGTCACGGACATGATGACCCAGACGGGAGATGAGCTCTTGGAGTATTTGACCAGCGACACACAGACCCAGACATTGAACGAGTTTTGTGACCAGCTTCTGGCTGGGGATCCAGTCTTGAACATGCAAGGCACACAGACAGCTTCATGTGTGGAGTCTGCACAAGCTGACCACGCCAGCACACAGACTTCAAGTTTCTTCAATGCCAGGTGGAGTAGAGCTGATGCAGAAGCTGATCATGCCAGCACACAGACTTCAAGTTTCTTCAATGCCAGGTGTAGCAATTCCTCGAGCAGCTCTGAAGAGGACAGTTTTTCTCCTTGGGGAAAAGTTCATTCAAGTTACTGCGGCATCACTGGCAGTGAAAAGATTCTCTTCCTGGGTGATGGTACAAGCCAGACGTGCCCAGACTTTTTAAAAGAAACTGAAAGTTCAGAAACTCAGACAGCATTTGATCCCCTGTTTTCATACCTGGACTGTACAGACTTGCCTGGCTGTTCAGTAAAAACAGCTCGAAGCCTGGAGTCCTCACACACACAGACAGCATTTGATCCCATGCTGTCCACCATGCTGTCTGAGGACAGTAAACCCAGCCTGACTCAGACACAGACAGCCACAGAGACAGCACAGTGCCAGACACCATGGGATGATTACCTCACCATGGTGGAGAGCTCTGAGACTCAGACAAACACAGACCTCTTTGGGAGTGACTTCCCCTTGTCCCTAGACATGGGGCCACAGCTAGGGAAAGATTGGCCCTTGCTGGATCTGAACTGTACAGACTCCTACACACAGACAAACCTGGACCAAAACACACAAACATAACCTGGACCAAAACACACAGACAAACCTGGACCAAAACACACAAACATAACCTGGACCACAACACCCATCAGGACCAAAGCACAAACCACGATCAAAACACAAATACAGACCAAAACATGCACATATAACCTTGATGAAAACACAGACATAACCTGGACCAAAACACAACCGTGGACCAAAACACGCAGACACTACCTCTTATTTAAGTCTCAAAAAATGCTACTTGTGATATTCGAATATTTAAATTGGTTCTTAGCTCACAATCTGTTGAGCTGACATTTGGTCACACTCAGCTGGTGAGCTGACATTTGGTCACACTCAGCTGGTGAGCTGACATTTGGTCTCACTCAGCTGGTGAGCTGACATTTGGTCTCACTCAGCTGGTGAGCTGACATTTGGTCTCAGCTGGTGAGCTGACATTTGGTCTCAGCTGGTGAGCTGACATTTGGTCTCAGCTGGTGAGCTGACATTTGGTCTCAGCTGGTGAGCTGACATTTGGTCTCACTCAGCTGGTGAGCTGACATTTGGTCTCAGCTGGTGAGCTGACATTTGGTCTCAGCTGGTGAGCTGACATTTGGTCTCAGCTGGTGAGCTGACATTTGGTCTCAGCTGGTGAGCTGACATTTGGTCTCACTCACCTGGTGAGCTGACATTTGGTCTCACTCAGCTGGTGAGCTGACATTTGGTCACACTCAGCTGGTGAGCTGACATTTGGTCACACTCAGCTGGTGAGCTGACATTTGGTCACACTCAGCTGGTGAGCTGACATTTGGTCTCACTCACCTGGTGAGCTGACATTTGGTCACACTCAGCTGGTGAGCTGACATTTGGTCACACTCAGCTGGTGAGCTGACATTTGGTCTCACTCAGCTGGTGAGCTGACATTTGGTCTCACTCAGCTGGTGAGCTGACATTTGGTCTCAGCTGGTGAGCTGACATTTGGTCTCACTCAGCTGGTGAGCTGACATTTGGTCTCACTCAGCTGGTGAGCTGACATTTGGTCACACTCAGCTGGTGAGCTGACATTTGGTCTCACTCAGCTGGTGAGCTGAGATTTGGTCTCAGCTGGTGAGCTGACATTTGGTCTCAGCTGGTGATCTGACATTTGGTCTCAGCTGGTTAGCTGACATTTGGTCTCAGCTGGTGAGCTGACATTTGGTCTCAGCTGGTGAGCTGACATTTGGTCTCAGCTGGTGAGCTGACATTTAGTCTCAGCTGGTGAGCTGACATTTGGTCTCAGCTGGTGAGCTGACATTTGGTCTCAGCTGGTGAGCTGACATTTGGTCTCAGCTGGTGAGCTGACATTTGGTCTCACTCAGCTGGTGAGCTGACATTTGGTCTCACTCAGCTGGTTAGCTGACATTTGGTCTCACTCAGCTGGTGAGCTGACATTTGGTCTCACTCAGCTGGTTAGCTGACATTTGGTCTCACTCAGCTGGTGAGCTGACATTTGGTCTCACTCAGCTGGTGAGCTGACATTTGGTCTCAGCTGGTGAGCTGACATTTGACTCAGCTGGTGAGCTGACATTTGGTCTCAGCTGGTGAGCTGACATTTGGTCTCAGCTGGTGAGCTGACATTTAGTCTCAGCTGGTGAGCTGACATTTGGTCTCAGCTGGTGAGCTGACATTTGGTCTCACCTGGTGAGCTGACATTTGGTCTCAGCTGGTGAGCTGACATTTGGTCTCACTCACCTGGTGAGCTGACATTTGGTCTCAGCTGGTGAGCTGACATTTGGTCTCAGCTAGTGAGCTGACATTTGGTCTCAGCTGGTGAGCTGACATTTGGTCTCACTCACCTGGTGAGCTGACATTTGGTCTCAGCTGGTGAGCTGACATTTGGTCTCAGCTGGTGAGCTGACATTTGGTCTCACTCACCTGGTGAGCTGACATTCGGTCTCACTCACCTGGTGAGCTGACATTCGGTCTCAGCTGATGAGCTGACATTTGGTCTCAGCTGGTGAGCTGACATTTAGTCTCAGCTGGTGAGCTGACATTTGGTCTCAGCTGGTGAGCTGACATTTGGTCTCACCTGGTGAGCTGACATTTGGTCTCAGCTGGTGAGCTGACATTTGGTCTCACTCACCTGGTGAGCTGACATTTGGTCTCAGCTGGTGAGCTGACATTTGGTCTCAGCTAGTGAGCTGACATTTGGTCTCAGCTGGTGAGCTGACATTTGGTCTCACTCACCTGGTGAGCTGACATTTGGTCTCACTCAGCTGGTGAGCTGACATTTGGTCACACTCAGCTGGTGAGCTGACATTTGGTCACACTCAGCTGGTGAGCTGACATTTGGTCACACTCAGCTGGTGAGCTGACATTTGGTCTCACTCACCTGGTGAGCTGACATTTGGTCACACTCAGCTGGTGAGCTGACATTTGGTCACACTCAGCTGGTGAGCTGACATTTGGTCTCACTCAGCTGGTGAGCTGACATTTGGTCTCACTCAGCTGGTGAGCTGACATTTGGTCTCAGCTGGTGAGCTGACATTTGGTCTCACTCAGCTGGTGAGCTGACATTTGGTCTCACTCAGCTGGTGAGCTGACATTTGGTCACACTCAGCTGGTGAGCTGACATTTGGTCTCACTCAGCTGGTGAGCTGAGATTTGGTCTCAGCTGGTGAGCTGACATTTGGTCTCAGCTGGTGAGCTGACATTTGGTCTCACTCAGCTGGTGATCTGACATTTGGTCTCAGCTGGTTAGCTGACATTTGGTCTCAGCTGGTGAGCTGACATTTGGTCTCAGCTGGTGAGCTGACATTTGGTCTCAGCTGGTGAGCTGACATTTGGTCTCAGCTGGTGAGCTGACATTTAGTCTCAGCTGGTGAGCTGACATTTGGTCTCAGCTGGTGAGCTGACATTTGGTCTCAGCTGGTGAGCTGACATTTGGTCTCAGCTGGTGAGCTGACATTTGGTCTCACTCAGCTGGTGAGCTGACATTTGCTCTCACTCAGCTGGTTAGCTGACATTTGGTCTCACTCAGCTGGTGAGCTGACATTTGGTCTCACTCAGCTGGTTAGCTGACATTTGGTCTCACTCAGCTGGTGAGCTGACATTTGGTCTCACTCAGCTGGTGAGCTGACATTTGGTCTCAGCTGGTGAGCTGACATTTGGTCTCAGCTGGTGAGCTGACATTTGGTCTCAGCTGGTGAGCTGACATTTGGTCTCAGCTGGTGAGCTGACATTTGGTCTCAGCTGGTGAGCTGACATTTAGCCTCAGCTGGTGAGCTGACATTTGGTCTCAGCTGGTGAGCTGACATTTGGTCTCACCTGGTGAGCTGACATTTGGTCTCAGCTGGTGAGCTGACATTTGGTCTCACTCACCTGGTGAGCTGACATTTGGTCTCAGCTGGTGAGCTGACATTTGGTCTCAGCTAGTGAGCTGACATTTGGTCTCAGCTGGTGAGCTGACATTTGGTCTCACTCACCTGGTGAGCTGACATTTGGTCTCAGCTGGTGAGCTGACATTTGGTCTCAGCTGGTGAGCTGACATTTGGTCTCACTCACCTGGTGAGCTGACATTCGGTCTCACTCACCTGGTGAGCTGACATTCGGTCTCAGTTGATGAGCTGACATTTGGTCTCAGCTGGTGAGCTGACATTTGGTCTCAGCTGGTGAGATGACATTTGGTCTCAGCTGGTGAGCTGACATTTGGTCTCACCCAGCTGGTAAGTTGACATTTGGTCTCACTCAGCTGGTGAGCTGACATTTGGTCTCACCCAGCTGGTAAGTTGACATTTGGTCTCACTCAGCTGGTGAGCTGACATTTGGTCTCAGCTGGTGAGCTGACATTTGGTCTCAGCTGGTGAGCTGACATTTGGTCTCACTCACCTGGTGAGCTGACATTTGGTCTCAGCTGGTGAGCTGACATTTGGTCTCACTCAGCTGGTGAGCTGACATTTGGTCTCAGCTGGTGAGCTGACATTTGGTCTCACTCACCTGGTGAGCTGACATTTGGTCTCAGCTGGTGAGCTGACATTTGGTCTCACTCAGCTGGTGAGCTGACATTTGGTCTCAGCTGGTGAGCTGACATTTGGTCTCACTCACCTGGTGAGCTGACATTTGGTCTCACTCACCTGGTGAGCTGACATTTGGTCTCACTCAGCTGGTGAGCTGACATTGAGCCTAGCCTGTATCATGTTTTTGTGTTACAACAGGATCGTATATTGTTGTAGGGGTTAGAGGTCAACACTAATCCCGTCAGATTAAATAATCATGTTTATAATGTTTATCATGTTTATAATGTTTCTGTTTATAATGTTTATAATGTATGTATAAAAACATTCAATACAATACTAATTGTGTAACATCATTACAGAAATTGTTATTCATGTCAGACCAATGCTAAGTGATCAATGAGCTTTGAGTAAAAATATTCCTAATGTTTGTCTTTTTGGAAATACAAGTAAGTTTGAACCAAAGCCTTTGGAATGTATTGAGTGAACTTGTCCACACCGACAACACTAACAGATCTTAGGTGTTGTGTGTGGGTCTGTTTGGGGAGGGTGAAAGTTACATCAAGTTTGGGATCCTTGAAATTGTTAGTGTGCTCTGTTCTACTCATCCGTTCCCAGAAAAATGCGCAAACGGAAAAATGCGCAACGGAAAAATGCGCAAATACAAGCTAATTATAATGATACACTTAACGTTTGTCATATTTCGAGGAAAAGTGTCTTATTATGCTAAATAATGCATATTTGGTCATTTTTTTTTGTTAATGTCTATAAATGCTCGATTTATGAAAACAGAAATGCCCTTGCGCACTTTTATGTGCGCAGTTTTCCGTTGCGCATCCTTCCGGTCAGCCTACTCATCAGTTACATGTAAGCCAATGTTCACCTCGGGAACCATACACTACACCACTGCACGTCTTCTTTAACAATTAGATCTTGTTTTGGTCACAACTGGCTCGTGTATGTTAGACATAGCAACAGGTCCGTTACACACACCCGACAATAAACAGCCTGCACCAAATGATGAGCATTATAGAGCATTCGCCCTCATTCAATTGATGTGCACGTTGTATTATAGAGCATTCGCCCTCATTCAATTGATGTGCACGTTATATTATACAGCATTCGCCCTCATTCAATTGATGTGCACGTTGTATTATAGAGCATTCGCCCTCATTCAATTGATGTGCACGTTGTATTATAGAGCATTCACCCTCATTCAATTGATGTGCACGTTGTATTATAGAGCATTCACCCTCATTCAATTGATGTGCACGTTGTATTATAGAGCATTCGCCCTCATTCAATTGATGTGCACGTTGTATTATAGAGCATTCGCCCTCATTCAATTGATGTGCACGTTGTATTATAGAGCATTCGCCCTCATTCAATTGATGAGCACGTTGTATTATAGAGCATTCACCCTCATTCAATTGATGAGCACGT